AAAGGAAAAAAAATGGATCCAGGAAATTACAGACCTATCAGCCTGACCTCAATACCTGGGAAGATCCTGGAAAAGATAATCAAACAACGAATCAACGAACACCTAGAGGCAAACAAAGTCATTACTAAAAGCCAACATGGGTTTGTCAAAAATAGATCATGCCAGACAAATCTTATTGCATTCTTTGACCAAGTGACAAAATTAGTGGATCAGAGGAATGCTGTGGACATAATTTACTTGGACTTCAGTAAGGCATTTGATAAAGTAGATCACAACCTACTACTTGACAAGATAGAAAAATGTGGGGTAGACAGAACCACCACCAGATGGATCCGTAGCTGGCTGACCGGCCGTACTCAGCGAGTGGTCCTCAATGGAACTGCATCTATATGGAGGGAAGTGTGTAGTGGGGTGCCCCAGGGCTCTGTTCTGGGCCCAGTACTCTTCAACATCTTCATCAACGATTTGGATGAAGGATAGATGGGGACCTCATCAAATTTGCAGACGACACCAAGCTGGCAGGAATAGCCAACACTCCAGAAGACAGGCTTTCAGATACAGAAGGATCTGGACAGACTTGAACTGGCACTAACTAACAAAATGAAATTCAATGGTGAAAAAGCAGTTTCTACATTTAGGCACGAAAAAACCAATGCCAAGTACAGCATAGATGGCAACCATGCTCAATAGTTAACTGTGAGAGGGACTCGGAGTCCTAGTAGACAATCACTTAAATATGAGCCAGCAGTGTGCTGCAGCTGCCAAAAGCCAACGACAGTGCTAGTGCTGCATTAACAGAGGGATAGAATCAAGATCACGTGACGTATTAATACCACTTTACAATGCCTTGGTAAGGCCACACTTGGAATACTGCATCCAGTTTTGTCACCATGATGTAAAAAAGATGTTGAGACTCTAGAAAGAGTACAGAGAAGAGCAACAAAGATGATTAGGGGACTGGAGGCTAAAACATATAAGGAACGGTTGCTAGCATTGGGTATGTCTAGTTTAACGAAGAGAAGGACAAGGGGGGACATGATAGCAGTATTCCAATATCTCAGTGGCTGCCATAAAGAAGAGGGAATTAAGCTATTTTCCAAAGCACCTGAAGGCAGGACAAGAAGCAACGGGTGGAAACTCATCAAGGAGAGAAGCAACCTAGAACTAAGGAGAAACTTCCTGACAGTGAGAACAATTAATCAGTGGAACAGCTTGCCTCCAGAAGCAGTAAATGCTCCAACACTGGAAGTTTTTAAGAAGAGACTGGACAGCCATTTGTCCGAAATGGTGTAGGTTTTCCTGCCCGAGCAGGGGGTTGGACTAGATGACCTCCAAGGTCCCTTCCAACTTTACTATTATTATTATTATTATTATTATTATTATTATTATTATTATTATTATTATTATTATTAACCCCAGGGTAAACAGCCATTTCGAAGCCAGGGAGTTCTACAGGTGTACCTCCCATAGGAGGCCGGCTGTCCCTTTACTATAACGCATGGACAGCCACAACCACAGACTCATGGGTTCTCGATACAATATCACAGGGTTTAATGTTAGAGTTTCATTCCGATCCACCGGAACGTTTCCGGAGTTGTCCCAAACCCATTAGTAGGAATAGAGCGGCTCTCATGTCAGAGGCCATCTCCCATCTGATACAAATACCGGCCATAGAACCAGTCCCACAAAACCAAGCAGGCCAGGGTTCTATTCAACGCTGTTTGTAGTTCCCAAGACTGCAGGTGGTTGGAGAGCAATCCTTGATTTAAAGAAATTAAACCGTTATTTGATATACAGGAAGTTTAAAATGCAGTCATTGCAGTCAATTCTGGCTAGTGTCCGGCGGGGAGACTTCCTGACATCAATAGACCTAACTGAGGCCTATCTCCATATTCCTATTCTCCCTGGACATCGCAAGTTCCTCAGATTTTGTTATAATCACCAGTACTATCAGTACAGAGCCTTACCATTCGGTCTATCCGCAGCGCCTAGAGTTTTTTCAAAAGTATTGGCAGTGCTGGCAGCTCACCTCAGACAGATTCCAGTCTGTGTCCAATGTTACCTAGATCACATATTAATACAGTCCTCCTCATTCCAGGGCTCAGTCAGATCTTGCCCTCGCTATCAGGACTTTTCAGGAACATGGGTTTTCTGTTAATTTTCAGAAAAGCCATACTGCACCTTCAACCCGGCTCCTTCATTTAGGGGCAGTCATAGACACCAGCAACTGCACGGTCTATTTATCTCAGGACCGACAGGACAGCATCAGGGCCCTGGTGCAGAGAATAAGACATGACAAGGTAGTTACCCTAGCATTGTTGTCCAAACTACTAGGAAAAATGGCATCCTGTGTGTTCACATCGTACCGTGGGCACGTCTTCACTCCAGGGAACTGCAGTGGGTCCTTCTTCCCTTTCAGAGACTATGCATCAGCACTTCCACGCTGAAGGTTCGAGTTCCGCAGTCGGCGTTGAACTCCCTTCAATGGTGGGTCTCTCCAGCGCTAGAACGGGGCACAGAGTTCAAGAAACCAACCAGAGCTGTCCTCACCACGGACACCAGCCTATTTGGCTGGGGAGCACACCTCCAATTGCAATGGGCTCAGGGGCGGTGGTCCCAGCAGGACTTAGAAAACAATATCAACTGGCTGGAGCTCAGGGCCATTCATCTGGCACTGCAACATTTCAAAGCTTTGATAGCAGGTCAGCACGTATTAGTGCTTACAGACAACATAGCTGCCAAAGCTCATGTCAACAGGCAGGGGGGGACAAGATCCAGACCCCTCATGCACGAGGCCAAATGACTGGGGTCTTGGGCAGAACTGAACCTGGCGTCCATCAAGGCGGAACACATATCCGGGGTGAACAAACACCAGGCGAACTCACTAAGCAGAGCCACCATGGACCATGGCGAGTGGCGTCTGGACCCAGGAATTTTCCGGAAAATCATGGTCAGGTTTGGTGTTCCAACCTTAGATCTTTTTGCATCCCCAACCAACTCACAACTTCCAAGATTCCTTTCCAGGTTCCCGACCCCATCAGCAGAGGAGACAGATGCCCTCCGCAGTCCCTGGCCCAGCGATCTGCTTTATGCCTTTCCTCCCCTACCGCTTCTTCCAGCCACGATCCGCAGAATTTTACACGAGAGGGTAGAAGTTCTTCTGGTTGCTCCTCATTGGCCACGGCGACCGTGGTTCGCGGACCTGGTGCAGCTCTCCGTCTCACCTCCATGGAGGATTCCGGCAGGTCGTATCTCCCTCACTCAAGGGGATATCCAGCACCTGGACCCGCAATGGCTCAAACTAACTGTTTGGCACTTGAGCGGCGGGCCCTCATATTCGTCGAGAGTGATAGCCCTGATTCAACAATCCTGGCGCCCCTCTACGAATAGGATATATGATGCAACATGGTGAAGTTTCTGTAATTGGTGCACAAGTCATAAGGTGGAACTCACGGGTGTTTCGGTCCCTATTGTACTAGAATTTCTGGTGGAGGGGTTAGATAAAGGGTTATCCCCGAACACAATCTGTAGACAGGTCGCTGCCCTAGCTACTGTTCTCACGTGCGAAAATGCCACTCCTCTGACTCACCACCCCTGGGTTCATTCCTTCTTGAAAGGAGCAACCAATGCCAAGCCACCGACAGTCCACCGATATCCATCGTGGGACCTACAACAGGTCTTGCAGGCCCTAGTTGCTCCCCCCTTTGAACCTATGGAGACATGTTCATTTGATCTGTTATCCATGAAGGTGGCATTCCCCGTGGCAATCACATCGGCCAGGCGAATTTCGGAAATGGCCGCTCTTTCAGTCAGAGAGGACCTTTGCATTTTCTTCCCAAACAGAGTAGTCCTCAGACTTGACCCTTCCTTTGTGCCCAAGGTCAACTCCCTGTACCATAGATCTCAGGAGGTTGTCTTACCAGACTTCTGTCCTGAACAATCCCAGGACAACGAGAGTCAGTGGAGTACACTGGATGTCTGCAGGGCTTTACAATGTTATATCAGTCGGACTGCGGCCTTCCGTAAATCTGAGGCCTTGTTTATTTCCTTTCAACTTTCGGCTAAAGGCCAGAAGATCTCTTCATCGACTATAGAGAGGTGGGTCAGGGCTTGCATTGCCCTGGCATACAGGACACAATCATTACCCGTCCCTAGAAATATTATGGCCCATTCCACCAGAGGTGCCGCTACTTCCGCAGCCTAGGCGACACAAGCATCTATAGGGGAGATTTGCAGGGCGGCCACATGGTCCTCCCCTTCGTCCTTCATCCGTCACTACAAGATTGACAAATATGCATCCTTAGATGCCTCCTTTGGGCGCAGAGTTTTGCAGAGAGTATTAACATCTAGAACATCACAGGCCCAAACTGACTCCCTCCCTTAGGGACATAGGGCTTTGGTAAGTCCCACTAGTGGAGTCTCCATCCAATCATGCTGGAGAAGGGGCATTGAACGCCTTTTCTCAGCATGATGATGGAGACTCCACCCTCTCTCAGATAAGGTCAGTTGGTCCGGATTCCAATGAGAGGAACGCAGATGCATGGACTAATGTCTGTACACCGACTCAGTCTTAAACTGGGGCATGGGGACAAAGGGAGGCGTAATTTTAACTCTGACTTAATCTGATTGGAGCAGGAAGATTAAGACAACCCACTAGTGGAGTCTCCATCATCATGCTGAGATGTTCAGGTAAGACCAACACCCCTTCCCTGTGGGGCTGCATGCCTGGGAGCCCTGCAAATTCACCACCATCCCACTGTTGGTCTGGGCGCCTAGCTGGGTGCCAGCTAATGAACAGCAGCAGCAATTCCCTCTGGGAGCAACATGCCAGGGAACCCTGCAAATTCTCGAGCCTTTTGATTTACTTAATGATAGTGGAGGTCCTTAATGAACAGAAGCAAACAGCAAGCTTGATTTTAATTCGCTTAATGGCCCAGATGATGCTTAAACAAGGATGATAAAAAATTGTCATAAAAATGAGTCAGATTTATTTCAAAGACTTTTAGCATCACAATTTTATTTAGAGCATCCTGTATATTTTGACCATATCACTTAAGAAACTTATCTATGCTTTTATAGTTTTTTTCAGTTAAATAATATCTAACCTTCTAAGACCACATCATGGCTTATTTCGCTCACAGAAATATATATTTCTTTTCACATTCCATTGCAACTCTTTTCTGTATTCTCAACTTTTTGCTTCTTCCATTTTTTTGGAGGCAAAAAAATAAATAAGACCAGGTCTATTTTCAGGGAAAGAACACAGTAATAGGGCTGTGCATGCTTCAAAAGTCATTCTGAAGTAGGGGTTTAAGCTTCACCCAATGCATTCTCCCCTACTAATTAAAGTAGTCATGTTTTTCTTCCATCTTTCACAAAAGCCTAAAAATAATACCACTGTTTTCAGAAGTTGAATAATTCAAGAAACTCTTAAAACAGAACAACAAATGTAGTTGTTTAATTAATAGCAGTGTTGTAGTGATTAAGCAAGGCACAAAACAACGCTTGTGAATGCATGCACAGCACTAATATAAAATATTGGCACCCCTGTATTAAATACATATTTTTCTAACTGCTCCAGATGGTAAATAAAGTGACAAGCCCTTTATGTATTTGACCTCAGGAGAAGATGGAAATCTTCCCTTTCCATACATTCCACCTGTGAATGACAAATTCACAGAATTACAATGAATATGAGCACCAGATCACCTTGTCTCAAAACTGTACAAGTTGAATGAAAACCAAAGGCTTTTCTCCATAATTACAAATTCCGTACAGAGTTACAATTATTTGTAAAGACATTTGTATGTATAGCCCCCTTTTAATTTCATCAAGATTTTCTGTGATTACAAGACTTCCCCCCATGTATCTAATATTTATAGTAAAAATAAAACAGCATGTAAACATAAGTCTCACAATAAAATTAGTTGTTCCAACAATGAATTAATAAGTAGAAGTACATCAGAGTAGAAAGAACAACTGGAATACCTGACCAATTATTGAAGAAATAGTTATGGAGAAATTAAAATTAAATTTCAAATCATCCTTGGACTGCATTATTCTTTATTAATAGAGGAGAATAACAATAGAGGTGCTTTCATCTTTCAATATGGGAATAAATGTATCTTTAAAAGACCTTAGCAAATTATGCATAAAAATGTCTCATTTTTGACATTTCTGAATTAATAAGCAGATTTTCTAGATTTACCACTTCACAAATTTTCAGAAGGAATCAGTACATTATACAATCTTACAACATGAACAAAAATAACTAAAATCAAAACACAAGAATTGTATGAACTACTTTTTCAAGTTGCACACTGAGAATCCCTGGTTTACAAGTCATCTAACATGGAAGAAAAATAGTTGGGAAACCCTCTTCAAGGCTGTGCTGATATCAAAGTTATCACTGTTATATTCTAATTAAAGATTAGCCTATAAATATAAAGAGACCAAACTAGTCTATAAGAAAAATCAAATGAAGAATAGAAAAGAGATACAGCCTATAAACAAAAACTGGGGGGATAATAATAAAAAGAAAGTGAAGATGCTAAAGTGCTCTGGGACTTCAGAGTTCAAAAAGACAAGCACATAACATCCCAGACTTAACAACTGTTGATAAGATAAAAAGGTCTGGATAGTGGACACTAATAATGGAGACAACAGAGCAACAACAACAAAAAAAAGAATTGGAGAGAATCAAATATCTACAGAACAACTGCAGCAAAAGAAAGCAAAGACAATACCAAAAGTGATACGGTGCCTTGGCTGTAAATTCAAAATATCAGGGGCTTTGCTTGAACACAACTGGCAGTGATTGAATCACCACTAGTCAACTGCAAAATGATTAGGGTTATAATATATATTTTTCCGGGGTGCAAAAGACTATAATCAGAGTATTAACACATATTTTATATATGTCTGTTATTTTTACAGGTAATCCTGGAATTATGACTGTAATGGAGCCTGCCAATTACATGTATAACCTAAGGATTTGTAAACTGGATCATGATAAAGGAATGAGCCCATTCCTCCTCTCCCCAATGTATTCACAAATCAAATGCACAGGTTATTAAGAGCACATAGGGTACCTCAGGAGTGGGGAAGACCATGGGAGCCTAGTGCAGAGACAAGACCACTGCTTCCAGCCACCCAAGGTTTTCCTTTGTGTGGCGGTGCAATTAGCGAGATCCAGGCAGGTTTGGCACTCTAGCAAGTGGCAGGGCAGGGCCATGCCCACTTGAGAGAGACTGGGGCTCAGTGGGGAATGGGAGAGGCCGGGCTTGCGCTTACCAATTGTGCTACTGCAGACCTGGAGAGCTTGGTATGCTGGCTGCTCTGCACCCCTTGCTTGCCGGGCACACTCTGATGGAGATCTGGCAAGCAGGAAGGTGCCTGAGGACCGCAAGGGTCACTCCAAGCGAAGGAACCCTCCTCAGGACAGCCAGATCTGCATCAACCTGGCCTGCTGCAAGTATGCAGGTGTCCCTGGCAACTGTGTTACTGCTTTAGCTGTTTAGGAACTGTTGATGAAAATATGCAGAGGGAACACATGGCAGCACCCAGGCTGGGCCAAAATAAAGCCTGCAGGAACATAATAAATCTCACGTTCTTGCATACGCTTGTCTTCTCTGAGAAATACTTTTCCAAAGAGGACGGAATCGTATGTAAGAACATTAGATCTAAGGAAAACTATTTCATATCGACATCTTGAGCTCTGGAAATCTTCCAAACACAACTGAGCGGTGGTGAGGAAGAGCATGTGGAATACGGTGGGTTACCAAAGCTGGCCAGTGCCTGCAGAGACCCGGTAGGGCATAATTGGGGGAAAATAGGCAGGAAACATGAACGACCGCTGTGGTGCTGCAACATACATAACTTTGGGATCAGGTCATAAGTACTTTTGGCGAGGATGTTATAACTTTGAACCATTGCTAAGTGAATTGTTACAATTTGAAAAGTATCTGTAATTTAATTTTGATTATATAACAAGCAGACCTTTGTATCATCCATTAAAACTTTTTTCTTCTTAAATATTTCCATTTCCAAAACTAACAATGGTGACTCTGGTGACTACTCTTAATCCTGCTGACATAACAATAATTTTCACTATATTTACTTCTCTTCTGGACTATCAGAATAATAACTATACATTGCATAATTCGTAAGAAGTGTTTTATATGTTGCCAAGTTTTCTGACAAGACATTGTACATGTTTTAATAGTAATTATGAACACAAGAAAAGCATCAGATACAACTTTTCATATGGAAAAAGATTTATATATAGTTTCTCATTCTCTATATCACAGCAATTTACTTAAACCACAGGTGTCAAACTTATCACATCACGTGATGTGTCATGATATATTGCAAGTTTTTTTGTATTGCCAGAGCTGGGGTGGGCATGGCCTCCATATGATACAATGGCCCACAAGCCAGCAGTTTGACACCGCTGTCCTAAACTTTAAAACAGAGCTCCCCAACCTTTCTAGGTTGGTGGCCCGGAGGGAAAGGAAGGGGAAGGCATGGGGCTGCATGCGTGTATGCGATGCAAACAAGGGCGGGGCTAGTGCCTGCACAGTGCTAAGTACAGGGTTAGCGCCGTGACACTAGAAACGGGCCTAGTGCCTGGGCGATGCTTGGGTTGGGGCTAGCCTCCGGGCGATGCTCAGGATAGGGCTAGCGCCTGCGTGACTCTCAGTAAGGGAGAGCAAGTCATGCGGCTCTTTCAAGAGGCCACAGCCTGGTAGTGGGCCACGGTCCACAGGTTGGGGACCCTGTTTTAAATGAATCTTCACAGAAAACTTTTTCATCTATCTGGCCAACCAAAGTGGAAAGGCAGAATATATTGTGGGTCCCATCTGTTAAGGAGGTTCACCAAACAGGACCTAGAAGGGCCTTTTCTATAGTAGCTTCCTTCCTCTGAAACATCATTTCTTTGGAAATAAAGTTAACCCCCTCCTTGCTACTTTTCCAGAAAGCCCTCAAGATATAGCTCTATCAGCAGACCTGGGGACCCCAGACCGATTCAGGGCCTGTCAGTGGCTCTATACGATTGCATTTGTTACCGCCACTGGGAACATGTCTCCTGGGTTTTTTATATTGTTGTTTGTTTAATGATGTATGATATCTGGAGTCATTATGTCTGAGTTAGGCTGCCATAGAAATCTATTTAATAAATAAATAACAAGAGAATCATCCATTCACTATAGCAGCTTTCAGAAAATTATTTTACTACAATGTACCATCTTATGGCTATGGGGATTCTCAGTCATCCAGGTCATGGTTGTCCCAAAGGTGCTTTTTCAAGAGACAACTGGATTTCTTTTTTCTCTTTGAGTCCACGTTTTGGACAGAGAGGCCACTAGTTTGAAAGAAGGGTCAAAGAGCCCATCTATGTCAAAATTGAACAGCCCTCTCTCAACAGACGGGGGGGGGGATATGCTATCATCTATCTACAGTCTACAACACAGTTCTTTCGGCTGTTCCAAGAAGGTTCCACACCCATTTGCATTTCTCAGGTGACCCTGAGGACAGACAAACCTGCAAGTGGCTTTAACAATTCTCTAAAATAATGCAAATGACCAGCTGTCTGCAAGAAATATAAATCCTTCCATTTCTGACATCCAGTCAGAGCTGAAGAAGCTTCTTGGATGAGAAACAAAATGTCTTCAAAGAAAACAAGAAAATCCAGTTGCCTCATTAAAAAGCACCTTTGGATGCCATCTTATGGTAAGACTTATCTACTACATGTACTTTTCCCAGCTCTCTAAAATTAACACATTTCGTATTTTAATATGGTTTTAGAAATATATTATACCCCTTGAAAAAACAGAAAAGCTTCTGCCAGAGGATGTTAGCAGCTAAAACAAATAAATATGAATGATCATTTGCTTACAGTTATAGAATATGAGAATACATTTAGAATAACATGCCTCAAAAGATATGAGTTTATCCCCTTTTTCTAGTCTGTTAGAACCTGCATTCTGCAAAGTGCAACAGTCACATTAGACATTAGCAGCTAGTTAATAATAATACATATTGAGCTTACATATGTACTGTAGAAGCCAAGATCTACTATCAGCATACATAAGTCATCTTTTCTGACTGAGCTGTCTGGCAAGTGCTGGGAGGGATGAAAACAGATGGGTCACTTATCCCAAGCTTGAGATCAAAAAAACGAGTAGAGGTTGTCACGCTGTAGTTCTTGGTGTAGGTTTCCTGAACTGGATAACAATCCTTGACTGTGTAAACTCCCACCCAATTTTCGACTGTAATGAAAAAAGCACAAATTCTTACTGCTTCTAGAGAAAAGCATGATTTTAAGTTTTCAAAGTCAATTATAATAAGACAATAATATAATTAAAAAATAATTTCAATTTTCCTGACCACAAATGAAGGATTAATACAATCATTCTTAAGCCCACTAATTCTAGGAATTAGTTTCATTGGTTTTGATGCAGTTATTCTGCAGTGAGTGACTTCAGAGTTAAATGATATTCTAACACAAGAGTGGGAAGTTGGTAAGAGCATCACTAGATTAAAAAAAAGCACCAAATAGTTCCCTCTTCTAAACAAATTTTTAATGCATTCAAGTCAGTGTTGATTACTGTAGTGCCTGGAAAAATCCCTGCAATTTCCTTGGTAATTTTGGATGTGATTTGCCTTTGCCTCCTTGCTAGGGCTAAGAGAATGACTGGCCCTTCTTTATTACTTGCATGGCGGCACCTTGCTTGGCTGCGCCTGCTTCAGCTCTCAAAAGTGTGGGGGTTAGGGAGGGAAATGAATGATCCAGACTGAAACACTTTTCAGAAATAGGGACAACTAAGCTGAGTTGGGCTGCTAAACTTTCATACGAACGTCAATCCATATTGGAGATGAAGAAATTCAGCGTGAAAGGAACGGTGGAGAAATCTGTTCAGGAGAGTCTGCCTGGCCTCAGATTACTACAGAGGAGAAAATCAAGGACGGAGTTGCTGGCAGCTGACAGGAGGGTGAGAGATCAGCTGCAATGTCTGGAGGAGCAGGGAGGAAGAAAGAAAGTTGCTGGAGATGGAAACAGCATCGTGCTCAGTGTTTTGAGCAGCGAAGGCAGTATCTCGAGCCACAGGGACAGAGTGGAGGAGCAGCCATTGCAGCTGGGAAATTTCCCTTCATTGCTGATCATCTTTGGAAGAAAAGGAGGTGTGACCATAAGAGGAAATGTGGAAAATGCAGAGGTTTAACATCTAGGCCAGGGGTAGGCAACCTCAGCTCTTTTATGACTTGTGGACTTCAACTCCCAGAATTCCTCAGCCATGCTGGCTGAGGAATTCTGGGAGTTGAAGTCCTCGAGTCATAAAAGAGCCGAGGTTGCCTACCCCTGATCTAGGCTAAAAGCTAGACCATACAGAGTGTCTCTTCCATCTATTTTGTTTGCAAATGCTTGCTCCTTAGAACCAAAAAAGGATTACTTGAGGCTGGATTTAACAACAAAGTGGATGGTGAGAAATTGCTGTGTCATTATTGCAACAGAAACTTGGTTAAAGCCCTCTGTCCCAGATAGTGCTGTTAGCTTGATGGGATTTTCAACATTTCGGCTGGACAGGAGTTTTACTCTTAGTGGCAAATCCCGGGGAGGAGGTGTCTGTTTTTATATAAATGACAGATGGTGTAATAATGCCAAGGGGGTTTCAAGTCTGTGCTCCCCAGATGTGGAGCTTCTGATCATCAAATGTAGATCCTTCTACCTAGAGAATTCTCTGTTACCATTATCACAGCTGTGTATATCCCCCCTGATGCAAGCAGAGAAGAGGCCCTGAAGGTTCTCTGTCATACCATCAGTGACTTACAAACTATTCACCCAGAGGGTGCATTTATTGCAGTGGGAGACTTTAACCAAGTGGATTTAAAAGCTATCCTGCCACATTTCCATCAATATATAGACATTGTAACCAGAAGGGACAATACACTGGATCTTGCTTATTCCAACATCAAGAAGGCTTTCAAAGCTATCCTCCGCCCTCATCTGGGCTCCTCTGACCATCTCTCTGTGCTGCTTATTCCAGCATATAAACCTTTATTAGTCAGAGTGAAACCTACAGTAAAGCAGGTGAGGGTTTGGACAGAGGGAGTGATAGAAGCATTACAAGACTGCTTTGAGTGCATAGATTGGGGCATGTTTAAGGAAGCAGCTACTGATAACCAACATACAAATGTTGAGGAGTATGCCATCATGGCGTCTGCATATATCCAAAAGTGCATAGAAGATATCTATGTCCTGAAAAGCATTATTGTGAGGGCGAATGAAATACCGTGGCTGAATTATGAGCTCTGCAAGATGCTGAAAGCACGGAATGTGGCTTTCAAATCTGATGACATGTTGGCACTTAGAACAGCCAGAGCAAATCTGAAAAGTGCCATAAAAAGTACAAAGCAAGCCCATTGCCAGAAAATTCAGAACTTTTTTCAGGACCCAACAAACACCAGGTGAATGTGGCAAGGGATCCAGGCCATTACGGATTATAAGGTGGCTCCATCGAGATGCAAGGATGACACAGACTTCCTAAATAAACTGAATGCATTTTGGGGTAGATTTGAGGCATCAAATAGCACTCCTGCTAGGAAAGCTGTGCCCCATCCTGATGAGCAAGTGCTAAGCTTTGATGTCACCTCTGTCCGGAAAACACTGCAGACAGTTAACATTTGGAAAGCAGCAGGCCCAGATAACATCCCTGGACGTGTCCTCAGGGAATGTGCAGAGGAGCTAGCTTGTGTTCTCACAGATATTTTCAACCTCTCATTGCAGCAGGCAGTGGTTCCATCGTGTTTTAAGACAGCCATCATCTTGCTAGTGCCAAAAAAGTCCACAATTATAGGCCTCAATGATTACCGTTCGGTTGCACTGACATCCACCATCATGAAATGCTTTGAGTAACAGATAAAGGACATTATTGTATCTAGCCTCCCACCAAGATTTGACCAGTTTCACTTTGCCTACTGACCAAATCGTTCTACGCAGGGTGCTATTTCTTCCGTTCTCCATCTGAGCTTGAAGCACTTAGAGGAAAGAAATACTCACGTGCGTTTGTTGTTTGACTTCAGTTTGGCATTTAACACAATAATTCCCCACCATCTAGTAGACAAACTGGGCCTTTTAGGCTTAAACACTCCTTTGTGCAACTGGATTCTTGATTTTCTTACCAACAGGCCTCAATATGTGCAAGTTGAGACAAATACCTCTAGTACCATTTTCTTGAGCACAGGTTCTCCTCAGGGCTGCATCTTAAGTCCCCTGTTGTTCACCCTGTTGACCCATGACTGTTGTGCTAGGTTTGCCACCAACCATACTGTGAAGTTCGCAGATGATACAATAGTAGTGGGCCTTATTCAGGATGACAAGGTGGAAGCTTACCGCAAGGAGGTTGAGGAGTTGGTGAACTGGTATAAGGAAAACAGCCTAGTTTTAAATACTGGAAAAACCAGAGATCGTTGTCGATTTCACAAAAGGCAGGCACAGCCACACTTCTCTGTGCATTAATGATTCATCTGTGGAAATGGTTACCAGCATCAAATTCCTGGGTGTGCAGCTAACGAGTAGGCTGGCTTGGTCGCTCAACAGTGAGAAACCGATGAAGCGGGCACAGCAGTCCCTGTGTTTTCTGCGTCGCATGAGAAAAGCACATCTTCCTTTCCCTGTCCTGACTACTTTCTACAGGGGATCGATCGAGAGCATACTGTCATACAGCATAACAGTCTGGTTTGGAAGCATGACTGCTTTAGACAGGAAGGTGGTACAGAGAGTGGTGAGAATAGCGAAAAGATCATTAGCAGCTCCTCCCTCCCATCCAGGACATAGCACAGAAGCATTGCTTGAGCAGGGTCCGTAAGATTATCTGGAACACTACATATCCTCTTCATAACCTGTTTTCCTTGTTACCTTCTGGGAGGAGGCTTCATGGTATCCATAGCAGAACATCCAGATTCAGCCATAATTTCATTCCATATAGCAGTGATGGCGAACCTTTTAGAGACTGAGTGCCCAAACTGCAACCCAAAACCCACTTATGCATCGTCGAGTGCCGGGTGGCTGTGGCCCATTGGCTGGGTGTGGCCAATTGGATGGGCATGGCCACAGTGGTAACGGCAGACTGGGTGGGACTAAAAAGTTCAATAAATCAATTCCAACTTTGCAAGATCTTTTTTTCCGCGAGAAGTTGAAATTGACTGATTGAACCTTTTTTTTTTTGCACATAGTGGCAGAGGCCTAAAGTGAAAAGGTTTTATAAAACCCAGCGGAAGGCCTAGGACTGGGGCGACGGCACGCGTGCCCACAGAGGGCTCTAGGTGCTGCCTCTGGCACCCATGCCATAGGTTCGCCACCACTGCCATTTAGCATTAACCTTATGAACTCTCAAGCTTCCTCCTTCTGTGATATATTCAAGATGGATAGTATTTAATATTTATTTGCTATATATATATGTAGGGGTGTGGGTCTATACATATGTTTATTTATTTATTTATTTATTTATGAGACTTATATACCGCTTTAAGTGCAAGCACTCTCTAAGCGGTGTACACCAGTAAGCAATGTATATATATTTTACATTGCCCCCAACAATCTGGGTCCTCATTTTACCTACCTCGGAAGGATGGAAGGCTGAGTCAACCTTGAGCCGGTGAGATTTGAACCGCTGACCTGCTGAACAAAGTCAGCTAAAGTGGCCTGCAGTACTGCACTCTAACTGCTGCGCCACCTCGGCTCTATGTTGTACATAGTATGTTAGGTGTGTTTCATGTATGTGTTTCACTTTGAGAGTGGGCAACTAAATTTCATTTTTGATGTGTGCCGTTGTGCCCACAGTAAAAAAATGACAATAAATGTTATCTTATTTTATCTCTTATCCCAAGATCACCCAGTTAATTTTAAGCCTAAAATGGGACTAGAAGACATCATCTCCTAGTTTCTAGCGTGGTGTCTTAAATATTATACCAAACTGACTTCCCTTACAAACTTGAGTGTTTTAAATATCCAGGTCTGTTCAAAATCTACAGGTTAATGCTTGAATACTGTGACATTTATACCTGAATAAACATATATAATGGGCTAAACAACTTTTTATAATTGATTAAGTATATTAACAAATTTGGAGAACTGTGAATTTTTAAGAATAATTGTATTTTGGCCGTGTATTGTAAAATAGGCAGCAGCATCTGGCAAGCCATGTCTCCCATCCTATGAATTAGGTTAACTAAACTCTAAACATTTTGCAAGTCTAGGAGAAACAATGTTATAATGTTTTGTAGGTGCCCTGCTGGCAGGTTGTTTTTAAAACTGAAATCTAGGGATATATTCAAAATTAAGACTAGAAAATATTTTTAAATCCATATTTGAATTAGTCAATGCTTACATAAAATGAGAACATAAAACATATTTAGCATATTTTTTGTATATTTGCTGATAATCACCTAACAACGATAACAATATAATTATGATGCTGTTCATATGGGAACAAATTATCCCATTTAGGATTGAAAAATAATAATATAATGCTTACGTTTCCTAGCTGGCTTTCTGTCAGACCATTCCTGGATCATAATTTGGTCACCTGGTCCTCCGATGTAGTACTGATCTTCATAGGTTGAGTTGTCAGGAATGTCATAAGGATCCCATGGCTCACTCAAAGAAATCTTGGAACACAGTTTTGTTTCTTGTTCAATCTGATACATCACTGCATCTTTATAAAGATATATGTATTCAAAAAATCTGAAAAAGAAAGAAAAAGTGGAGTAAGGTTCTTGTTCAAATAATGTTAACATAACTTAGAATAGGGCTTTTCAACCGGTGGTATGCGTACCACTTGTGGTACATTAACGAGTGACAGGTGGTACACAGCCCTGCCTAGCAAGTGTAGTGGGGGAGGGAAAGAGCCAGCGCAGGCAAGGACTTACTGTGAGAGAGTCCTCTGGAGCTGCAGAGTGGCTGGGGCAAGGCAAAGGCCCCAGGCTCACTTCTGGCTCACCCTCCCCCATTAGAAAGGAGGAGGAGGGGCAGAGACAGGAGAGGCTATAAAAGGAGGCAGTTTGGAGGGGGGAGAGAGAGAGAAAAAAAGAAGCAGCCTTGGGAGGAAGCGGAGTCAGCTCTAGCTGCACCGGAGAGGAGGAGGAGGAGGAGGAGGAGGAGGAGATCAAACAGGCCGGCCATGAGCCAATCTCCAACTGCTGTGGCAGCCACCTGTGCTGGCAGCAGCAAACAGGCAAGAAATGCAAGAGGAATGAAAAAAGGCAGCAATGGCTGGAGGTGAGGCACAGGGGAGGGAGGGAGATGGAGAGTGGAAGGATTTTTATGTACTTTTGTGACTTTGAAGTTCTGGGATTTGTGCAATGTGGGCATTGTGTTCTTAAGGAGTGTTTGGCAATTTCTGTTTGGCTGATGTCTCCTGTTAGCTTCTATTGCTCTGCTATTGTTAGCTGTAAGTTTTGCTGCAAGGGATTTTGAAGTATTTTTCTCCTAAATGGATTTTGTCTGTAGCATTCCTTTACTTATGAATGGAGCCATTTGGGGAGGCTGCCTTAGCTGGCAGTCTGTACTTGTAAATGTAAAACGTTTTTATCAGTGGCCAAATACTGTTTTCTTAACTTCTTGCTGGAAAGAATACTAGCATTCCACAATTTATGCTTTTAAAATCTTCACAAGTCAATTCTTACTTGTTTTATGTAATTATTTAGTTATATGCCAAAGTCCCACATAGCTGATATATCCTTTTTTTACTAAACCATATAGACAGTTAGACAAACATTTCAATGCTGAGCTACATAACTGCTCCACAATTATATATATATTTAGTATATGTATACTAAAAGGTCACTGCTAAGTAGTACTTTGTGTATATTTCCCCCAAAATGGAATTAATTTAATAAAACAACAAACTTTTAGCCATTTTCTACAGAGGTGTAGGAAAAATAAGTTACCTTATTATTCTTGATTTTGCTTTTTGTTACGTTTTATTAATTTCATTATATTTCCTTTGATTATAACCCTTTTTAAGTCCAATATAAATGTACTAAAACACAGTATTAATATTCTACCCAAGCAATGAACTTGTGGCTGATCCAAACTGAAAAAGTCAAAAAAGCCCACAGCAAGATGAGGGCTCTTCATCCTTGGATGGTTGAAATTGAACAGACAGACAGAAGACATATCACATTATCTCTGGAAAGAAGTGAGGGATGATGGTCACACTGATACAAGGAAAGATGGTGACTAAATCAATAAATGAAGCCATTCGGTAAAGGTTAATAGTTGAAATTCATTGCAAATGTCCTTAATGAAAATAGATGCTACTTTCTTTGGATAGCTATCCTGAGACAACATCCTGTGAATCTTGGCTGGACAAGATCTTGTCCTCTCTGAATCAACAGAAGGTCAAATGATATTAAGGAACCAGAAGAGAATAATCAAAATAGCCTTTTCAAACAGACAGGATTATACGTAGTGCCAGATATAATCATACTTCAGAGCTGAGTCACTGTACATTATCAAAGTGTATCCTACTAATGGCCTACATCAATGTTATACAAGTGAACTTCTGCAAACAGAACATAACAACTCTTCTCCCTACTGTAATGACTCCCCTGGCAGATGCCATCCATTAATTACTGGACATAGTTGAAGGGGGGGGGGGAGAAACAATGCTCCTATAGTAAATATGATTTGAGTATGAAACCATTCAAAATAAATTAATAAAAACAAATCTTATGAATAATAATAAAATAACTGTAATTAATTGCCTGTCTTTCCCACATATATTTATTAATGGGATTTGTAATTAAGAGTCAGTCCCAAGATGGAAATTGCTCAAAGAATGTATAGTTGGTACAGCCTGCCCAGCCTGTCCAGCCAAGACGAGTTCAAATCACCAGGACCAGATGGATTACACCCCAAGGTTCTTAAGGAACTGGCAGATGTGATCTCAGAACCACTGAACTATATTTTTCAAGATCCTGGAGCACTGGGAAACTACCAGAGGACTGGAAAAGAGCTGATGTAGTTCCCATCTTCAAAAAAGGGAAAAAATGGATCCAGGAAACCACAGACCTATCAGCCTGACCTCAATACCTGGGAAGATTCTGGAAAAGATAATCAAACAACGAATCAGCGAACACCTAGAGGCAAACAAAGTCATTACTAAAAGCCAACATGGGTTTGTCAAAAACAGATCATGCCAGACAAATCTTATTGCATTCTTTGACCAAGTGACAAAATTAGTGGACCAGAGGAATGCTGTGGATATAATTTACTTGGACTTCACTAAGGCATTTGACAAAGTAGACCACAACCTACTACTTGAAAAGATAGAAAAATGCGGGTTAGACAGCATCACCTCCAGATGGATCCGTAGCTGGCTGTCCGGCCATACTCAGCGTGTGGTCCTCAATGGAACCGCATCTACATGGAGGGAAGTGCGTAGTGGGGTGCCCCAGGGCTCTGTTCTGGGCCCAGGGCTCTTCAACATCTTCATCAACGATCTGGACGAGGGGATTAATGGGGAACTCATCAAATTTGCAGATGACACCAAGCTGGCAGGAATAGCCAACACTCCAGAAGACAGGCTTAGGATACAGGGGGACCTGGACAGACTTGAACACTGGGCGCTATCTAACAAAATGAAATTCACTGGTGAAAAAAGTAAGGTTCTACATTTAGGCAAGAAAAACCAAATGTACAGGTATAGTATAGGGGGTACCTTGTTCAATAGTAGTAACTGTGAGAGCGACCTCGGAGTCCTAGTGGACAATCATTTAAATATGAGCCAGCAATGTACTGCAGCTGCCAAAAAAGCCAACACAGTGCTAGGCTGCATTAACAGAGGGATAGAATCAAGATCACGTGAAGTATTAATACCACTTTACAATGCCTTAGTAAGACCACACTTGGAATACTGCATTCAGTTTTGGTCACCACGATGTAAAAAAGATGTTGAGACTCTAGAAAGTGTACAGAGAAGAGCAACAAAGATGACTAGGGGACTGGAGGCTAAAAAAGGTTGCTGGAATTGGGTATGTCTAGTTTAACGAAGAGAAGGACGATGGGGGACATGATAGCAGTGTTCCAATATCTCAGGGACTGCCACAAAGAAGAGGGAGTCAAGCTATTTTCCAAAGCACCTGAAGGCAGGACAAGGAACAACGAAAGAAACAACCTAGAACTAAGGAGAAACTTTCTGACAATTAGAACAATTAACCAGTGGAACAACCTGCCTCCAGAAGCGGTAAATGCGCCAACACTGGAAGTTTTTAAGAAACTGGACAGCCATTTGTCCAAAATGGTATAGGGTTTCCTGCCTGAGCAGGGGGTTGGACTAGATGACCTCCAAGATCCCTTCCAACTTTATCATCATCATCATCATCATTATTATTATTATTATAGATATGGCTAATAACATATAGTTAGTCCTTTGGCCAAGACTGTAATCAGTTAACAGAGATTATTTTTCTATGTGCTATATTTTTGTTTGATTTTTTTTTATGGGAAACAATTTTTGTAACTTAGCCTCAAACAAATAGCTGAAGAAAAATGATACTTTTTCACATATTATTTCTTTTAAAAAGCTTAACTACTTTAAACAGTGTTGCTTCTTATCAGTCCAGAAGAAAAAAAAATGCACGTATGCCATTTTCCCCATGTGGAGAAAGAAAAGGAAAGGCCTCTGTAATCATCATTGACTCTTCCTGCCTACCAACACATTGCAATTCTCACATGCAAGGAATGACACATACAGTAGGTACACACATATTATAAAAAGTTCATCATTTTATACATAACTTTATTTAATTCTGTGGAGAGCAATTATGAGATAAAAATGCTATAGAAATATAATTGAACTTGGACCTGAATGTCATTATCTGAACACAGAAATTACTTTTGAAAGTGTGTTTAATTACCTTGTATCCTGGTGGGCCATTGCTAAAAACTCTAACACAATAATTGTATTAATGTGTTAGATATAGTTAAAGGGTATATTAACTAAACTTTTTTCTCTTCTGTATGTGAATTATTACTTTTCCATGCTTTAAATGTTTATTTGCATGAATAAAATACATATGAAAAAAAATGAACATTAAGGATCGTCACAGCTAATTATTCTCTATTGTTTATAAACATGAGTGCTTTTTGAGGTGATAATTCTCCATTGTAAACTAGCATTGTTTCAGTTAATTAATTTCTAATTTCTGAGCTGCTAGTCTCCAAATTAACTAAAATTAATGTTTACATCAGCCCAAACCTCTATAAAACATCCACAATAGGTTCCTACAACCAATTTTTTGTGTATCTACACTTGTACCAAATTCATTTCTCCTCAACAGGATTGACCTCTAATTTTGACAGAACAATGTCAGGGTTCTGATATCTATTAACACTCAAAAAAACTTGCCTCTTCAACCAATTCTTGTCCTTAGAACAAAAACAAGCCTTTCCGATTATTAAAACCAGATTACTTTGAATGAACTGTATTTAATTGCACATGGTCTCAAGAAGCATTCAGAATATCTAGATGAGATCTAAGGTGTATATTTAACCATGCTATGTTTTGCCTGCAATAATTTACAATGATAGATTAGCCAAAGTTCTTTTTTCTAGAAAAGTTTCCCCCTTTCCCTACAATTAAAATTCAATAGAAACCACCAGCATGTTTTATTGCATTACTTCTATTATAAAGGTAGCCATCAATGTCTCATCTCTCCCATGCTGGAACTTATGCCAGGATGATTCCTTAAATTTTATCTTGATTTTCTCTTTTCAGACAATAAGTCTAACATTACATATAATGTAGCTGAATTTTGTGACACAGCAGCAAAAGATGCAAATTACAAGAATGCTATTCTTGTAACAAAGAATAAATACTATACCCAGAGTTACTTATGTTGTTAGAATTATAACTGAATAATAGTTTTAAATCAGTTTTTGATTATGCTATATTATTATCATGCAATTTTATTGTCCAACTCTTTTATTGTTCTGATCATTAAATAAAAATATTTGTGGTGATGATGAGGATGAATGTAGGTATGTATCTGTGTGTATACCGTAGTTATGCCAGTTCTTCACCATGCATTTTAATTTTAATTCATCTCTATTTGCCAATGGACCACATTGAATAATGTAAATCATTCCATTTTTTCTAATGCATTCATCTGCAAGCAGAGAAGCTACCTTATAAGTTCAAAACTTTCTCTTTAAAGAAAAAATGCATAACATCTACTTTACAGAAGATTCCTATTTTTAATGCTAGTTTTTACTCCTCAGTTCAAGTAAGGGTCTCCTGTTTTGCAACCAGATATAAAAAGTAGGGTGTGAATTCTGCAGAAAAAAGAATTCAACTTACCACAAAAGCTTTGTCTGCTGTAATATGCTCTTCTCCATATCTATAAGAGTAGGCAACCTGCCCTCCTTGATACCTGTCCTCTTTAAGTTCTAATTTTCTGAAAGCTTGGAATAGAATGTTATGAAGCCAAAATTACACCATGCACAAGCAAACTAACACCACAGTTGGAGGTAGGAGAAAGACATTTGCATAACTTTATGAAAAGCCTAAGAAAGGTGAAACACCTCGAGAATAGCCACAAGCAACACGTTCAGTTACCACAAAATGCTGGGAAGTTAAAAGAAATAGAAAAAAGCGTAAAAGAAAATGGAACAGACTATTCTGAATATAGCCAAATACTAGGTGGGGCAATAAGGGCTCAAATAAAGACCACGGGAAGAGAATTAAGTATCTTTAAAGAGGCTGGAATTCTACACAGTATAATCATGATCCACTCGATGACCAAGTGCCACTCGATTATTTTTATTGTGTAATTATATTAACCAAACATGGAACTAAATTCGGGCGTGGTGAGGTGGTCAATATCTTTCTTTGTCCCAGGTTCGTCCGCTGCTTCTTGCGCTTCCCCCCCCCCCCCGCGCAACTACAAAACATTCTTTGGGGCACTATTGCGTGGGGCGCTATTGAATTGCACTGTTGGGATCCACCTATTGCGTATTCATTCCGCTTTCTCAAAATCTCACCTGGAGCCAACACCCTATGCGAACCCATAAACCAACATTTTAGGGTTGGGCGTCTTCGGAACTGCAGCAAACCACACCCGCCACGGAAAAGTAAGCGGGATTTGTTACCAGCCTGCACAAAACTCCCTCCTCTACTAGCGGATGATCCAATATGCGCGTGTGCAAGTTTTGCAAGCTTCCCCGATCCGGTGCGACCAAGCGGCGCATGGGATTGGGTAGAGGATTTATTCCCCGCCTCGTGAAAGGCGAGGCTGAAAAAAAACACCCCAGTCTTTACTGTGTGTGTGGCTAGATAGGGCTATTGCAGTGATTTCCTAAACTCCACCTGAAAGATAGCAAGGGGAAACTTACTTCTTGCAAGGGATGAACCTCTTTTTTTCTTCCAGAATACGGAGGCGCTGGTTGGGATTGTCATAAGACACCATGGCGCGGATATTCCTGCCGCTGCTGTGGTCGTACTCCACCGTGCGGCCCTCCCATTGGAGCGGGGCCTTGCAGGGGACGGCCGGTTGGGCCCTTGCTGCCCAGATCAAGCTTATTAAGATATTGCTCATTAGCAGCGCGGAAAAGCCGCGGCTGAAAGCGATGGTTTTGAGGGTCATGCTTTCGCCCACGTTCTCTTTCGCCCCGCTCGCTTAACGCTGTAGATTCGGCCAGAATCCGTTCGTGGGCGGCTCTCTTCCCTCCTACGGCGTGCCCCCGATAGTCAATAGCAGCAGTGTCAGATCTGGAAGGCTGCGAAGGGAAATGTCTGCTGCTGCTCGCCACGCCGCGATTGGACAGGAACTGCAGAGGGAGCTACCGCCACCACTCTGCCAAAACAGCCCCGATCTTTACCCAAAGAGCTCTGCGCTTCTGCACGGGGAGAAGAACGAGGGTCTTGGTTTTCCTAGCTGGATCATAATGGCTGCAGATCGCCGGCATGGTGCTCTTGCAGGACTTAACGGCAACGGTGCCGATATCCTAAACAGGAAATATAGTCGATGTCGTCAGTTGGAGTTACATCCTTACGATTATAATCGCAGGTAGCATTACTAAGCAGGCTGAAGTCCTCTGTCTACCGAGTTTGGTTTCCTTTGGATGTTCTTGGAGGCATCTCGTTACAAAAATCTGGAGGGCTACTAAGTGGCAGATTTTTTTTTTTTTTTTGCTAGAATTACAGCAGTCGTTCAATGCTAACTCATTGTAAGCAATGCAGTATATAGAATTGGATCCTAACATTGACTTATTTTCTTGATCTATATAACGGGAATTTTTATTTCAGTGCCTCTACATGCGATTAGAACTAGTTTGGTGTAGTGGTTAAGAGTTAAGTTTTCAGAGTGAAAAAAGGAGACATTGAGTTCTAGTTTTGTCTTAGACATACAGCCAGCTGTGTCATCTTTAAGAAATCATTTTATCTCAGCCTTGGAAGGAGGCAATGACAAACCACTTCTGAAAAATCTTGCCAAGAAAACTGCAGGGATTTGTCTGGGCAGTTTCTAAGAATATGACACAATTGAACAGAAAAAAAATCTATTTGAATCCATTCCATAATGTGATCATGTTTCACAAACATTGGAAGTGCATATGTATTCTGGTGATTGTCCATATGCTAACAATGATATTAATTATAAGACCCTTTCCACGTTTTCTTGGAAATAAACACAAAACAGTTATCTCTTCACTGACTTTGCCCCAACTTGACTTACTGGAACTGAGATAACTTCTTGAGTTATCTCTTGGAACTGCAAATCAAAGATTATTGTAGAATTGTTCTTATTTTTCCTCAATAATCATCTTTGTTGCTTTCTGGTAAAGAAAAGAACCAAAATGGAGAGAAAGCAACGAATGAGTCAGCAGATGAAAGTATAATGTAGATATATATTATATTGTAGGCAGTACTTTTTTTCTAAAAAAAAAAAGGTGCCAGAACTCACACACATCATATAACCCACCTTGCCTACCCAATAAGGTTCCATCCAGGGCGTTCTATGAGAAAAAAAGCCCTTATTGTATGTAATGTGGCTTACATGTACACAGAAGGACAAGGGGGGACATGATAGCAGTATTCCAATATCTCAGGGGCTGCCATAAAGAAGAGGGAATTAAGCTATTTTCCAAAGCACCTGAAGGCAGGACAAGAAGCAACGGGTGGAAACTAATCAAGGAGAGAAGCAACCTAGAACTAAGGAGAAACTTCCTGACAGTGAGAACAATTAATCAGTGGAACAGCTTGCCTCCAGAAGCAGTAAATGCTCCAACACTGGAAGTTTTTAAGAAGAGACTGGACAGCCATTTGTCCGAAATGGTGTAGGGTTTCCTGCCTGAGCAGGGGGGTGGACTAGATGACCTCCAAGGTCCCTTCCAACTTTACTACTATTACTATTACATACATTTCTATTGTGAACTGTGTTTTAAATTATCTCTTTCAATCCCACTTTTCTATTTCTGGATTCACAATAATATCAATAGTTACAATAATACCTAAATAGTTTTTCAAAGCATCACTTTCCTTTAATGTACTTATAAGGGGTTCGTGTTCCCTTTCACTTATAACTGCATGAAAATGTCTAGTGAATCTCAACTTTAATTTTAGAGAAGCCAGTTTAGAACATGTCATTTTAGAAATAGCTATCTCAAATAGGGACATGCATTTTGTTATAAATTTCACTGCAAAATTGCTCAAAATGGAGGTAGAAAGTGCATAATGGTGGTTTTCAGAAGACAATTTGTGCCCAGTAATTTAGACTAGGACATGGGCAAATAAATGTCAACTTGAAGAGACAAGCATGGCAATGAGCTTCTGATTGAAGATAGTTATCCTATTGTTTTCCAGCACCTCGCTGGAAAACAATAGGATAACATTGTTTGAGAAGAACAAGTGACTATGCTGTAGTATGCTATGAAAAGCCAATATTAAAAATGATTATTCAGAAATAAATATTTACTCATAAAAAGAAGCGGTAGTTTTTTGATAAGATACAGTGTATCTCTTAACAATTATTTTAAAGAATGATGTGAATATTGTTACATGAAATTTATAAGGTATATCTTTAATTAAAAATTTATGAAGTTTTGATTTGTTTTTTGAGGTCATCATGGGCATTGTCAATTAATAACTGAACCCCCATTCAGTTAATTATTGTTATGTTGTTGAAATTTGTTTCTTCCTTCCCCAAATAGTTATAAAAGAATAAAACATTTATAAATGTTGCACTTTCCCAAAGAGCTGTATTAATATAGACTTCATGTAATTTCGCCGTTGCCTTAAGGCAGTGGTTCTCAACCTTTTTAATGCCGCAACCCCAACCAGTCGTAAGTCGAGGACTACCTAACCGGTCATAAGTTGAGGACTTTCCCTGCTGGGGAACACCGTGCATGCATGGTGCCGCCCCCTGCACCGGCCAAGGCGTAGCTAGCAAGGGGCAGCAACGGCGCAGGGTGACCACCCGGCTGGGCCACCAGCTGGCCCAGCCCAAGGGAGGTAAGGCACCCACCGGGTCCCACGCGCGCCAGCAACCCTCCCTGTGCCCGCCGGCCTCCCACCTCCCACCCCTGGCCCTCTTTTACTTACATTTTTAGGAGTTGCTCGGCAGGGAGGGGTGGAAGCTTCCAGACAGCTCGCCTTCACTGCAGACAACTTGCAGCACTGTTTGCAGACTGGGGCTTTTGCGGGCTCAGCAGGGCAGAGACAGCCTGGACAATTCCTATTGGCTTTTGAAAGCCAATAGAATTAGACTCTACTCAAGAGAGTCTATTCTATTGGCTTTCAAAAGCCAATAGAATAAAAGGGAGTAGCACAGCTAAGGAAAAGGGAGAAAAAATGGCAGACTGTGTTGTTTGGCGACCCCCGTGAAATGGTCGTTCGACCCCAAATGGGGTTGGTTGAGAACCGCTACCTTAAGGTATTTACTACCGTTAGATGCAATGATTATTGTTTATTGATTTTAATGGCTTGCAAAAGAATCTACCACTACAGAGAAAAGCTCTATCTATGCTCATTAATCATGGTAGCTGAATGGATACTATACTGTTAAACTATTTCTAATTGCCAGATGTTGGTATCAAGTAAAATGGGATGGTACTGTTGGTAAACTTTCCAAAAGTATATCATTGACCAAATATAACCATCAGTCAATCAATCCCTAGCTCCTTTAATCTTGGTCTGGTATAAGACAGTTCAGGTTCTTAATTAATAAAAGAAGAATATGAAAACTTAAACCATTCTCAGCATGGCTTCTGTTCAATAAATACCTAGAATAGATAGGGATTCACACTACTATATCAGTATCACAATTGTGATAATAGAACCTATACTTGGACTTTTTTTTGGATTTGATCAACTTTGTCTAATTTGGAAAATAAATAAAGACAATCAGCTATGGTTAATCTTTGGATAGGAGACCATCAGGGAATTCAGGGAGACCAAACAATAACTCCAAACCCATGCAAAGTCATCAGGGTACACAACTTGAAAGATATTATTTTATCTTTATATGAAACACAAAGTCATCCAGAATTATAGGAAAAGTGTAATGCCACAAATTAATTATGCTATCTCTGGCCAGTTATTGTGATACTATTATGTTTACGTATTAAAGATTCAGAATGAAAGACAGTATAAGTATAAACCCTGAGAGCTAGAGAGCTTCGAGGATGGCACTTGGGTGGAAATGAGGTAGAGTTAGGGCTTGCCTCGGAAGAAGCTTGGTCCGCACAAAAGATTCCCCCCTCCCTTCTAGTAATGACAGGGCCGGAAAACAAGCCAATTCGCACGTCATTGGCACAATCGGTTATAAATAGGGTCCCCAGCCCCTCAACTGTCTATGGTTGCTTCTTGACTGAGCCTCGACGACCCAGCTTCAGACCTTTGGAAGGAGAGCAGGCGCTTCCCTCGCGGCTCTCCCTCCCGCCGGGGTGTTCACTGCCTAGCACGAAGGTGGAAGCAAGCGGTGAGGCGGCGTCCGCTCCGTCCGGAGGATGGTCCTGCTAGTCCTCCTGGCCTGGCTCTCGCCGTGGCTTTGCCGGGCGGTTACGGCTCTGCTGCCTGGGTCCCCCTGCGAGCCGGTGCGCATCCAGATGTGCCGACATATGCCCTGGAACATGACGCGGATGCCGAATCACTTGCACCACAGCACCCAGGAGAACGCAGTCCTCGCCATCGAGCAATACCAGGAGCTGGTAGACTTCGGCTGCAGCCCGGTGCTTAGCTTCTTCCTATGCGCTATGTTCGCCCCCATTTGCACCGTGGAGTTTCTCCACGACCCCATCAAGCCCTGCAAGTCCCTGTGCCAGCGAGCCCGCGATGGCTGCGAGCCCCTCATGAAGAGATACAATCACAGCTGGCCCGAAGGCTTGTCCTGCGAGGAGTTGCCTGTCTATGATCGGGGCGTATGCATAGCCCCAGAGGCCATCGTTACGGATCTCCCCGCAGGTGAGGCGAAGGGGCAAGTTAAAGTCCAAGCGGTCCCAGGCCAACCCTATAATCCAGCTTCCCAAGAGAAGCTCTCTTGGCTGGTTGGCTTGGGAGAATAAAGCAAGGGAATGGCGCTGCTGTGGGTGGGATAGGGGTTGGTCAGGAGAAGGGAGAGTTTCCACCAGAGAGAGGTGCCTCAAGGGCTTTGTGCCCCCGCCGCTTCGACTACCTTTCAGAAATGCTCGTTCCGAAGGGCGGTCGGGCCCCGGGTCAGCCAGCCCTTGAGATATTCGACGGAAACCCAGCTGGTCCTCGCCGCTAATTGTGGGCTGTAGCCATTTCAGACAGCTTCAGGATCCACCTCACGATTTCGCCCTGGGTCCAGGCCTCTTTAGTCAGAGGAAACTTCGACCAAGCCAAGAGGGAACTTCCCCTCCCCTCCCCCAATCCCTTCCCCACTGCCGCTCGGCTGACTTTCCTAGATGGTCATCGCAGGCCGGGTCGGATTTCAGGTTCCCTTTCATCCGGGCCGATGGAAGAGAAAACACGACTCTCTTCTGAGCCGGCCAGTTATGAAAGTGGCAAGAGCGGGGCTGGCCAGCTTGCTAGCTTTCTTGCAGGTCAGTGCACCTTGTGTGGGGGGCGGGGAGTAGGTAAGTCTGTGTAGGTGTGAACGCAAGAGGGTGGGCTTTGGAGATGTGTGGATGCTGTAAGTCTCTTGAGAGAGGAGAGGAAAGCTTTCCCTGTTCCCTTCTGTGTCTTCTTTGCCTTCCAACCGTTTATTGCCCCTTTGGGGTGCCTGTTTTCTTGTTAAGAGAAGGTGAAGTGGATTGATTTTTCGGAGGATGTGATGCTCCACGAGAAGCCGCTGCTCCTAGAGTGCAAAATGCCTAGTAAGTGTCCTTTCTGTCTTCTTACTTCGATGGGGCTCACTTCTGCTGGGGAGTTGGCAGCGATGGGAATTTACCCCTTTCTTTTCTCTCTCACACTCTCTGCTTCTAAAAAACGTCTAGACCGCTGCAAATGCAAGAAGGTGAAACCCACGCTGACGATTTATCTGAACAAAAACTACACCTACGGTAAGAAAAACCGCAATGGGTGGTGATGGTGGTGGTTACAGACAGACAAAATGAGCGCGCGATTTACTCACTTCCCCCTTTTTTCTAAGGGGAAAGTGCTGGGATTTTCAGCTCCATAAAATTGGACCCGTTAATTATTCCTCCAGAGAATCTGAAAGTAAAAACCAAAACAAAACAAAACGAACTCCCCCCCACACACAAGAAAATAAAATTGTGTTGCCTTATTTTTTATTTTGTTTTGGTTTTCTTTAAATTTGTAATTTCTTTTATCTTTTATATATTTAAGATAGTCCATCTTTGAGCAATGTGTTTTTGAGAGGGAAGACAAGTTTTTAAATAATTCATCTTTAGATGGAAAAATATACTGCTCAAAAAAAAAATAAAGGGAACACAAACGTATAGGATCCTATACATTTGTGTTCCCTTTATTTTTGTGAGCAGTATATAATAATGTGGTTGGAAATGAGGAAAAATATACTATCATTTGAATTTCATACCGCAAGGGAGGGAGGGAGGGAAGGAAGGATTTCACACTTCTTTGAGAGGAACCATCAATTATAGTAGTATTTTCTCCCTTTAAGCTGACATTCTCCTTTGCTGCTTCCAGGTATGTAACATCTACAATGTCTTGTTATGCATTATTTCAGAGCTAAGGTCAGTTGGCCTGTTGCTCCTGTGTCCAGAAGTGTCCAGAAGAAGATAGAAAAGAGACACATTTATTTTCTACTGATGACTAACCAGCCTACTTTGCAATCATTTCTCTCCAACATGTATCTTGGGTTCTTTACATGCCTGTCACCTTCCTCCCCCCCCACCTGTTTGATATCAATAAGCTTACAATAAGATATATCAAAGCAGAGATCTACCACTTTATTTAAAAAAGAAAAGGTGGTGTTGACCCTCTGTGCTTCTATACTATTCTATGAAATATTTCTATATCCTTCCAAAACACTTCTATCTGATTGTTTATAATCTTCAATTGGGTGAAACTGTATCATCATCATTAGGAGAGCCATTTTTAAATTGGTGTGCATTAAATGGACTAACATACAGAATGTGTCCAAAATCTGGGATTCATAAGCTGCCATGGGATTGAAATTTTGCAAAGTTGTAGCTGCTTCAGTTCAGCCATGGTCATGTGATTATCATTTCCAATGCTCCCTGGATGATTCCTACAAGGAAAGCTAGTGGGTAAAGCTGGTAGGAAGTCAGAAGTCAATCCCATTCCCATGGCTCTTTTTGCACTCCCATGATAATTCTGTTGATCTATTTTGATAAGTCTGGGGGGGGGAGATGACCCAATAAGTCACAAATTATCTAGTTATCTTTAATGTAAAGCCTCTAGTTTTCCTTATCACTGTGTTAAGGAAACAAGGAGAGAGGCTGAACTGGAGTTGTTGCTTATTTCCCAGTTTCCTTCTATGTGTCAATTTCAATCACTCTCCCCTCTCCATGAAGAAAGATACCTGATTTAACAAGCAGATAGTTAATTTTATATCAGTTGTTCTTCTCAAAGAGCCAAAAGTGTAGGCTTAATGCATGTCCCAACTGAGGTCATTCCACAAGCTGTAGTCATTTCTGAGAAAATGATCACTTTCCTGTGTCTTAAGCAGTGGCATCAACAGTTGCCACAGCATCAGTTGGGATGCATATTCCAGAGTAAAAATATTGAAGTATTTTTAAAGCTGATCACCATTGTCTTACATTTGGTCCTCAAATTGCTTTTAAAAATTCCCAATTTTTGCTAGTACAAACAACTGTCTGGTTAATAGTTTGGCTTATAGGGAAGTGGTAGTAAAGAAACAAATTCATATGCTTATCTTTTAAATATTAGTAGGTCTAAGGAAATGTTTGTGCTATTTATAACAACTTTCAGTTGGAGTCTTTGCTCAAACATATTACATGTTATACTGTTTTATGACTAGAAAAACAGTTCCTACATGTGAGTTCTGGAAATCTCATTTGTTTTCAAAAATGCTTATCCTTTATTGAACTAAGCCACAGTTTCATATTATACATAAAGATTAGTTTTGTTTAGTACAGAGGAGATGTACAGTATTTTAATGGCTTTGCCTGCCTGCCTGCCTGCCTGCCTGCCTGCCTGCTTGAATATAGTAGAAAAAAGAAAAAAGAGGGCATCCTGATGGGCTCACAAAAGCACCAGAGTTCAGCAGAACAATCACTCTGGTAAATGTATTGGGTAGAGAACCTTTGTATATATTTCTCAGATGCAGGTTTCAGTATGTTTCTCTGTACTTATTTTCCATTATTTTGCTTCTTGCAGTTATTCATGCTAAAATAAAGAGTGTGGAGAGAAGAAATTGCAATGAAATAACCACAATGGTTGATGTGAAAAATGTTTTGAAATCTTTGACTCCAGTTCCTCGTGCTCTAATTCCTCTATATACTAATTCTTCTTGCCAGTGTCCACCTCTTCTGCCAAATCAAGTTGTACTCATTATGTGCTATGAATGGCACACCAGGTAAGTGATGATAAAACAACAAGGAAGCCATATTAAGATTTATAGCACCACTATTTTATATTGATGGTGCTCAGCAAACTGTACTCATTACTTGTTTGAGATTTTCAGCAAAATGAATGCACGTAACTTTGGAGACAAGACATATATGCACCAGAAAACCTACATACTGTAGAAACTACAGAGGTGGGTTTGTTGAGACCTAGATTCAAAACCTTTTTCAACTGTAATGTTCAGCAGATCATTTTGAATCAGTTTATAAGGCTGCATTGGTAATAATGCCTTATCATAAGCCCTGAGCAGCAGTCTCTAGCATGAGGCATTATGATCCAAATACCACATCCGTAGGTGTGAGTGCATTACTGCTTTAAAAAAGATGAAGATAAGAAACAATAAAAAAGATGTATTTTGAAAAATTAAGAAAAGGTTAAACTTCTGAGTTTTGATTCTGAAAGAAGTGGGAGGAAAAATGGGTGAGGGATTGTAAAGTAATAAGCACAATATTGGTTAATCTTGAGATATTTTAGAATATCAATACAAAAGGGTGAATGTTTTCAAAATTAAGGTCAGGAATGGAAATGGATTAGAAAGAGTTCTACATTACATGAAACAAACTTGCCAGTGATGTTTCCAAAGGTCTTTGAGGTTTTAATTTTATGTGTTTTGTCAAAAGATTTGAAAAAGACAGTAAAAACAAAACACTGAGTTTCCCATTGAACTCAGCCATATATAAACAGAGGTTGAGTTACAGTGGCTTTTAAAAATGTCAAAAGTAACGGTCACTTACTTGGAAAAGTGCTGAAGAAAATACCACATTCTTGTTTCTATCACAATTTCTCCTTTTGTGATTACATTGTGGGTCTTGGTCTTGGATTAAAGGATGTGGAAACCTTAAGTTGAACCAGAGCCATTGGGGCAGGACTTAGGTTGCCTGTTGCTTGTGTTGTAAGACAGAAACCTTTTTAAAAATGTTTTTAATAACTGCACAAGCAAATCAGCATATTACCCAGATGCACGTATAGATTAAGGTTGAGTTATCTAATCACAAGTCAACTGAATAGGATATATGCAAGCCTATTGGTCTTTCCCAAGATGGCATTCTCCAACTATGTTCCCTAACTGGGAATTGGGTACAATAGGTTGAGAAAGATTAAAAACATTTCTTGATAGTTTATGGCCTGTGTTTCACTTTGTTAAATAAACAAGGCTGCAGCAACTCTTTTAGGATTATGTGACAGCCCAGCAACTTAGAACTAAAAGAAAGAATTTGCTGGAGGCAAAACAATGATGATGAAATATGTTATAAAAACCTTGAGCTTTCACTGCTTTGGGAGATTTGTATCAAAACTGATTCCAAATATCTACTGGATCAGAAGAAACAATCCCCAAAGAATACCGTGTTATACTATTTTATAACTTTGAACTAGAATCTAATCCAGCCTCAATTTTTTGGATCCCATTAGGTGCCTGATAAACTAATCAATTCACTCTAAATGATTTCTGGAATCAATTTCCTGTAGAAAGGTATCCATCCATGAAGCAACTAATGCATTTTAAATAGTTCTATATATTATTGGTCTATATACTATATATGTTCTATATTATTAAAAATTTTAATACAATATAAAACTGCATATAATTGGTGTTTTTTATTGATAATTGCTTTCATGATCCCAGAAGTACTTTTTGTAAATTGTTTTGCACAGTGCAGTATATAAATATTTTTTTATTTCACCAAACTATATTTACTAATGAAAACTTTGCTAAAGAGAAATTAAAAGAGTAAGTCCCAGTGACAATAACCAAACCTTAAAAAATTATAGATTTCTCACTTCTCTTCATTGTAGAGAAAGTAGCCCAAGAGCAGTGAAAGTGATGCTCTGAAGGTCTTTTATTGTTACATTGGTGAAAACTCTTAGCATTTTTTTTTAACTCACTGTTGATTATCTGGTACTAAAAGCAAAATATACGTGGACCATGCACATATCAATTGAGACCTTGAATCTCCAGGTTCTAAAGCTCTCTCATTTCCCATTACAAGGACAGAAACTACATTACTCAAAAGGTGGCATGATTAATGCTTTCCGCTATTAACATTAGTGTTAAAGGATTAAGAAAAGAAAGGGACAGTTTTTTAATTCTTCTAGCCATAAACCATCAAGGCACTCTTTTTTTGCCTGCCATTCACTCCTTTAGCATTGAAATCAAAGGTCATACAAAATAAGAATAGATGAAGAGTCCTGATAAATCAAGTTAAAAAACCATTTAGCCCAGTTTTCTGGGTTATGTATGTGATAACCAAATACAGCAGCAGTCCCCAATCTTTGCAGCTTGGTGGCCCGGCGGGGGGACAAGGAGAGGGGAACCGGGCTGCAACTCAACTTGGGTGAGCGGCAGGACAGTGTACACGCACATGTACATGCAGCTCAACTTGCACAAGTTGAGCTTTGTGCACATATGCATATGGCCAGTTCGTCACTCAGCCAAATTGAGCTGCATGTACGTGTGTGTACACGTGTGCGTGTGCATGTGCAGCCCAGCCATTTGCCTGGCCCAGTTGTAAATAGGCCATGGCTTGGTAATAGTCCACAGTCCACAGATTGGGGACCCCGAAATACAGGAATCTTACAAGTTTGCGCAGAAACATTTTATTTCTTCTGTTCCATAACAACTAGTATTAAACACATTAATCTGTAGGATAATATTCATATGTAAGGAAATATAAGCAGCCAGCCAGTGGTAACTAATCCCCTGTGAAGTTGGCCAGTACAGGTAGTTCTTGACTTTCAATAGTTTATTTAGTGACTATTTAAAGTTATAATGACACTGAAAAAAGTGCTTATGACCATTTTTCACACTTACAACCATTGTAGCATCCCTGTGATTATGTGATCAAAATTCAGACTTGTGGCAACTGACCCATATTTATGATGGCTGCAGTGTCCTGGGGTCATATGATCACCTTTTGTGACCTTTTGATAAGGAAGTCAATGGGGAAGCCAGATTCATTTAATAACCATGTTACTAACTTAAGAAGCAGTGATTTCACTTAACATCTGTGGCAAGAAAGGTTGTAAAATGGGGCAAAACTCATTTAACAAATGTCTCACTTAGCAACATAAATTCTTGGCTTAATTGAGATCTTAAGTCGAGGACTACCTGTACATTTTAAAGTTATCTAAACTGTTGGTAATAAATCTCATGTCTAAAATGGGATGAAGTTTATATACATTTCTATTCTGATCTTCTTATTTATGCAATTATTTTAGATTGATGCTTCTTGATGAGTGCTCAGTGGAAAAGTGGAAGGTTTCATTAAGCAAAAGATTTCAGGTAAGAACATATTCTTGTAAGCATATAGAATGGATGGGATGCATAATAGCAAAAAGTATGCTAGCCTATATCCCAGGATTAAAGTAAGCAAGAATAGAGAAATACAAATTCTCATAGAATTTTTTAAAAATTCATATGTGATGTTATATAATTAGAAATATAAATAGAATTCTGGAATGATGCATCAGCATTTTCAACACTGGATACTGTTATTGTTATGCTTAGTTAATTAAGCGCATGTCTACAAGAAACCATACTAGGAGCATATTTGCATAAGTCCTGTTAGTATACAAATCAGCTATTATTGTTATGAACACAATACTGAAGTTTATCGTTCTGCACCACAGGATTTTAGGGTGAGGTATTGTAATGACCACTTCCTTAGCAGGCTGATCCAATTCTTTTTCCAAGCGTTCTGGGGAATTTTTTTTTCCTTTTGTATTTAATTATTTATATTTCTGGAATTTTTCTCCAAAACCACTTTGCATATATATTAGCAGAAAAATAGAAGTTTAAAAAGCCATTTTTACCCCCACTGAGCAATATGTTTTTGGAAAGAATTATTTAACAGTGTTTTAGCCCTAAGTCATAATGTCACCCCTATCCCAGCCCATAGACTAAGATTTTCATGAATTGAAAGAACGAATGGAGTATTTAAAATATATAGAAGTGTTTGCTAGGTTTAACCACTGATATAAGATATTATTTTAAAAGAAAAACTGAATAAGTGAAAGAATAACATATAGTGCACTAGAATACATTTGCATGGCAGGGTTTTTATAACACAGGTTAGAACACTTGAATGTAGAACAAATTGTCCTCTGACTGAGAGCCTGATATATCTCTATAGCACAGGGGTGTCAAACTGCCGGTTCACGGGCCGGTTGCATTATGTGGACGCCGCACCCACCCCAGCCCCAGCAATGCAAAAAAAGTCGCAATACGTCACAATACATCATTTGACGCGGCGAGTTTGACACCGTGCTATAGGGAAAGAAATGCATCAAGATGCCTTGTAAATCATCCTTCACATATGTGCCATTGTCCTGCCTTCAGCCAAAAGGAAAAAGTTGCTCATTCCTGTCTGATAGGATTGGCTCTACTCTCTGCTTTCCTTTTTGTCCAACCAACTACAAGAACTGGGTTCCAGAAGTGCACAAGGAGACCATCTATTCTTATGGAAGCGTGATTTTACAAAGCATCAACTGCCAAGTGCTGCTAAGTTAGACATTTCTGTAAGGATAGGAAAGTGCAAATTATTTTGTTTTATAGTTTGAAATTAAATTCATTTACTTTTTTTTCTAATAAGTAATAGGACTGTTCTCAGTGCTTCATTGATAGTGAATATCCATGATTAGATGAAGGAATGGCTTTCAGTGCATCCAAAGTTTTCTGAATGCTAACATTATTTTACATTATGTTTCCTAGCGATGGGAACAGAGACTTCTAGAACAGAAACTACAAGCAGCCTCTAATAGAAACCTGAATTCCAGAAATGCTGGTCATGTTGGGACACCAAAACAAAACTTAAAGAAAAGCAGTCCTGTGCTCACCAGTTCCAAGAAGACCAATAAGCTCATAAATCACCAGAAAGAAATTAATTCTAAAAAAATATGAGTTCCACCTTTTTTGTCTTGGAGCAAAGCCAACAAGCTGGTCTGAAAAGCACATAATTTGTTGAACTCCATAACCTAAACATTTCATGCTACAAATTATTTGCAGTAGTTTATTTGTAAAATAAATAAAAGCACATAATTGAGAGAGTTGATGTTGTAGCCTACAATTAGCACTGCAAGTCATAGTTGATCAACAAGGCTCTTAGTAGCTCTCTGAATTTAGTATGCCAATGTGCTTCCAGTACTAAGAATAGTTTTACATAGCTGCCATAGCAGAAGAGCAGTATGTTGTTCTGGCATTTATCTAGTATTTTATCATAATGCTAGCAAAAAAAAAAAAAAAGAGAGAGAGAGTCTTTGCCTAGTATCTTGAAGAAATTCTCTGAGTGTAGGAATGAGATACCATGTACTGTTCTTGTGCTTCATCCTATCTTCATTGCACAAGAAAAATACAATACAGTGGCTTTATTGTCAAACATACATAAGCAGTATCATTGGGTCATTGAATTGTATGCAGATTTCTGGGGCAAAAGTATATAAGGCTGCTATCCTAAATACACTTACAAAGCAATAAGGCAAAGTAATGTAAGAGGGCTTGTTTTTATAAAGCATGCTCTATTTTTTTTTACTTCAACTGTTTTTGTTTATAAGTATTCAATGTTATATTATATATTGTTATACTTTCACATTTATAAAAAGCTATTCATTCAAAAATCTACTACTACCAAACTGAAAACTTGAATTTACTTGTCACATGTAGATTTATTAAAAATGAGTATTAAAACAAAAACTTTGCTAACTAAAAATATAGAGGCAAATTCACAACTATGTCTCAATGTATTTTATAAAAATGGGAAATGAATTTAGCAAAAATGAAATATAATATTAAATTTATTTTAATTTACCCTCTTCTACAGGTCTCACAATAATAAAATATAGATATGATTCTCTTCCATGTTTGGGATATCCCATTGATTTTACTGGGAAGCACTTTTTTAAGCAAGCATATTCTGTTTTGTATATGGAATGGATTTTTGAGGTGAACAAGATGAAACTTTAAAAATGGAGGAAATATTTTCATCTCCCAAATTTCTATCTCCTAAATTAAATTGGATTAGGGCGATTGACTGCAGTGCAAAAAAGCATGCAGTAATATCTACAATATAGGATGTTTTTGAATACCCATTGTACTATACCTGAAGCTGATACTAATTCCCTTCAAGCTTATTTGGGGTAATAGTATTTGAATGCAACTCTGCCTATTGAAGAATTATTATTTAATCGCTAAGAATAACACTATCAGAGTCTTAATATTAATTGAAGAATGGCATATGTGAAGGACCTTTGCTTCTCATGCCTTCCGCTGTATAAATAGTTTTCTAAAATATAGCCACATATTTAGTATATTTTTCTGGTACTACATTAAGGGTGAAATTCAAAGTGGCTCACTTGCATACATCTGAATTTTTCTTGAGATTGTAATACATGTGCTTCACAGAAGAATGACAACTAGGAATCCATAACTGGAGCTTTGGCAAGTTCAGAAATGAACTTTCCCTCATTGAAAATCCTGGACAATAAATTTGAATAAATCGTTTAGCCTTGCATAAATATGCATTAGAATTTTGAAGAATTAAGTTTAGAGTGTCTTTGTCAAAATCACCCTCAATCCTGTGCAATGGTAGAATACATTTAGGGCAGGTATTTTGTTTGTTGTCTGTTATTGAACACATTTATCTATAAATAACGCATAAAGACTATAAACAACTGCCACAATGTGTCTTTTTTTACTGATAAGATAAACCTAGCTTTCATCTTTGTTGATTTGACCATTTTTGATATTGTTCTGTTTTGTGTGATATTAATTGGCTGGAAGTGGGGAATGCACCACACTCACGAGCTGTTAAGTGTTGACTTCTCCTTTTAGTTAGCATTTTCTGTTTGCTCAAAAAGAAAGAAATGAGAATATGGCATCCTCTTTCTGCTTTAAAGAAAAATTAATGTTTACACTGCTCTGGGGAAAGGAAGCAAATAATGTTAATAGTAATTAAAGTAGCAAATATTATGCCTCCTTGCTCTGTTCCATATGTCCAGACCTTTTTCTTCCATGCTAAATATCTGAGATGAGAGCTGAGTTCACGCAGTGACATATGTTTCTTAAGCATTGTAATATACTTTGTTGAATCTAGTTGGGGGAAAGTAAGATAATAATCTGAACAGTTTATTTCTGTTTTAATAAATGTTACTATACTGTATTTCTTTCTAATAAGTTAATGGTTTGTCTAAAGTTCTCCAGTGATCAGAGCACCGCTATTTCTGACAGTTTATTTCTAAAATGAAATCATGTGCTTAAAATTAGAGGAAACCACATGATTGCCATCATAGAATTCAGACTATTGTTTCACACATAAGCAACCTTGATTGATATGCCACCACATAGCTCAATTTTATAATCATATTTTTATTTATTTTCAGATTTTAAATGTTTGCATAGCAAATTAAACAATTTTAGCTTGAGGGAAAATGAAACTTTCTTTATAGTTCTCTCTCTCTCTCTCTCTTTGTGTGTGTGTTTTGTGTGCATGTATTCATATTCACACACGAATGATCACTATTATATATACAGAAATACACTCTTAAAGAAAATACAGCACACTGAAATATACATTTGTGTAGATATGTCCTTTTTAGTCATTTTTGATGTGTATATCTTTTTTTTCAAGCACCACACAAATACACTTTATACACATTGCAAGGTATGTCCAATTTATGATATAAGACCAGCACAGATCATGTGTTCAATGTATTTATCTTAGAGAAGTTTTCCAAAATATCTCAGAAAAGCATAAGTTGAAAATCATTAAGAAAAGAGAATTGATTAGTACTTCTGTTGGGCAATGAGGTTATTTCATGTAGCAGATTTGGGAGAGTACCACAACCACCATCACCACCACCACCAAAAAAAAAAAAAAAAAAAAAAGCACAGACTTTCTACTGGTAGGGCTAAGAAGAACCTTTCATGGCATTCTGCCTCAAGTTCTAAAATATGTTATCCCTCTGGCTAAGATACATCTTGACTTCATGTGCTTCAGTTGACTTTAACTGCTCTGCATGAAACTGTGGAAATACAGCTCCTCCAGTAATAACTGCTTTTAGGCCAGGCATTCTCTGTTCTAGCTCCTAGGTGAGTGGTGGTGAACCTATGGTACGGGTGCCAGAGGCGGCACTCGGAGCCCTCTCTGTGGGCACACATGCCGTTGCCCCAACCTTGTCTCCCCCCATGACCCCCTCCTCTCCAGCAGCCCCCCCTGAAGGAGAGTCGCCCTCAAGGGTGGCCCACACAGAGCAGCGCAGCCAAGGACATGGCAGCCAGGCAGCGTAGACAAGACTCTGCCCTCACACCCCATCATGCACAGTTGATGCTGCAGGGCGCGGGCAGAGGGTGTGGCTTCCATAGCGCTGCTGGGCTGCCTGGACGATCTGCGGCAGGCCCTGGAGGCAGTGAGTGGTCCTGTGAGCAGGAGGGGTGGGGGATGGGGAGCAGAGTGGGGTGGGGCAGGGGGTGGATCGGGGGCAGGGCCAGTTTTTGGGCACTTGGTCTCTAAAAGGTCCTAGGTTAATGAAAACTAAAGGTTCTCTATTGGTTTTCATAAACCTAGCTGGCTGTCGTCAGCCAAGACAGATCCATGCATATATTTTGATTTTTTAAGATTCTGATCCAGACTGGTAAGAGAGAGAATGTCCATCATAAATCATGTCAGACAAAGCACCCTACTTTTACATATTAATATATTCCAGGGAACTAGTCTGGAATTACTTCATCACATAATCTTGAGGAAAAGTAGACTTATCCAAGACAACTTCTCGGCTGAACAGAAAATCTCTATTCAAACAGATTAACATGTGGTCTGTTCTTCTCCACCATTGCAGGCCTTGAAAAAAAAAATTTTCATATCAAATATACAGACATTTTTTAACAGAGGATGAATAGAACTACTGCTACAAAAATTATCTTTAAGAACATAGAAAAGCACAGTTTGACGTTGCGGTGAGACAGGTGCAGGAAGATGGGGCTCTGTCTTTTGATTTCGATTTCGCCCCATTTGGGATCCTGGAAAGGGTCGAAAGTCACCCTATAGAGGTGACAAGCAAGGAGGGGACCCTTGTTGATTGCGGGAGGGTGGTGATCTGAGGAAGCCCTCCAAACCAGCAGGGGAAAGACTGGCTACATTCGTGTAGCCAGTCAGAAGCTGCTGACAATGGAAGAAAATAAGCACCAACAAGCAACTTTTCAGCAACATGGATGAAACTGGGTGACACCCTATCCTCTCTTTATGACTCTAAGACTTTTTCCTGGAAAAAAATGCCCAAAGCACCCTCCCCAATGAGAGAGGGAAGGGGAATTTCCACCCCATTCCCCCAGGAAAAGAAAAGTGGTGAATTAATTACCTGGGGAAAACAGAGAAAATTATAAGATTAATTTGGAATTAATACACTTATATTAAAATTTGGGGACTAAAAGTGCTTTTGAGACTTTTCTTTTAAAAAAAAGATTTGAAAAGCTTGTAATATAAGTTTGGATTTTAAAAGCTGAAAAACTGCGCTAATGACATCAAGTGGTGAATTATGGCACTACAATTTGTTATGCCTTTTGGGCTGCTTATTGGTGTGGCCGAGACAATGAACTATTTTGAAACTGGCCTGCCTGAACTATGAATATAAATATTAACTGACTTTCAGAGTTGCATTGTGGAACTATTTCCATGCAGGAGAAACACACATTATTGTTTGAGGTGATGGAATATTTTGGATTACAAATCTTTGATTGATGAATAATTTTTATTATAAAGACCATCTATAAAAATGAAATGGATGGCCCATACTCAGTTTTAAATGGTAAAAAACCATCTCTAATACCTGTCTCCAAGAAATATCACTAAGAAAATATGAAGATCAGAAAGAAATTCTCTCTATATTAAAATCAATACAAGAGACTATTGCTTTAGCTTGTGATGAGACTAGAAATAACCCAAAGGAGATAAAAAAACAATTTTCTAATTAAATCTACAAGCACAGAACATGACTACAAAGAAGAAACTAGTAACCCAGAAAACAGAAGTAAAACTAGAGGAAGCAGTTCCAAAGACGGAGGATCTAAAGCAGGGGTGTCAAACTCAATTTCATTGAGGGCCGCATCAGCATTGGGATTGCCCTCGGGGGGCCGGGTGGGTGTGGCCAGGGTGGGTGTAGCCTACTGGGTGAGTGTGGATGGAGTGGCCACCACAAAATTGTACATTGGCCCCAGCCGGCCTGGGCCAGGGTCAAGGCACAGGGGCCATTCCCTCACTGTTTCCAGGATGGCTTCATGGGCCACATGAAACCACTTTGCGGGCCGCATCTGGCCTCCAGGCTTTGTGTTTGACATGTCTGACCTAAAGGAAGGAACTAACTGACAGATTCAGACAACTGAATAATTAGAAGACGGAGTGATAATATCGGAAATGGAAAAGATATCTTACCAAACAAGAATTCAGAACACATTTGAGGAAAAGAAAGAAGAACTGATTGAATAGAAGATAGAGCTGTTAGGAGAACTGTGAAGAATTGGAGAAGGAGGGAGGCTGTTTGATGAATATCAATGGGTTCATTTTTCAAAAAATACTTTAATCAAATGGTCTTTCTTAGTCCAAACAATATACAGAAAAACAGAGGAAAAATTACTTGATGATTCAAATGCATTAACTTGGAAAGTTAATTGGCAAAGGAAGAAAGCTACAGTAAGACTGAAGAAAATAGAGATTTTGATCCATTAGATGGGATAGTATATTATTAACTAGATGTTTGAATATGGTGGATAATAGATAATTGATAGAAATAGAAGTATTATCATAACTAGAAAGATAAGATTTGTAATTAGAATATTAGATTTTGGTATGAGAATGGAAACAAGAAAATGCTAAGAAGTTTGAATAAGGGAAGCTTTTGGTTACCCAAATATAACTTACTTTGAAATTATAAACAATAGAGACATTTTGAACACTGATGGGAAATTAATTAAAAAAAAAAAAGCAAAAACAGGATACTGGTGTAAATGCAATTAAGATATGTTTTGGTTAGAAAAGTTATCTAAAACTGACATTATTGATATTATGAGAAAATGTACATATTCAATTGTATATTTATTAATAACAATAAGAATTGTATTTGCCTAGTGTGGGAAAACAGGTACTACTAAAAGAAGAGAGGAAACGTGATGGTGTAATATTGGATCTAGACTGAAGAAGTTAATATATACCACTGAATTTACTAATGGACCCAGACAACACATTATTTATTAAACATTTGACTGTAAACTAGACAATTAATAAAATATTTATATAAAAAAAGAACATAGAAAAGCCTTTGTGAAAGCTAGGTGAGATGCCTGGGAAAGGTCTTGCCCAGTTATCTGAGAAAAGTTTGATTCTGTTGGACTTGATGAAGTGGACAGGATCCTCGATGCTGTCAATGCAACCACCTACCTATTAGATCCCTCTCCTTCCTATCTGAAAAAGCCTCCAAGAGGGAAGTTGGTAGAAAAGGTGGTTGCTTGGTCCTGGATGAAACAGATTATGTTGACCTCTTCCAGTCATGATTCAGGCTCAGTTATGGTATGGAAGTGACATTGAATGGTGGTAATACAACCATCTTTGCTCTCCCAGCAGCCCTCAGTACCATCAGTCATGATATCCTTTTAGCCAACTGTAATGTTGGAGCTGGGTGGCTCATTCTTGCCCTGGTTTGGCTTCTTTCTACAATGCCAGTCCCAATTGGTGCTGACAGTGAATAAGAGATCCAGTCCACAGCTTTGTGGCATACCACAGGGCTCAGTACTCTCTCTACTCCTTTTTAAGATCTACATGAAGTTGCTGTGTGCCTGGAAGTTGTAGAGGTCTGGATGGGTGACAACAAACTTTGAGTGAAACCAAATGGCTTTGGGCACATGGAGCTTCAAGATCTTTAACATCTTTAGCTATGGATGCGGTTGCACTACCCCAGAGATGCTGCAATTTGGGGGAGGGGTTCTCCTGGACTCATGACTCTGCTTGAAGAGCAGGTGGCAGTTGTGGCTAAGAAAACTTCAACTTCATGTTGTATGCCAGTTGTGCCCTTTCCTGGATCAGGAGTCTCTGATGTTTATCTCATACTTGGATTATTGCAGTGTACTCCACATGGGGCTACTTTTAAAGAGTCTCTATAAGCCACAACTGGTATAGTATGTGGCTGCATGGGCAGTTCTTGGGACCCTAGGGTGGCTCATATTACACAGTTGTTCTGTTAGTTGCACTGGTTGCTGATTTACTTCCCACTATAATTCAAGGTATTGATTATCACTTTTAAAGCGCTTCATGGCATGGGCCCAAGATAATGGGTTTGATCCACCCCACTAGTGCCAGAAGAATGGGCATGCTGCAGACCCCATCACTTAAGGAATTTTGGGGCTCCTGCCTTTTGGAACATCATACCATACCAAGGTGAGATTTACTTCCACCCTTCTGATCTTTCATAAGGTCCTGAAAACCTGGCTGTGACAATTGGCCTAGGGCCCCAACAGGGGTTCATCACTCTGGAAATAGCCAATTAAGAGAACTTCTTCTGTATGCATCTTGTGCCCTTGCTCCCCATCTTTTAATTGTAATTTATAGTTCATTGCACAGTCAGCCAGATATTCAGACTGGATTGGCATTTTTATTCATCTATCAAGTCCTTTCAAGGATCTGGGATAGGAAGATGTGGATCTTAATGGTGTTAAAGATATTGACACAGAATGTAAGCTGTTCTGAATAAAGTTGCTTTTGCAATTGGTGTAATGGTGATTTTGTCAAGGCCAATAATGTTCAAGTGATGCTCCAATAATTTTTGGAACATACCCAAGGCGTCTATTACTACTATTACTACTACTACCTTTCGAGTTTTTTTTTTTTGTCATAGTTGTTCTATTTCTATTTGTAGGCCTTTGTATTTGTTATCTATCTCCAGGTTGTCTCCAGGTACTGCCATATCCACTATCTAGATTTTTTTTGTCTTTTTTTATCAACAGTTATTAAGTCTGGGATATTATGTGGCAGATGCCTGTCTGTCTAAATTCTAAAACCCCAGAGAATTTTAGCTTCTTCATTATTGTTCTAATGCTTTACTGGCTTTTGTAGGCTGTCCAGAGTCACTTCTAGGAAAGATGGGCAGCACACAAGTAAAATAAATAAATAAATAAATAATGAAAAAAACTACTTGCACTTTTGAAGGATGAAATATTCAATAAGGGCTAACTGGTCAATAAAACTCCACCTCACGTTCTTTTTTCTCATCTGTCCCTCTCTGTTCTAACCAATAGGCCAAGTGACTAGAATCCATTGATTCCATATCCAGATTTGAGGCTCTTTCACATCATCAGCTCTTCTACTTCCTAGTTCTTCAAGAGCAATTTGAATATTTGTGATTGCCTTTCTTGTATTAGGATTTAGTGCCAATTATTAATAATATTATTACAGCTATTAATATGCTGCCACCTATTTATATTCTGTATGAAATTGATGATATTATAAGTTAAAATTACATTCTTAATGGAGAAAGTAGTCTTAATTTAAAGGGATCTTATGAATTTTTAATTAGTAACATGATATTTAATAAAGATATATGTAAATTTATTAATTTGTACAGATCATATATTGTTGATAACAGGTCATCTCTGAAATTTACATATAAATGTATTTGTACTTTAGGCTCTCTAAATCAATATCTCCAAAGATAAAGTTAATGCTTTTTTTAGCATGTTCCTCATTTGAGGACCCATGAACAGCATTTTGCATAATATCGCTTGCAAATTTAGCACGTATTGAATTAGGATGTGTTTCTTTGGCTTTCATTGGATCTGTTGGTCCCATTAATTGTCGCCATTCCTCCACAGCATTTTCTTTAGTTAGAACCATGACCATTGATGGGCCTCTAGAAAAGCAATACAACCAACAATGTATGAGGTGCTCACAATCTGATTTTGCAATGAAAACATTAAGTTGACATAACTAATGCTGCATGAGATAAACAAATCAAGTCCATTTGGGATACACTGTCTATTTGATTATTTCACACTGTCAGAGGTTTATTTTACAGAAACCAAGGATTAAGAAACATACATTATGTAACAGTATATGACTTCTTTAATAGTCCATCTCTGCTTGCATTTGTGCCTTGCTGTATGTCAGTCTGCCTGTTCTCCATGTATATAAAAACCTATTATATCATGTCATATCATGCCCTAGAAATAGAAGTGCCATTTTTGCTGATTTTCCTTCCCTCCGAACATTCAATTTTATGAAGATGCTCCATAGATAAAAGAAGTTCCCTGTTTCTGTTCTTCAAAAGAGAATGTTAGATAGCATTCTTCAAAAATTTATTGTGGCCAGAGCAAAACCAAAACTGCTCACATCACATCACATCACATCACATCACACAATTAAATTTAGTTAATACAATTTATCTTCAGTAATGTTCTCTTTTTGTCACATAACAAAAATTGCAATTGGGCAATTGGATTTGGAAAACTCTGCACCAAAACTATTTGAAGGCAAGCAAGTAATGTGGACTGCTACAGCTGACAAAACTTTGGAACTGGGATCTACAGAGATGCCAAAGACATGACAGAAATCCAGCAAAGAATACTGTCAAAAATATCCAGAGTTTTTGATCATCTTACAAAACTTTCATGATACTAGAACTTGGTATTTGCTATAAAGTAGAAGAATATCCTATAGGGCAGAAGCACCTAAGACTTATCAACCAGATTCTGGTTTTCATGATTCTAGGAAAGAAGTATCTACAAAATTAAAAAGTGAATTTCTGGATAGGGCTGAAATCAGACATTTCTATATTGCCTATAATTGTTACTTATTGAACAGTACTGAGAATAAAACATGAAAAACATTGTACTACCCAGCTGCCACAAGTTCTGTAAAAACAAATATTCCCTCCCCAAGAAAGAGAAAAAGAGTCAGACACCTGATGGTTTGTATATGGCTCCTTCCCCTACTGAAAATGTCATCAATTTCATGCTTGTTTACTTTTGCTGGGCAATTAAGTAGGCAATGCAATGTGTCCAGCCTGAATTCCGATTGGCAGTTGAAACTCAGGCCCTGACAGGCAGGATAAAACAAGAGTTTTCGTTGAGGGAGAAATGACCTCTTTCCCAAGTTCCATAAAATTTTATTGTTTATATTACATTATAATTGAATCAGAAGTTAATCTGCTCAACTGTTGAAAAGATGACAAAATGGAATCAAAGGACAGTGAAGACAGTCCACTTGCAAATACAGTTGTTGGAAGTACCCAAAAATTAATGACTTCACTTGGTGGACACAAAATCATTGTTATCAAAGAAGCTTATTAATAGGCATTCTTGTTTCGTTCCTCCCTTTTCACTTGTTTTTTTTTTTTTTTTGGTTTAACACTGCTTTTGTAAAATGTGTTTACAAATTGCATCTGAGAAAGTGGGCAGGGCTCTTGCAGCTGCTACTTCAGCCTGTTTGATCTGTGTGTCCCTCCTGGCTGATTAAGGCTGCCCAAAAGGGGACATGTGATTGGGGAGTGGTTTCATAGATTTTCAAGGAGATGGTGGCATGTCCTCTCATGAAGGGGGTATTGATCAACCCAAGTCTGGAGAGCTTTCATCCAGTCTCCAACTTCCCCTTTTGGGGGAAAGTTGTGGAAAAGGTGGTCACATGGAAACTGCAGAAGATCCTGAATGAAGTGTGAACTTCTGAACTCTTTTCAATCAGGGTTCGAATCAGATTATGGGGCTGAGATGGCATTGATTTCCCTCTTTGATAACTTCTAGTGGGAGTGAGAGTGGGGAGTGCATTCATCTTTGCACTTCTTGACCTCTCAGTAGCCTTTGATGCCACCAATCATGGTATGCTCTTGGATTAACTTTGGGAGTTAGGGATGAATAGTACTGTGTCGTGCTGTTCTCCTCCTTCCCCTGCATAATAGTTTCCTCCAGACGTGGTTACAGTTGGTGTTGATATGGAGTTCATGGTCCCTACTTGTGTAATGCCCCAGGACTTAATTCTCTCTCTTCTCCTATTTAACATCTACACTAGATGACTGAGTGAGATGATCCAACGGTTTTGGGATGAGATATCATCAACATGTTGATGAAATCTATTTGTATATCTTCAGCCCAGGCCACCTGAGTGATGATGTGGCTCTCCTGCCCCAGTCCCTGGAGAGGGCACGGGGATGCAATGGGTGCAATGGCTTTCATCTCCAACCAAGCAAAACTGAATGTTTTGGGGTATTTGGGCCTCCCAATGACAAAGTTTTTCTGCTGCTGGTCTTGGATGGCGGGGGCACTGCTCCAAGTGGTTTTGGGGGTCCTCTTGGACACACAGCTTCCACTAGAAAAACAAGTGGCAACTGTGATCAGGAAGGCCTTTAAACACCTTAGGGTTTTGTACCAGTTGCACCAGTTTCTGGATCAGGAGGCTCTGATTATAGTCATTCGTGCCCCTGTGATTTCTCATTTGGATTACTGCACTGTGCTCTGTACTGAGCTGCCCTCAAAGAGCATTTGGAAGCTTCGAATAGTGCAGAATGTGGCTGATGGGTAGTCAATGGTGTCAGATATTTGATATATATTATATCACTGCTACATGAGCTGCACTGGCTGCTAGTGTACTTCCAGGTACAAATCAAGACCACTGGTTATTACCTTCGAAACTCTTCATGGCTTGTAGCTGTGTTACCTAAGAACTATCTTTTCCTAGTTTTTCTACTTGTCCAATTTGATCTGGCAAGTTGAGCATGCTACAAGTCCTATCAGCCAAGACGAGGAGAAATGCATTCTTTGCCATAGCCCTCTGCCCTCTAGAACATTCAAAAGTATACAGTATATTTGTAATCGTCATAATGAATTAATAATAAATAATAATAGTACTATTACTAACAACAATAATAAAGAATATTAATAATCTTCAGAGATTAAGATAATCCCTAAGATGCTGGCTTTTCATAAGATCATGAAGACTGGGTTATATTTCTGACCTGTTTCTAGATTACTGTATACTAGCATCTATGGTGATATATATTTATAGTTTTGATAGTTTTTATTCTTTTTATGATGCATACCGCTAGAGTTACTTATTGAGATGGGTGATGATCAAGTAAATAAAATAAAAATAGAAGGAGAAAGAAGGCTTCTGTATGGATAGCAATAAAATTAGTAGAGTCTACTGGCCTAAAACATGTTCTATTTTGTAAATAAAAATGGTTAAAAAAAAAAGATGGACTTTTCTCAATTTGCCATGGTGTTATTTTACTAGAGGACTGAAAAGAGACTAGGTATATCATGGCTTCACCAGGATGGCACTTTGGAGTTAAAAACAATCATGAATCAATACAAACTGGGAGTAAAGGTCAAAGAACTATGTGAAAACATATCAGAATTCTATCAGTTCTTATTGAACAAATAAGAAATCAAGGGGAATGGGCATTTTCTTATACTTATACTATACTGGGAAGAAGCCAGTGGCCAGGCTTAGTGAATGTAGCCGACCTGCAGGAAGAATATTGCTTTTTTCTCTCAGAATTACTTAGCTATCTATATTCTGTGGGGCAGGAGATCAGCTGCATGGATATAATTAGATGTGGGGGAGATCAGCGATTTTTGACAAGGTATGTAGTTGCCCAATATTTAAAAATATACAGCTGGCATTCAGAGTTTGATTTTTCCTGCTTTGGTTTCGATTGTTACTCTGAAAAAATTGTATTTTTTTTTTCAGTCATGATTAAATATGATTAAGGGTAATATGATTAAGGAAACATATGTCCCTGGAAATGACATAGCAGAGAGAACCTATGATGATTAAAAGGTGCTTTTGAAACCAAAGCATTGGCTTATTTTCAATGTTTTCCTTGAGGGACAAGGAAGGGACAAGGAAGTAGCCTTTTGGTCATCTACTAACAGAGGGATAAAATCAAGATCATGCAAAGTATTAGTACCACTTTATAATTCCTTGATAAGACTACACTTGGAATATTGCCTCCAGTTTTGGTCACCATGATATTGAAAAGATGTTGAGACTTTAGAAAGAGGACAGTGAAGAGCAATAAAGATGATTGGAGGTACTGGAGACTAAAATACGAAGAACAATTGCAAGAATTGGGTATGTTTAATGAAAAGAAGAACTAGGGGTGATATGATAGCAGCATTCAATATCTAAGGGGCTGCCAGAAAGAAGAGGGAGTTCTCCAAAGCACCTGAGGGCAGGACAGGAAACTAATCAAGGAGAAAAGCAACCTAGAAATAAGGACAAATTTCCTAACAGAACAATTAATCAGTGGGAATGGCTTGCCTTCTGAAATTGTGGGTGCTTTATCACTGGAGGTTTTAAGAAGAGTTTGAACAACCATTTGTCTGAAATGGTATAGGGTTTCCTGCTTGAAGAGGGGGTTTGGAGTAGAAGATCTCCAAGGTCCTTCCAACTCTGTTATTCTGTTAAAATGATGCAAAAGAAATCAACTGTTTCTTTGATATCTTAATGCCAGACCGGCAAAAAAAAAAAAATTGTCTGACAAATTTAAAGTCAGTGTTTTCATTAAATTTTGTTTTTTTGTTTTTTGTTGTTTTAAAAAAACTGGCACTTACTTTGACATATAATCCACTAGCTGATTATAATATGGCTTATCTTCATGATCTTGATAAAATTGTGCTGCTATTTCAGGACTTATGTGTGCTTCTTTCAATTCTGAGATTAGAAATCCAGCATCTTTTACTTCATTTATAATTTTATCTAAAAGAAGAGGGGGACATCAACATTTCATTATTTCAATCTTAAAAGCATTGTATAGTATAGTATTGAACTATGAAATATGTTCAAATGTGTAAAAACTGACAAAAAGGAACTTTATTTTTCTGCTACTTGCAGAATTTCTCTGTTTATCTGAAAGTGTTATTCCCAAATGATGGTGTGAAATGAGATCTTTTACATTTATGAATAAGGAAAAAATCTGTTACAAAATAATTGGCAGAAGATGAAAATTACAGTACTACAGACTTGGGTGCTGAAAATATGGTGACAGAAGCATCCATTGAGGGTTTGTGTGTGTAAAAAACTTAAGATGGCAATCAGAATGGTGTAACTGAAGCCCTGAACCTTTAATATAAAGCTACCATATTGAGGTTTTAAGAACTCCCCCGCAGATGCCTCTGCTTGGAGGTTAGCATTCTACTTGAGAGTGGCTACATGCCTAGTTAATGTTAACCCTGTACAATTAGTTTGTGACTTAAAACTGTAGCTGAGCCTGAAATTATAGCCATAAATTGTCCCAGTCATGGGGTCACCATGTGACTTTACACAATTTTATGATCTTTTTTGCTGTAATTGTTAAGTGAATGCTGGGGTCCCTTAGTGAATGCCACTGTTGTTCAGTGAAAACTGCAGTTATTAAGCAAACACATTTTACTCAATGGGTGGTTTTTTACTATGGGACACAGCAATGGATATAATTGTGAGTTGGTTGCCAAGTGCCCAAAATGCAATCACGTGAACACAGGGGTAGGAACAATTGTTGGAATTTCAAAACTTGGCTGGAGGTAGCTTTGGAGAAGTCCATCACAAATTGAAATGGTCAGTAAGTGACATGTCATAAATTGAGGACTACCTGTAATGCCTAAGCAAGGCTTCAGTGTCTTTTTTTTGTCTTTTTAATCTGTCTAATTGCCTCTTCCCTTTGCTTTTTAGGCACCCACTTTTCTCCCATTTCTAGCCTCCTCTTCCTCTTCTTCTGTCTGTTGTCTTCGTTTTCTTACTGTTGCTGATAAGTAGAGGGAGAAGAATATGTTTATGTACATTACTGTGTGAGGAAGAGATTTATTGATATATGAAGATGGGGATGAAATAATTTTATAATGGTATAACTTATTTTACAGGCAATTAATATAAGTGCACAGAGAAAAATATGAACACCTCATAATATTAATCTTACCTTTCTCTTCAAAAGCAGAGGGTTTAATGAGAGCCATAGTGTTTTCTACAGGAAAGAAGAATTGTAATTCCTTTGTAGCTTCATTCATGTTTGCACTACCATGCAGCTGGTTGATTGGAGAATCATGGACTGCAAATTCAGCACGTAAACTGGAACAATGAAGTCAGAAAAGACAAAGAAACTTTATATATATATATATATGTTTTCTGAGGTTTTCGCGGGTATTTGTATGTAGGTCTTTGGTTGTTCGGGTTTTCTCCCACGTATGTAGGTCTTTGGTTGTTCGGGTTTTCTCCTTGCTGCTCAAAGCACGAAGCTGAAAACACCAGCCTGAAGATGACGAATGGGACTTCGTCGAAACGTCGCCAAGACACTTCCAATTTTACGCGGGAGAAAACCCGAACAACCAAAGACCTATATATATATATATATATATATATTCCTTTGGGATGGATGATGATGATGAATTCCAGAGTGAGACAAGCTTGAAATTCCTAACTTTCCTCCAAGCCTTCCTTCTTTGCCAGCTTCTGATACAGATAACATTAAAAAAAATACATCCGTAATGTCAAAGGGAGTGGTCAAAGCATGCTTTAGTATTGAAATAAGTAATTTGATCAATGCATCATTCAAAGTGCCAAATAAAATCAGTTAAAGTACTGTCCCAAGAGTTATTTCAATGTTTTGTTTTCCAACACATTCTCATTGCATTCCTTTTGAAAGGGACAAATAAAAAATGGCAAAATAACTGTATCTATAAGGATTCAGTAAGAAAATTCAGACAAACATTCTGCCCCCAGGCTTCTTGTTATCTTAAAAAAAGAAAGCAATGGCAGGGCAAATTCTGAAAATAAATCATCAGGTGAATAGATCACTTTTCTCCTGAAACAAGTTTTAAGGGATTGGAACAGCAACCACAGGGTTGACCTAAAGTTAAAATTGAGATTGATATAAACATTTCTATCAACAGCAGGAAATTAAAATAACTTGGTGATTATTAGCAAACGTCTTGTGGCAGAGGGATGTTTTTAAACTTTATCTGTCCATAGATATCGCCTTAAGTAAAATTCAACATCAGTTCAGAAAATCTCATTCAATAATAATCGTTGACATTTTAAAGGGTAATCTAATAAATGTTGAACAGTGTAATTCCTCAAGGGTTTCTGCATATGGCAATAAAGATGCAGTGGAGAATAGTCCTTAACCATAACCAGATTCTCTTATTTAAACTGTGAATCTTAGTATAATGAATGTTGATACTCTTCCGCTATTGATAGGGAGGGGAAAAAATGGCTCCTTCAGGGACTCTGCAAAATGTTTCTTGTGATCTGGTCCTTGTTTGTAAGCCATCTTTTGATAATCTGAGGTTCTCTGAAAGATAACGGGAGACAACCCTGGAGTGACTTTTTATTCAATAATCTGGGAACCAATACAAAAGTTATCAATAAATGAGTTAATGAAGCCATTTTATTCAGAAGTCAAACTTTTCACTGAATAATAAAAAATAATATTTATTAAATACAAGCTTAATAAATAACAATATAAAAAAAATGTAATCATTTTCAGTTACTAAAATTCAGTGCCAGTAATATATAAAATAGATACAATCTTGCACATTTTGTCTTGCACTTTCTGTAAATATGAGTGTAAGCTCCTGCTTGGACAATATTAATGCAATGTCCTTTTTAAAGATGTGTAATGACATTGTTGAAAATTATATCTGTGCCTTCTAAGTTAACACGTGGTTTCCTATAGAGAAGTTCCCACAGAGAAGTGTCGCTTGCAAAGTTATTTCTGTATCGTGTATTAAAATTTGCCATAACATGCTGAAGTATTATAAGATACTGTCCAGATGATGGCACTATTGTCATAAACATCACAAGATTGCATAATTTCAAAGAGAAAATAAAACAAATTCTCTACTGTTACAATAAAAAAAAGATTACCTTTGGGGGTATTGTTCCTTTGCTTCTTGGACTATTTTTGGGCCAATTAAATTCCTCCAGGTTTGGATTGCATTCTCTCGTACCAAAGCAAGAGCAAGAGTTGGCCCACTGTTCAAGAGAAATATAGCTTGCTTGTTTATTTGTTTGTTTGTTTATTTGACTTCTTCATAAAATTAAAAACATTTACAATTACAAGGAAAACCATACAAATATGTTTAAGGCAAAATTCTCCAAAGTAGTAAATATTGATCTGAAGGGTTGATAAGATTATCCTTTATTAGAGTTGTTGCTAAAATGATATTGTTAAAATTGTTTTCACATAAAACATCTTCTGGGAGTCAGTGAACAATCTCAAATTTCATGAAGGGTCAATGAGCTTTAGAGTTGGAGACCCCTAGTTTAAGATATCAGCATTAATGTAACCACTTATCAGAACTGATTATATTTAGACGGATTTCTGTTATTTTAAACTTCTTTAATGACTAAACTAAAATTCTTCATTATAACTATAATGAGTTATAATTATAATTACTACTAACAACAAGACATTCTTCATAGAATTTTTGCCTTAAGAATATTTTCCCTTTACATTCAAAAGATTTTATCTAAATTAATTTGGAATTTCATGATTGATCAGGATAAGTACAATGATTATCAGTCTCAACACAAGAGTTTTATAATAATGTCTTTGGTGCATGTTCTATCTCTGAAAATTGCTAAATTAAATTGATACAGACATTGTGACTGCATGATGAAATCAAAAATTGGGCAATAACAGGTGTATCCACCGGGACTGGGACTAAAGCAGTTAAGGTGATGGCCTCAATCCAACAGTTGAATTTCTGCCCTCCTTAAGTAAACCTGGATAGTAACAAAATTCACATAGGAGCCCATTGGTGCTGGTGCTGGAAGTTGAGCTCTGAGAAATTCTTGCAGATTTGTGATGCTCATCATGGATTCATAGCTTTTGCATATATGTTTTCAACAGGATCAAGAGAAACAGTAAACGTCTCCTACACCTGACAGGTACAGCAGAAGGAAAGGAGAATCAGGGGTCCCACCCAACACCCCCAAACAAAAAATACTATCATACCTATGATTTCCTATTCTAAAATAAGATAATAATAATAATAATAATAATAATAATAATAATAATAATAATCCCCCAGTGAGGCACTACCTTGACGTGGTTGTGGGGCTTGTGTACTCTGAGGAAGATGAGAGCTATGCCAGAGGTTCAACCATACTGGACAGGTCTCATCAGAGGAGTCAGACAAAGAGTGTCTCTCCCATAAAAAATATAGTGAGACGTAAATTTCAGAATGCCATACCGGCTCGGACGTCGCCCGGGTTAACAAGGTCCGTGCTAGATACTGGAGTTCCTGGATATCTGGTGAAAAATGGGTTACAGGACTCAGGACTGTTGGCTGAGCAACCAGGGCCAGCAGCTGCAGAACTACTGGAAGAAAAGGTGTTTACCTGTCGCAGATACACAGTGATGGAAAACAAAGAAATAATGATCTGTTACTACAGATCAAGTCCAACAAGAAGAGGATATCTAAAACGAATGCACCAGTTCTGGAAAGAACAACATCCAGAATCAGAAATAACAGAACAGAGACTAGCAGATCAACGCCGATTTATAACACGAAATAAAGTATTCACAGAAACAGAATTGGACGAACTGCAAAGGTTTACCCAGGGCAAAGAAATCAAAGCCTTACCAGAAGTAATTCAGAATGTAGAGGCAAACCAGGGGGAGTTGGCAGTGAAGGAATCCAGCAGAGATATACAACTGTTCTCATTTGGAAACCAGGCACCTCTTCCTCAGGAAGAACAAAACCCTCTAACTAAAGAAATAAAAGAATTGAAACAAAGAATAACTGAGCATCTAGAACAGCACAAAAACAACAGAATAAGGCTGCCTGCATTGAAGCTTGTTCCAAAGAAACAGCTAGCACAAGCATTAAAAGATGCAAATACTGCAATATCAAGTATAAGCACCAATTCACTGCAAGAAACAAACCAACTAATGTACAGCACAGCTGCAGTTATAACTGAATACCTGGGATGCAAAATCAACAAAGAATAAAAACAAACAAACAGTGCACCACAAAAATGGAAGGTTAGACTAGAAAATAAGATCAGCAAGTTAAGATCACATGCAAGCAAGCTAGACAGATGAAAGAAAAGAAGCTGAAGAACAAGAAGACCAAAGAATACCTAATCAAGAAATACCACTTAGAAACAAGGAAGATCAAGGAAGCACTGGAAATAATAAAGCAACAAATAACAGCTATAGCCAGGAAAATCAGTAGATATGAAGCTCGAATTGCAAACTATAGGCAGAACCTCCAATTTCAATCCAATCAGAAACGTTTCTACCAATCCATCAATGGAGAAACTGCAAGAATCAGTCAGTACCTGACAAGGAAGAAACAGTGCAGTTCTGGAAGCAGATATGGGATAACCCAAAGAAATACAACAAGGATGCGGCTTGGTTAAAAGAGATGGATGCAAATAAAACAGAAGTTGAAATGAAAGAACTAGTAATAACAACAAAAATGGTAGAAAAAAGAGCAAGGAAAATCAAAAATTGGTCAGCACCAGGTGAAGATGAACTGCATGGGTTTTGGTTGAAACATCTAACTCTTATACACCCACTCATTTCCAAGCAGTTCAACAATATACTACAAGGAGGAGAAATTGAAAAGTGGCTAACAATTGGGAAAACCTACCTAATAATGAAAAATCCAGCAAAAGGGGCAACACCAGGTAACTACAGGCCAATTACCTGTTTACCAACAACTTTCAAATTACTAACTGGTGTGGTAGCTGATGCAGTACAACAGCATCTAGTTGAAAACAATCTCTTTCCACCTGAGCAGAAAGGAAACTGCCCCAGAGGAACAAAAGATCAACTCCTAATAGACAAAATGATCTTGGAAAACTGCAAGATAAGGAAGACCAACCTGAATGTGGAATGGATTGACTACAAAAATGCATTTGACTCTCTGCCACATGATTGGATAATCAAGTGCCTAGAAATAACAGGAGTCAGTAAAAACATCAGAAAATTTGTGCAAAGATTGATGGCACAATAGAAGACACAGTTGCAGATCAATGGTGAGAAGCTGGGGGAGGTTAATATCAAGAGAGGAATATTTCAAAGAGATTCATTATCACCATTACTATTTGTTATTGCACTGTTTCCTCTGTCAATAATACTGAATAACTCAGGACATGGCTATCAAACATCAAAAACATCTGCCACCTCCTTTACACGGATGATCTGAAGCTGTATGGAAAAATATCATCTGAAATAGAATCGCTGCTCAATACTGTCGGTATATATAGCCAAGATATTGTAATGGAGTTTGGCTTGGACAAATGTGCCACACTTACTATCAAACAAGGAAAAATAGTGAAAACTGAAGGAATCAAGATGCCCCATGAAAATAACATTAAGAGTCTGGATGAGGAAGAGTACTACAAATACTTGGGTATCCTTCAAGCTGACAACATGAAGCACACTGAAGTAAAGAAAAAGATTAGAGGTGAATACATCAAGAGAGTGAAGAAGATGAGGACTTCCGGTGGTCAGCGACGATGATGGCAGCTACTTTGTAGCCGTCCTCCTGGGACGGCGTCAGATCTGCGGAGCACAGCGTGCATCAGCTGGCCCGCGGCTCGAAATCCCCTTCCCAGGTGAAGGGAAGGGGTAGAGACCACACAAATAGAGGTAGAACCTCTTAACCCCCCCTGGATTTCTTTTTTGGGGGAGTAGAAAGAGTGTTCCCTCGGAGTTCGTGCTTTCTCCGCCTCCCAGCTGTCTTTGTTTCTTCGGAAACAAAGCGAAACGCCGCTACCATCTCCGCGCTTAAAGTTTTCTGGTGAGTGAATTTTAAAGCGGACAGAACTGTTTAAAGGATTTTACTTAGAGTTAGAGTTTTATTTCTTTTCATTTCTCTTTTAGCTTATGCTGATTCTTTTTTCTTTTGTTTTTTTTTTTGGTGGAGAGTGAGAGTGAAAGTAAAATGGCGTTTTGAAAGTGCCTTTTTTTTCCTTTCCGGAAAGAAAGAACGGACTTAAATGAAACGTATGGATAGCACTGTTCTTTTTCTTTTAAGTTTCTTTTTTCCTTTTTCTTTTAAAGTGCTTTGGAAGTTCTTTTTTTTTTTGCACTCTCCCTGGTCTTTTCTTTTTTTTTAATTTTAAGGATTTTACTATCCTTTTTTTTTCAAGAAGAAAGAAAGAGAGAACAAGACTTTTAAAAAATGGCTTCAAAGAGACAACCAGCTTCTATAGTCTCTAAGGTGATTTCTTCTCCTGCAATTGCAACTGTACAACAACAACTTAAAGTTACACCACCAGTGCTGCAACCTAAGGTTACACCTCCATCTTCTCATCCCTTGCCAGGCTTGTCTGCACAAGATATTAAAGATATAATGGGAAATGCTGTATCCCAAATCAGGGAGGAAATGAAGCAACTTCTTGAACAGAGCAAGTCTGAAAGTAAAGAGGAAACGAAGGACCTTTTTAAACAGAACCAAGATCTTCTTGAACAGAATAAATCTGAAACTAAAGAGGAAATGAAGGAGCTTTTAGTGGAGAATAATATTATCCTGAGGCAAGATATAGTTACAGCTTTATCAGGACTGGCTTCTGTGGTCGTGAAGTTGGATTCTAGAGTGGAAGAAGTTGCAGAGAAAGTAGACCTCCTTGAGTACAAATTCCAAGATATGGAAAAAAAGATGGAAATTTCACAAGAGGATATTCTTATGTCTCAGTATAGGCAAAGGGAATATGCTTTGAGAATTAGGGGTCTTAAAGAAGACGTGAATCAAGACCTGATGGAGATGGTGATTAATGTGTATCAGAAGGAGTTGATTAAGAAATCTTTTCTAGATTATTATCAGAAACTATATAAGAGTACCAATGTACAAACTTTAGATATAAATAATTATTTAAGTGAGGCTAACTTTCCTAAGCTAACAGAAGATCAGAAACAAGAAATCAATGGTTTAATAACTAATGAGGAAATTGTGACAGCTATTAAGCAATTAAAATTAAGTAAAGCGCCGGGTACGGATGGTTTGACATCCATTTATTATAAAACTTTAGTAGAAGAGATGACTCAACCTTTATGTGAGCTTTTTAATAATATATTACAGGGTTTAGAGATTCCTCCGTCATGGCGCAGCGCTTTTATATCCTTGATTCCAAAAGAGGACCAAGATCTTACCTTACCAAAGAATTATAGGCCAATATCTCTCTTAAATGTGGATTATAAGATTTTTGCAAAAATTCTAGCTAATAGGTTTATGAGGGTTTTGCAGCAGCTTATACATAAGGATCAATCGGGTTTTATAACTGGAAGGTATATGAAAAATAATGTTAGGTGTTTCGGGTTTTAAAATCAATAATAATAAGACTAAAATACTACCTAAAAATATGACTAACCGGGACAAGCAGATTTTGGTTAATTTAACAGATTTTGAAGTTGTTGATAAGGTAAAATATTTGGGGGTTACTTTATCTGTTTCTAATGTAAAATTGTATAAGAATAATTATGAAAAGTTGTGGATCAGGGTACAGAAAGATTTGAAGAATTGGGATAAGTTACAGTTATCTCTTATGGGTAGAATTGCAGTGATTAAAATGAATGTTTTACAAAATTTCTTTTTTTGTTTCAAATGTTACCTATTTTAAAGAATGAGCTTAACTTAAATGAATGGCAGAAAGGCATTAATAAATTTATTTGGGCAGGGAAAAAACCAAGGGTAAAGCTTAAAATTATGCAAGATTTTCGTGAGAGAGGTGGACTCAAGGTACCGAATTTGAAATTATATTATGATGCTGTGGTCTTAACATTTATTAGTGATTGGGTAAATTTAACAAATGTAGAAATACTCCATTTGGAGGGTTGGGATTTACTTTTTGGATGGCATGCCTACTTAATTTTTAACAAAAAAGTGGATCGAGTTTTTAAATCACATATTATAAGGACTTCTTTACTTTGGGTTTGGAGGAAGTATTATAAGAGTGATTTTAAAATACCTTTATGGGCTATACCTTGGCATGCGATAGAGGGCATAAGGAAAGGAGTTAAAATGGATAGGGTTTCTTATACACAACTACTTAGATGGGATGGTCAAAACTGGCAGTTAAAATCTTTGGAAGATTTAGTACATGAAAATATTACCTACTCATGGTTTCAATATAGACAAATAGTGGACAGATGGAAGATGGATTGTAATATGGGCTGGCTTAGAGAAGATGAAAATCTTTTTAAACAAGTAAAGGATCAAAGACAAACTCACATCAAGAGGGTTTACGGGGTTCTAGTGGAATTGGATTCAGAATCTGAATTAATTAAAGATTGTATGATTAAATGGGCACAAAATCTTGGTGAACCAATTCCACTGGATACCTGGGAAATTATTTGGGTGAGGAATGTTAAATTTACACAAGCCCAGAACTTAAGGGAGAATTTTTACAAAATGTTTTATAGATGGCACCTTGATCCACAAAAAAATGTCTCTTATGTACCCTGATTTACAGCCTAAATGTTGGAGATGTGGTTGTTTGGACGCCACCTATTATCATATTTGGTAGTCGTGTAAAAACATAAAAGCTTTTTGGATTAAGATATGGTGGAATATTCAAAGAATTTTTAGAAGGAGGGTAAAATTTACTCCGCAATTATTTTTGTTAGGTATTGTTACTGATTGTGATGCTAAGGAGGTTATATTGATGTTAAATTTGATTACAGCCGCAAGACTGTTAGTAGGGCAATATTGGAAGAAGGAATCTTTGCCTACCTTGCAAAAGTGGTTTTTTAAAGTTTCTTATCTGGCGGAAATGGCAAAGATTTCAGCTTTTTTAAAGGAGCAATCGCAAGAGAAATTTTTTGTTGTATGGGAAAAATGGATAAATTTTATACAACATAAATTGGATATAAAAAATATCATTTAGCCTTTTTATAATTTGTATATAATTTTTGATATTTTATAGATTGTTTTCTTTTTTTCCCTTTTTTGGGTGAGGGTTGTTTTGTCTTTTTTTGTTTTTGTTCTTTTTTTGTTATTTGTAAAAACTTTTAAAAATTTTCAATAAAAAAAAAGAGAGAGAGAGTGAAGAAGATCTTAAAGTCCAAACTCAATGGAGGAAATAACATAACGGCAATCAACACCTGGGCAATCCCAGTCATTAGGTACACAGCTGGAATAGTGGACTGGACTCAAGCAGAACTAAAAGCAATGGATAGGCAGACCAAAAAAATAAAGACAATGAATCATGCCCTTCATCCACGCAGTGACATTGATAGACTTTATCTACCAAGGCAAATAGGTGGGTGTGGAATGCTACAAGTACATCAGATGGTTGAAGAAGAAAAAATGGCTTTGGAAGAATATCTGAAGAACAATGATGAACATGCACTGAAATTAGTATATCAGAAAGGCTTACTGACTACTTGAGAGACCAAACTGGCCTACAAGAAAGACCAAATGAAGAACAGAATAGAGGCATGGGAAGACAAAGCACTACATGGCCAATACGTGAAAGAAATAGCTGGGAAAGCAGATAATAATAAGACCTGGCAATGGCTAAGAGCAGGAAAATTGAAGAAAGAGACCGAGGGACTAATTCTGGCTGCACAAGATCAAGCCTTAAGGACAAATGCGTACAAAGTCAAAATTGAGAAGATAGCAACAGACAGTAAGTGCCGCCTATGCAAAGAAGCTGAAGAAACAGTGGACCACTTGGTAAGCTGTTTCAAGAAGATTGCACAGACTGACTACAAGCAGTGGCATGACAAAGTAGCAACAATGGTGCATTGGAAGATCTGCAAAAAATATCATTTGCCTGTAAACAAAAACTGGTGGGATCATAAAATAGAGAAAGTCATAGAAAATGATAAAATTAAACTGCTCTGGGACTTCAGAATTCAAACAGACAAGCACCTGCAACATAACACCCCAGACTTAACAATTGTCGATAAGAAAGACAAAAAAGTCTGGATAGTGGACGTGGCAGTGCCTGGAGACAGCAGAATAGATGAGAAAGAACTGGAGAAGATAACAAAATACAAAGACCTACAAATAGAAATAGAAAGACTGTGGCAAATGCAAGCAAGAGTAGCACCAATAGTAATAGGCGCCTTGGGTGCAATCCCAAAACAACTGGAGCACCACTTGAACACCATTGGCATTGACAAATTCACTATTAGTCAATTGCAAAAGGCGGCCTTACTAGGAACTGCTTCCATCCTGCGACAATATCTGTAATACCATCAAACATCCACATCTGCCTATCCCAGGTCCTGGGTAAGTACTCGATAGGTAGACAAAATGCCAAATCCAGTCTGAACATCTGGCTGACTGTGCAATGATCCAAAATAATAATAATAATAAAAAAGTTGGAAGGGACCTTGGAGGTCATCTAGTCCAACCCCCTGCTCAGGCAGAAAATCCTATACCATTTCAGACAAATGGCTGTCCAGTCTCCTCTTAAAAACTTCCAATGATATTTACTTACTTCCAGATATTTACTTATGGAATGCTGTATTGTATAAAATTCATTTAACTTAGGTACCTGGTCATTTGTTCCAAAAGAAATGGAAAATAATCTTGATTTTCATGTTCTCGGTAGAATTCATGAGCTTGTTCTTCTGATAAGATGATTTCCTTTTGCATGGCTATTTCAAAGCCATTTTCTACAATTCTAGTCAGAATAGATTCTGCATAGTAAAAATTATATTGACCACTTTACTTTTATCTATGTATAAATATGGGTAAATGACTGGTGCTTCTCTAATATGGGGATGATATAGCTTCACAATCCTATCAATTTCAGTCTCAAATCTTATTCTGTGCTTCAGTGTAAACATTCTCTTTCATGTTCTATACATTTTTCTGATCTAACAGCTAAATTACATCCCAATACCTGGAGAGAGTAAACCTGTTAACACTGAAAAGAAAGCAATTGATGGAGGAAATTGACTTATCACAATCGTAAACTAAATAATAAAGAGAGCTATAATGGATTGAGACAAGATTATTTAAATTATTACACAGATAATGGGTAATTTTGCTGAATGGAAAATTAGGATATAAGTTCAACAATACAAAGAAATCTTCCATAGTAAAATGACTAGTTCATTGTGCAGTCAGATATTTGCTGCTTGAGAATATTCATGTGTAATATTCATGTGGTAGCCTTCTGAAAAAACAGGCACTCTCTCATTAATCCCCAGTATTCTGAATAATGTCCATAGTAGCTGGGGAATTTTCCTAATTCACAAATCAGAAAGGTTTCAATGTGGGAAAAGGCTGTTCCATAATACTTTCCTGTTGAGCTTTCCAGAGTAGTTTTCCTTTAAGCTTTCAGTTAATTTGGCTTATAGCTTACACATTTTCACTTACACTCGAGCGAGAAAGAAAAAGAAAAAGAGAGAGAATAAGTCTGTATGTTTTAAAGTACACCACGTTTTAAGCAACATTAGTATGTATTTCTTTAGATCTGTTTGCTTAAGTATGTTCTGTTATTTTTTAATGTAAAAAGACGGGATCAAATTGTAATGTATACATTTGAAAATAGTATAATCCTAACAAAGAAACAAGTGACAGGACTTTGAATCAGAGAAGGTTCCTCAAGCTAGAAAAGGTAACTTTTCAGACACATGAAATCATTTTTCTAAAGTACTATCAGCTCTTACCAAATCTCATAAAACACCATCAAATCTGCCTTTCTTCCACTTTCTTTTTATCAAAACCTAGTAAGAATAGCAAAGTACTATATATTTCAGTTGTGTGCAAAGTGCCTGTAATAATTTCCACCAACCTCTTCTTTCTTTTAAAAGAGAAGGTCTGATCAATGCCACTGTTCGTTCAACAACTTTTTCATTCCTTTGCTTGGAAAAATCAGAGAAAAAGAAGGCAAGTTGCCTGCTTGTTTCTTCAACACGATCCTGAATATCACAGTGATGTAACAGGTCTTGGTTTTGTAACATCTCTTTCAAGCTAACAAAAAGGAGAATAATTCTAAAAAAATGTATTTAATATTAACACAGGACTTACTTTATCTTCAATATCTTCAAAATTAAATACCGTACTCAGATCCTGAAGCCAATATTGCATGATAATATGTCAAAGGCAAAAAAGAGATGTGAGGGTAATACCATATTATACTGAACAAAGTAAATATTTCCTTAAGTCCTTTAGCAACAATACAAAAATGATTTGCCTTTGCTTTTTTCTGAGGTGTTTTTTTCAACTTCCCAATTTAGCCTTTTGGTCTGGGATTCCCAGATAGTCTCCCATTCAGAAACATAAACAATGTAATAACTGATTTATGCTTATGAGATTAGCCAAGCTTACTATTTGCTGTCACAAAATATGAGAATAGCAAGCATTTAAAAAATGCTCCCTCTGAAAATTATCTCAATATTTTGATGAATTGACTGTTTTAGAAGTGCTCCAAATGAATTAGTGAACTGCCATTCTGGTTTTTGAAATACTAAATTTATTCAGATAATTATATCTGCATACACATTACAGTATTGATAAATTTTGGTTTATCTCCTCTTTCCTCCTCCCTCCCTCTCTTTTATATTAGGGCATCAGGGCATATATTCAGGGCATATATTCATCACGACACAAAAACCAAATCTTTATATGAATTCATGGCCTCTTTTTTCCTTTTTATTTTAACGAGTTCTTACAAACCTAGGTGGACACTAGTAGCTTCTGAAAGATATTAAAAGCTGCAGCAAGTTGTGTGGGGGCAAGCTGGCTGTTTGATTTTGGTTTTATCTGATTAACTTTCCTTGTTCACCAATTAGCTACCGGTTCTGCTGAAGTGGTGCAAACCGACTGAATCCTACCACTAGTTGAATCTCAATAACTTAATGAGATTTACATTAGACTAATATAATGCATTTGGTTGAAATGGATCTGTTTTAAGCCTGAATCCAGCCTGATACTAATTGTGAATTATGGACTTGCAGAATAAATCTTTCTCATATATACATATGTGTAAACATATATGACATACCCAATTACAGGTGTCACAGAGCGTTTCCTCCATGCTTCAGATAAAAATTCTCCTTGTTCTTTCATTTCTTCTTCTTCTTCCTTTTCTTCCTCTTCCTCTTCTTCTTCTTCTTCCTCCTCTTCCTCTTCCACTGCTTCCAATTCATGTAAAAAAGGCATACTTTGGCCACGCTTTCCTTCAGATATTATCAGAATATAGGATGGTGCAGACAGCATATGTGAAACAAAGTCTTCAAAATCAGGCTGGAGAAAAAATGTTTTGCATTAAATACCAAGAAATATGCTGACTTCACTGCATTTATCCTGTTAATAATGAGATATAAAATATTACTATATTTATTAGCAATTTTCTAATAATAACCTGTTAATGAAAATAATAATAAAATATGAGATTTTAGATAGTCAGGAAATGTCATGCAAGGGAAATTTTGCTCTATCTGCTTTTTTAAAAGATATCTTAAAATTTTGTTCCTAGCAGATGATGCTTCTGAAATTTCACTTGCTTGCTCTTCCGACATATTGATGCCAGCTTGGCTCCTAAATTTTGCCCTATACATTTCTATACCTCCCATCTCACTAAGTGACCAGAGCAGTTTACAATATAAACATAAAAATGGTATAAAAACATCAAAAAACCCCAAAGATAAAGTAGAATTAAGAACAAAGTTAAAATTAAAATATTACAATTTTTTAAAAAGCAGGGGCAGTAACTTTCATATCAGCATACATCCCCAGAGTCACATATCACTCTTCAACCCCTATGGCAATTGACAGAGTCAGGTCTTAATATTCTTTTGGAGAGAAAGCTCTCTTCCTGGATTCCAACCAGGGCTTCTTGATCCAGAAAAGGACATAATTGGTGTACAACACAAAGTTGAGTGAAGACCTGTCACCTGCTCTTCAAGCAGCAGTGGTGAATCTAGGAGGACCCCCAGATTATATACCAGCTCCATTTAGGACAGTGCAATCTCACCCAGGGCTAAAAATGGTAAACTCTCATATACAAAAGAGCCTTTTACATACAGTCACTCATTCAGTTATAGCCTGTTGTTCCCCATCCAGATTCCTACAGCTTCATATAGATGTTAAAAAGGCACTGGACTTCTCACTTTCTATCAACACTAATTGGGACCAGTCCCAGAATAAGGAAATTAAAGCAGCACAAGACAGTGTCTCCCACACTCAACTCCAAAGTTAACCTTAAAGAAAACCATGATCAATGATATTGAAAGCTGCCATGAGGTCAAGAAGAGCCTGACTGAATGCACTATTCCCATCCTATTCCTGCCTATTCCCAGTCATCAACAAGTGTGATTAGTGCTATTTCTATCCTGTATCTGGGCCTGAAGAGTAGAAGAGGTTAAGATAATTTGTTTCACTCAGGATCCTCTGAAGCTGCAGCATAACTTCTTTTCTTTTCTTTTTTTATTTTTTTAACCAACAAAACAAAACATAACACACACACACACACACACACACACACACACACACACACTGTGTATACTCCTCCTTTTTTTAACAGCAATTTTGTAATGGTAATCTTCTATTATTTACATTTCCCCCCCTTATTCTTCTTTAGATATATTTGTCCTTGTTGTCCCATTGTTACTTATTTGCATTTTTCTTCCTTCATACTATACTTCATACTAAGAATAATACATATGATTATTACTATACATTATTATACACACATTTTCCACTTTTAACCTTTCCACATTTATTCTCTTCTATTATTTCTAGTCTCCAACCAGTCATACCACTTGTTCCATATTAGATAGTACTCTGTGTCTTCCTTTTCTTTTATCTCTTTTGTTAATTTGTCCATCTCAGCACATTCCAGGATTTTTCTCATCACTTCTTCCTTTGATGGTATATTCTCATTTTTCCAGAACTGTGCATATGCTATTCTTGCTGCCGTTGTTATATGTAGAATTAAGTACCGTATTTCTTTACTATATTTTCTGTTTAAAATACCCAGCAAAAAGATCTCTGGTTTCCAGTCTACGGGTTGGTCTACTATTTCTTCGATCCATCTTCTTATTTTAGTCCAGTATATTTGTGCAACTGGGCACATCCACCATAAATGATAATATGTTCCATGTACTTTTTTTACATTTCCAACATGTTGGCAAATTGTTCTGGAACATCTTGGCAAGCTTTGCTGGTGGAAGGTGACATCTGTAAAACATCTTCAACTGGTTTTCCTTGAACGCCGCTGACATAATCAATTTTATGTTTATTTCCCATATTTTTTCCCATTTCTCCAATTCTATATTTTATCCAATTTTTTTGCCCATCTAATCATTGTGTCTTTGACAACCTCATCTTCCATTTTATATCTCAATAGGTATTTATATAAATTGCTAATTAATTTTATTTCTGTTCCATGTATAATTTTATCCAATTCTTGCGGCTCTTTTTGTATTTTATATATTTTTTTGTTTTTTTATCCAGCAGAGCATAACTTCTTTTCAACCATTTTTCTAAAAAGGGGAGGTGGGGGCTGGATAAAAGTTAGCAGGAATAACAGGGTTTAGTGTTTGCTTCTTGAAAAGGGGACATAATATATTTATCATCCCAAGGATACTGACAACTTCCTTACATCCAAGGATAAAACTCTTCCCAGATAATTGGGTAAGGTTGTTCCCCAAGCATCCCTAGTAAATGCATACCATACTTGGTCTCCAACTGACAACGGATCTCAGCAATTTTGTCAGCCAAGTACATTGTAAATTCTTCAACACAGCCCTATAGATGAACCTCAGAGTCGCCTTTACACAAAAGGGATCAGGTAACTCTAAACAGGACCATCAGACAGCATTTTGTGGACCCAGTTAGAATGATTTGATGTTTTTATTAGTATTTGTTCTTAAATGTAAAAATCCAGGTCTTACTCATTTATATCATTGCCTCATTTCCAGCCACTTAAACTTTTTGCAGATATTAAGTGCAGCCCTTCTGCATCAAAGCTTGTCTATACTGTCATATCCTATTCTTTAGGCAGATCAGATGGAAGTACTTTGTAAAATGAAGGCTTCCCTAACTTGCTTTGTTTCAAACAGACTACAATTGTCAAACCAGCATACCTAATAGCTCCTCTGAATAGGAATGATTGATATTGACATTCAAAAACCAGATTTATTTATTTATTAGATTAATTCTCCATCATTTATTCAGAAGGTCAAGATTTTCCTCTTACTTTTTCCCAACAACTTTGTAAGGTAGATTGAATTGCAAGAGTCCATTTTCATTCTAATCTACCCTTTCCTCAGAGCCTTCTTTGATCATGACTGCTAAAAATAAGTCACGCAAAGAGCATACTACAACTAAATGCCACATTGCAGAGGGAACTTTCTCAAAATTCCCTCTTAACAGCTTAATAGCTCATTCTTCCCATGTTACAAATGTCAGGCCTACATTTCTTCAAAAGAGTGTTTAATGGGATTGTTAAAGCCAAATCAGAAAGCACTACATGATTGTCTGTGAGCCAGATGGTCCAATGTGAAACTTTGACATTCCTTAGGCCCTCAGTATTTACAGTCTGTCTTGTCTAATACTGTACCACCTCCTTGTACGTTAAGATCAGCTGACAGACTTATTATATTCTCTGAATAAGCTTAGCTCATTGCAGTTCCAGGAGTAACAATAATTACTGTAACAATAATTCAGCTGAATAGTTTTGTCTCTACCAGGTATTCAACTGACTCCATTTCTTCTTTCAGAAAAAAATGAAGACACAGATGTTTATGGGAGAACTCCCTTCAAATTTAGTTTTTTGGCTTTTAAGAAGTTGATTTTGTTTTTGTCTCTGTGTGGATTTTAAGCATTGTGGTGATGTTATTATTGTTTTTATTTAAGGTTTTTCACTTACTGCTAGAACAGTGGCATGTAAATATAGCGATATGGAACATTTCTGAATGGCCTGAAAAAAATATTCTAAGTACAAAAAGAGTAGGACATAGCTAATTGAGCTAATTCATATGATAAAATTATCCCTTGAAATATTCACCATAAAATGCACAATCATCAAAATAACAATTCAAAATTTCTAGTTTCTTTATCTGGTTTCCTATGACTTTGGATGATTGAGCTAACTACGATGAACCACTTCATTATAATTAAGAGATAAGAATTAATTTAGACATCTTGGAGTCAACAGAACCACAAAAGAAATTAATATTTCCTATCAAATATAGCAAACAGATTGTGTGCTTCATATCTAACAATGATGATAGTCAAAAGTACTAGAACTTTAGAGAGGAAGAAGGATGCAAGGCACAATTGATGAAAGAAAATATAGGGGTAGAATATGTTGTTGTTGTTGTTGTTGTTAATTGCGAAGTCGTGTCCGATTCATCGCGACCTCATGGACAACGTTCCTCCAGGTCTTCCTGTCCTCTACCATCTTCTGGAGTCCATTTAAGTTCACACCTACTGCTTCAGTGACTCCATCCAGCCATCTCATTCTCTGTCGTCCCCTTCTTCTATTGCCCTCAATCTTTCCCAGCATTAGGCCCTTCTCCAGTGAGTCCTTCCTTCTCATTAGGTGGCCAAAGTATTTGAGTTTCAACTTCAGAATATGTTATAGAAGAGAATATGTTTAGCTTTTAGCACATGGATTAGTTATATAATAATTGCATTGTGTAGTAGTTCTTGGTTAAGAATGAGTGTTAATGTTAATGATAAAGAATAAATGAATTAATGTTAATGAAAGAGAGTGTTTTTTTCCATTCTTAGTTCATGTTATCTGTTATATTTATAATTGGCTATTGATAAACAAGTAGGTTGAATACACAGAACTGTATGTATGAAAATAAATTGATATTTTCTAAGAAATGTTTATAATAGTACTCTAAGTTTAAGATTGTTTAAAAATTCTAGATATTTTATGATTAGCATAGTGGCTCTCAGTTCAACAATTCAGGAAGCAATCAGTTTATGTACCTCTCTCAGACCATGGATTATAGTGCTCAAGTTAGAAACAAAAGGCCAGGGAATCAAATACATGATATTTGAAACAAATAAACAAAAAGGTGAGCATAGCTGGAAATGGAAGCATATACAGTATAGCAATAAAAAACAAGAAAATCAAAATTAAAATTTGTAGCCAATTATGACAATTTATATTTATACTGTATAATGGAGTATATTTGACCAAACAAACATTAGAATCTTACTTTATGGATAAAATAGTCAGAAGAAATTGATGAGTAGGCTAGTATCCCAAAGAGCATCTATGCTTCTTCAACAATATTATAAGACAAGATATTGGAAATGAGAATGATTATGCCATCAATATAGATAAGGAATTGGTAGATGCTGTTAGCTATATTAATATGAGAAAGATTTACCTTCCAAATGTTACATTATTTGAAGGGCTACATTAATGACATGTAGAAGAGTGACATGCAAAGAAAGGACATAAATATTTATTGTCCCTGATTGGGGTGTTGAGGTGCCAAGAATACCTGCAGGCACCAACTGTCTCTATCCAAATCTCTTTCAATCGACACAATTGCTTTTGGTAATGCTGAGTAGGGAAATCTGAAAGGCATCTAGAGAGACTTTCAAACCAAAGAACCAAAACATCTTTATTCTAGCTCTGGCACTGAAGCATTTCTACATTAGTGAATTATAATGTTTTTTTTTTTTAACAGCCAGCAATTGTTGAAATGATGGAAAGCTTGTCCTCATTACTGTTATATCAGAACAATGATTGTTCATGATTCTGGAAGAAGACACTTTAAGTTACTATCGGGAAGGAAGTCTCTGAGAGAAATTCATTCATATGGTGTTAACTTCTGGGTTATTTAAAAGGCATGATGTGACTGAACTTTCACAGCTATATTAACATGTAATTTATATCATAAATATTTTCAGTAATTACAATGAACAATACTACTCTCTATAGTGAAAGCCTTTTACATCTTAATAGTAACTGTGCCCTCATCTCCCCACCTTCTTGACCTTATTACCTCTTTTGATTTGCTTTCATAAAAATTCCTAACTTGATCATCAGTTAAAATCTTCTTCTCTTCTGCAAGAATGACGGAGCCCGCTTCAATAATCTTCAGTTGTAGAAAAATGCAAGTATATTTAAAAAGGGAAAAATGAGTTATTTGTTTCAGTTCTCAAAGTTTTTTTTAATTAACCAATTATTTAGTTTAAGAAATCTGTTAACTAAATTTAAATAAATGTACATCTTACCAAAGCCTTAAAGGAATTTATTTTCTAAAAAAAAAAAAAAAAAAAAAAAAAGAAATTTATCCCTTAATAAACCAGGGATACCAATTATTCTTAGAATTAAAAATGCCCTTGAAACTTTTTTGTTTTCTTTCTATTGCATCCCGCATCTAACAACCCAATCTTTTTCCTATGGTTAGAAACCCAGAGGCAAACCATTAGTTAATGTGATTGTGCCAAGAAAGTTATCAGTTCCCATGTTTAATTATCTATTTATACATTCGCTGGATTTGGCACAAAGAATGCTGCTCCTAAAACGTTTAATATGGAGGTAGGACACAGGTACATTTTTAATGTGTATATTCCGTGTACTGCATGAGAACTTAAAATTCTTTTCATTTAAATTAATACTTGGTGGGAAATGGACATACAGGGTCAATGTTTGAAAGTGTTTAAATTGTTATAATCTTTGTCGCTCACTGAAATGGAGACTGAAACAAAAGTTTCCATTGTTAGAGTTGGCAATGATTTTATTAGAATGCTTGACAAAGTTCTACATTCTGAGAACTGGCAAAATACAGTTCAAAGCCAAAGTCAGGAGAGTTCTGGGGGAGTTTTGAACAGCAACTGGATTATAGAGCAAGGGGTAAATTTGATAAGCTATTACTTTAGAGTGTAGCTATTTTTTTGTTTTGTTTTATTTTTCTGGTGCTCTAAGTTCAGAAGAACTTTTTCTGTATCATGATTAACATGCATGTATAAGGAAGTATAAACGGAAAACTTTAAACCTTTGACATTGAATTAAATGAATTTTTTTTATTAAGCCATTCCATTGATAGAGAGAATTTTACAAAATAGGTATCAGGCGGGAGGGATTTCCCACTTTCTTGGTGTAATGCCAATTTGAAAATTAAGCATATACTCCACAAAAGGACAAAAACAAACCACTGTACTATTTTTATTTGCGGGTATTTGTATTTTTTTATCTTCTCCAATTCTTTCCCGTCTCTTCTGCTGTTTCCAAATACAGCCACATCCACTATCCAGATTTTTGTTTCTTACTGACAATTGTTAAGTCTGGGGTGTTATGTGGCATGTGCCGGTCTGTTTGAATTTTAAAGCCCCAGAGCACTTTAGCTTCTTCATTTTCTATTATTGTTGTGGTCCTATCAATTTTTCCTTGTGGGCAAATGGCATTTGATCTTGACAAGCGCGAAGTTAACTCATTCTTCTATTCTTCCAAGATCAGTAAAATAAGGACCCAGATTGTTGGCTCAATATGCTGACTTTGTAAACCACATAGATAATGCTGTAAAGCACTAAGAAGTGGTATATAATCTAAGTGCTATTGCTATTGTTATTTCTTGCAGAACTTCTAATGCATCATTGTTGCTATTTTGTCATGTCATTATTTGTAATCAGTCTGTGCGATCTTTTTTATTCTTCCTTTGATCTTTTTTGTAGGCTAATTGGTCTCTCTAGCACTCAATAGCCTCTATGGTATACTATGTATACTAAGTATACTATGCTTACTTGGTAAGTAATCCATCATATAGTTTGGCCATAAACTTTATTTTACATAAGTGGTCTGTGTGTTTGGATACAGACTATCATGAACACCTCATTAAAAAGGTAAAAGTTCTCTGGATTTACATGGTTTTTTTTTTAACACTAAATTTCATTTTGTTCTTCCAGCTACTTTTTTCACTAGCCTACAGCTCACAATTACTGGGTGGTCTCTCATCTAAATACTAATCAGGTCATAGTTTTTCAAAATCAGCCACATCTTCCTTTATATATGACTTATTAATTATCTTATTTATTCAATATCTTTATTGAAGTCTATTACAAAATTGATCTTAAACAATATTGCACTTTAGGAGCTGCCAAAACACATCAAGGCTGCTACCTCCTGAATGCCAGAGAGAAGAGCATTCCTAAAAAGCAGTTGTCTATCTGGCAGTAAGTCACAATAATGGCTTTTCCAATGATCTTAGTAGGTCTGGTAGATTTAAGAGGCAACATAATGGTTAGAATTTTGAATCCCCTTAGAAAAACCTTGACTTGGTTCAATAACTAATATGTAGCCAATGCAGGAACTTCAACATCAATAGGTGCATAATAAGGTGCTTATTTCAGCAAGCTGGCTGCTGCATTCTGTACAATAATAACTTCTAAATCATATGCATGGTAACACTACAGAAAACATATTAAAATAGTCCAGATATTAGGGTATCCAGTGTCTGAACTAGACTACTCTTTAAGAAAGGGCTTTATTAACCAAATACCCTTTTTACGGTAGAGAAGGGGATTTGTTGATGTGAGTGGGAGGGGGTAAAAGGACTCAATAAATAAAAATAATCCCTGCATGGTTAAAGCCTTGGCCCATTCTTAGGTGTCTCATCCATGTCATAGCAGTCATTCCATGATGCATCTAAGAGCAGCAAAACTGCCATGTAGGACAGTTTACTTGGGCTCTTAACAAGCTTTGGCATGGCTCACAATAACCTGACATAACAATGTATCTTCTGCTCAGCTCAGCGGATTCATGAAATTTTATGGATTCAGTTTAGCAAATTCCTTCTATTCTCATTTAAAATTGTATGTGTGTTTTTATGCTCACCAATTGCTTAATTTCTTCAACTTTTCCTTCTGCAACAGCATCAGGTTTTATAATGACAACCACACATTTTTCCTCCTCTAAAAGAAAAGCAATAATTAATTTAGGAAGCTATATAACCATTCCAGAAGAATAAATAATACAAGCATAATGTTTATTTGCTTATTTGCTACTCTAAAAAGAACTGTCATTGAATTATTTGTGCCTGAGACCAATTTATTTGTCTACAATTATTTATGGAAATTTAGTAATTAAATACTTTGGCAGGATTCCACAATTATTACATAAAGCAAATGCTTTTTAAAATATTTTCTTTAATGATAATATTGCAGGATACATTTTTTTGTCAAATGTAGACTATAATACAGAAAGACTATATATTATAATAGAGAATAACACGGAAAACCTAGAACCATAAAACATTTTTCAGAAGATCTTCAAAAAATAATATTTCATAAGTATTAAAATAATAGAATATCTTGAGAGTTCTACATGTTTCAGAAATAAAGAAGGTTCAATACATTCAAAGCAATAGAAAGAATGGAAAAATACAGTTTACATAGCCAGAACAAGTTCTTTGGCGCCATCTGATTACAGATTACATGAATGCAAAATAGCTATTTATTTATTTATTTATTTATGAGACTTATATACCGCTTTAAGTGCAAGCACTCTCTAAGCGGTGTACACCAGTAAGCAATGTATATATATATTTACATTGCCCCCAACAATCTGGGTCCTCATTTTACCTACCCCGGAAGGATGGAAGGCTGAGTCAACCTTGAGCCAGTGAGATTTGAACCGCTGACCTGCTGAACACAGTCAGCTAAAATGGCCCGCAGTACTGCACTCTAACTGCTGCGCCACCTCGGCTCATTAGGACTTTAGGAAACAATTACATTTCTCATAAATACACTTTAGGAGAAATTTATAGTTTCTTCGGATTTACATCTTCTAATGTACACCTTCTAAAATTTATATCTTCTAAGTTTACTTATTATTTCCTACTATTCTATTCTAACAATAGGACATCAATTTCACTGAAGAAATGCTAGTTTGGTATTTAGCTAATAATTTTAGTTTTTCAAACCTAGATAAGCATACGTACATAGAATTGCATGTTAGAGATGATCTACAGCTAGTCCTTGACTTAAGACCACAACTGAGCCCAAAATTTCTGTTGCTAAGTGAGACATTTGTTAAGTGAGTTTTCTCCATTTTGCAACCTTTCTTACCACAATTGTTAAGTGAATCACTGCAGTTTTTAAGATAATAACATGGTTGTTAAGTGAATCTGGCTTCCCCATTGACTTTGCTTGTCAGAAGGTCACAAAAGGTAATCACATGACCCTGGGACACTGCAATCACCATAAATATGAGCCAGTTGCCCAGCATTTGAACTTTGATCACATAACCATGGGGATGCTGCAATGGCCATAAGCGTGAAAAACAGTCATAAGTCACTTTTTCAGTACAGTTGTAACTTCAAAGGGTCACTAAATGAATTGCTATAAATCGAGGACTATCTGTACCAGTATGCACTTAATATGATTTGCATGTTATATGGCAAAATAACTACTTACTACTGACAAAATACATGGTAGTCCACATCAATTTATAACACAATTAATGGGTTAATTTTTAAAGTACCACAAAACTGTTAGGTGTCTCTGATACAATAGATCCACACAACTTCTAAAAATTTAACCAGAACTCCATTGCCACCTAAACATTTTTAGTAACAGGAGTTCCAAAGAAATTAGTAATATTTTTTTTTGTTAATAATCAGCTATTGTCCCAAATATACTTTTTCATGAGGCAACTGGATTTTCTTGTTTTTCTTTGAAGACCACTATCCAGGCAGAGCTGAAGAAGTTACATGGATGAGAAGCAAAATGTCTTCAAAGAAAAACAAGAAAGTTCAGTTGCCTTGTGAAAAAGCATCTTTGTGACAACTATGACCTGGATGAGTGAGAATCTCCATAGTTAACCAGCTATTTGTCTCCAAGATTACATTCCTGATAACATAACATTAAACTGCCCTCTCAATAAAGTGTAAAATGAGTTATGGTTAAATGATTGAAGCTATTTACTGATTAGACTAGATTTATGATATTAATACTTTATAATATTACATATATGTTGTGTGTGTATGTATGTGTATCTATCAGTATATATACTGTTGTCCATTATTTTCCACAATAATATTCCTAAGGGATAGGTAGGGTTGACTCAAAACCAGCTAGTGAGTTTCCAAAACTGAAGGTGAATCTGAAGCTGACTCCCTAGTGCTAGTCCAACAGCTTTAACCTGTATACCATTTTGGCTCTTCATGACCTTGTAGCAGAATACCAACCTTCATAAATATAATAGTAATAACAACAACTTGTCACTTGTCAAACTGTAAAAGATTAAGAATAATGTTCCTAGAATATAGATGTCCCATGCCAATGAAATACCTAATTTCAAGCCATCAGCCAATCATAGAGCTCATTATAGCCTAATCTGCTGCAAGAATGTGAAATTAAAATCATTAGACATTATTAGTTGGAGAAAGGATGGGCATAAGTCTAGCAAATTAATAATAATGTCATGACAGTATTGTAGCCTTTCCTTTTCAATATATATACACAATTACTTTATATTTTGATTAAAAATTTATAGAACAGGTAACAAAAAACATCAGATAATAGTTACATGATGAACCAAATCCAATATGACTGGAATACTTCTGACAGAATGGCATCCCAAAAGCTATGCACAACGAATTTTCCTTCTCCGAAATAGATACCAATAAGAAACAAATGACTTCCAGAAATGTTTTCCTTGAGCACATTCATAGTCTGATTTTCCCAGCAGAGTAAATAATGCATTATTGTTTACTACATATATTCATTTATAAATAATACCTAGCCACAACAAATAAGCAATATTTATAAATTAATTTTGGTTATTTGAAGTATATGTGCTAGATTTGAGAAAGACAGGAAACACATTCAACTAAGCAATAGTTTCCTTTCCTTGAGATCATTCCCATTCCATCAGTTCAATCATTACAAGTAGTCTTTGACTTATGACTATAATTGAACCTGGAACTATAGTTGTAAGTTGTGGGGGTTGTTAAGTGAATTACCACCTGACTGCATCCAATTTTATGAACATTTTATGGCAGTCATTAAGCAAATGTTGCTGTTGTGAAGCAAAAACCATGGTCATGTGATTGCAGGATGTTGCAAATGGCTGTAAATGCAAGCTGGTTGCCAAACACCCCTAATGAGATCACACGTATGCAAGATACGTGTGAATGTGTGTGCGGGGCATCAAAATTGTGTAATCAGATTGTAAGTAGATCTGGGGAGGTCTTTTGTAACCTCAAATAGATACTAAGTGACAAGTCATTAAGCAAGGCTACCTTTATTCATTTCTGTGTTCGCATGTCATGTGAAAAGGGTATATGTATAACTGAAGTGCTTACTATATATGAAAAATGCAAGAGTATTTTTAAAAATGAAAAAGTTGCTTTTTGATCCATATCCTAAACTACTGCTAATTTATACCTATAACATGTATGCAATTTAGAACCTCTATCAAGAATCATGGTTGCTACACCAACATCTTGGGGTTCTGTACTGATTGCTTCAGTTACATTTCCAATAAATAACACCATAAAACAAGTAGGAGGACAATTTGGAAATAAACCTCGCAGATATAGAACTTTTATTATACACATTAGAAAACTACATTACATTACTTTCTGACCTAATCACCATTCAAAATGAGGCACTTGTCATAACGTCTTGCAAGGTTTGAAATTCCTTCTGCAAAAATCTCCTGCCTGGGAATGAAGCCACCCTGTAACAGCATCATGAAGTGCATTATCATCATCAAAATGGTGCAATGCAAGCCATTGTTTCATGTGCCTGAAGAGGTGGTAGTCATTTGGTGCCAAATCTGGGCTATAAGGGAGGTGATCAAAAACATCCCAACGGAACTGCTTCAAAAGTTCTTGGGTGCATCTAGCGGCGTCTGGGCGAGCATTATTGTGAACTAACACGACACCGGAAGTCAGCATGCCCTGATGCTTGTTATGGATGGCTTGTCTGAGTTTTCGTAACGTTTCACAGTAGACTTCTGAACTGATGGTTGAACCACACTCCATGAACTTCACTAGCAGTACTCCTTTGGCATCCCAAAATATTGCCATAACCTTTCTGGCAGACAATGCTTGCCGAGCTTTTTTGGGTTTCTTTGGTGAGTGGGTATGACACCACACCATTGATTGCTGTTGCTTTTGGGTTCATGTATGACACTGAGGTCTTATTGCCAGTCACAATTCTGTTAAGAAATTATTCTCCTTCCTCAGCATAACATGTGAGAAAGTCCAAAGCAGAACCCGTTCGGTGTGTCTTGTGCTCCTCAGAAAGGAGTTTTGGTATCCAATGAGCAGACACCTTGTGGTATCCCAAATTTTCTGTCACTATCTCATATAAAACAGTCTGAGAAATCTGGAGAAAATGTAAAGAAAGTATAGCTATCATGAACCAATAGCCTTCCTGGACCTTTTTGTCAATTTTCTGCAGGAGTTCATCGCTGACCACAGATGGATGGTCACTTCTTGCCTCATCACACACATCAGCTCGTCCATCTTTAAACATGTGACACCATTGATGTACAACACCTTCACTCATTATGTTTGATCCATAAACATTACATAATTCATGAGGAATCATAGCTGCTAAAAGTTTTTTTTTTGCACAAAGGAATGGTTTTACTGCATGCACTTCACATTTGGCAGGATTTTATATGGCAGGGTGCATTTTCAATTGATCTAGTGGATGAGTCAACTGCAACACAACCTTCTCCTTCCACTCCTCACTGCCTACTGAACTACTGTGCACGGTGCCATAGGCTATCCCCACTTATTTTTCTCACATGCTCAAATGGAGGTTTATTTCTGAATTGCCCTCGTATATGAAGGAAGACTGAATGGATGGAGAAGAAGATCAAGAAAGTCTTAATTAGCTTTGAATTTAGTATTATCGTTTCTGATCAACAAATGTTATTAAAAAGTCTTTAATATTAACAAATTAATATTTTTTTCATGGGAAAACATGTTATATATGAAGAATATAGACATTTAAATAACAAAATAAATAATCTATAAATGAATGGATATGGTATAAGTAAAGAGACTTTGCAAGGATAAAAATGTTTGGAGAACTTTAGAAATTGCCAGATAATTGCTGGGTAAAATAGTTTTACACAGATTCCTCTTTCTCCTGCCTTTAATTTCTTTGGATTATTACTTCACAGCAGTTTGTGTATTGTCCACCCTAAAGGGACAATGATGGGCAGGTATAGATACATGTTTGTGAAGAAAGTACCATACTTTCTTAAGTAAGTTGTCTCCTTCTTAATTCTCTCAAGCATTGGAAATTGACTTTTTTGTGAGAGGCAATATTAGAATCATTGTCAGGACCTCTAAAATAGATTTACTTACAGTTTATTGCTTATGCCTATGTATATTCTTTTGGGGGGCCTGCCATTCTGTTGGGAGGGGGATTGTATTTGCTTTGCTCTGCTTTGCCCTCCCTCCATGTGAAAGGAATGTGGTTTGAAAATATCTGTCTTATCTCCAGATGATGGAGCCTGGGACTGTTGGGAAACAAAACTGAGAGAGACCTTGGAAAGGGCACTAAATTACTAGGTTCTCAAAACAATCTAGTACCTATGGATTGGCTGTATTTCAAATGGACAGTTGGACACTCGGGGGAGGAGACTTGAATGGGCTGTTTGATGTAACCTTTTACGCGCAAAATCTTCAGACCTTGCTTTGCCTTCCTGCTATCACTAACTCTCAACAAAAGTTCCTTTTAAAACAATGCCTGTTTCAAGAGTTCTGCTTCCTTGGGAGATCTAGTTGAGGCTGGTCCTTACAATCATCTAATTGTATTTTAAGAAAGATAGATTTTGCTAAGGATGGTATTGAAAATGTATTACCATGGCTGGATTCTAAAAACATGATGTATCTTCACAATATAATATATACATATACATATACATACATACATACATACATACATACATACATACATATATTGCTTTCTTACACCAGATTTCAGTAACCTAGATATGAAGTAATACTATCATATTTTCATAACAGTATCTTTAAATCTGATTTTTTAAGCCAGACATTTTGGTATGGTCTCACCATAAAACAGCATCCGATCACAATTCATAATTCTGTATTTTGGCAGAAACTATATAGGTGTGTGAATTTGGATAACCTGTAATCAAATAATTACAGTGCTCTTCAACATCTTCATCAATGATTTGGATGAAGGGATAGATGGGGAACTCATCAAATTTGCAGACAACACCAATCTGGCAGGAATAACCAACACTCCAGAAGACAGGCTTAAGATACAGAAGGATCTGGACAGACTGGAACACTGGGCACTAACTAACAAAATGAAATTCAATGCTGAAAAAAGCAAGGTTCTACATTTAGGAAAGAAAAACCAAATGCACAAGTACAGCATAGGTGGCACCATGCTCAGTAGTTAATAACTGTGAGAGAGACCTCGGAATCCTAGTACACAGTCACCTAAATATGAGCCAGCAGTGTGCTGCAGCTGCCAAAAAGGCCAACACGGTGCTAGGCTGCATGAACAGAGGGATAGAATCAAGATCACATGAAGTATTAATACCACTCTTCAATGCCTTGGTAAGGCCACACTTGGAATTCTGCATCCAGTTTTGGTCACCACGATGTAAAAAAGATGTTGAGACTCTAGAAAGAGTACAGAGAAGAGCAACAAAGATGATTAGGGGACTGGAGGCTAAAACATATAAGGAACGGTTGCGAGAATTGGGTATGTCTAGTTTAACGAAGAGAAGGACAAGGGGGGACATGATAGCAGTATTCCAATATCTCAGGGGCTGCCATAAAGAAGAGGAAATCAAGCTACCATAAATGCCGGCGTATAAGGCAACTTCCGCGAGCACTGAAATCGGTGCCAAAGACGGGGGTCGTCTTATACGCCGAGTCGTCTTATACGCCGGAAATACTGGTAGTTTCCAGCGTATAAGATGACGTTCTAGGAATGCGACCCGGCGATAAAGACGGGGGTCGTCTTATAGGCCGGGTCCCCTTGTACGCCAACATATACGGTATTTTCCAAAGCACCTGAAGGCAGGATAAGAAGCAATGGGTGGAAACTAATCAAGGAGAGAAGCAACCTAGAACTAAGGAGAAACTTCCTGACAGTGAGAACAATTAATCAGTGGAACAGCTTGCCTCCAGAAGCAGTAAATGCTCCAACACTGGAAGTTTTTAAGAAGAGACTGGACAGCCATTTGTCTGAAATGGTGTAGGGTTTCCTGCCTGAGCAGGGGGTTGAACTAGATGACCTCCAAGGTCCCTTCCAACTTTACTACTACTATTATTATTATTAAAAACAGAAGCACCATGGCAAGATGGATGGCCAATAAATTGAATGAATGAATGAATGAATGAATGAGCAAGCAAGCAAGCCTTAAAACTGACAAGGAAGATATAGAAGTGGTCTGCCTTTTAGGATCAAACATCAATAGTAAATGTACTACAAGCAGTCAAGAAATGGACCACAAACTAATACTTGGTATGAAGGTCTTGGAAAGGATATTCAGATGCTACCATGTGTCTATAACTACAAAAATCCAAACACTGCAAGCCCTGTTATTCTCTATGATACTCTACGGAAACAAAAGTTGCACTTGGAAGACACAAGCTAGGAAAAGTATTAATTCTTTTGAAGTTTGTGCTGGAGAAGATTCCTAAGTATACAGTGGAGAGCCAAGAAAACAAATCAGTGAATCATCAAATAAATCAATCCATAATTCTTACTTGAGGCACAAATAATCATGCTCAAATTATTCTATTTTATATATACTATATGAAGGCTTAGGTTTCTGGAGAAAGTGTGACTGCTGGTAAAGGTGGAATGAGAAAGAAGAAGAGCAAGGTGGATAGACTCAGTGGCAATGGCAGTGCTATTGGAAGAGCATAAGAACCAGAATGGGGATAGATAATCAAGGGAAAAAATATCTATGTGGTCATTAAAAGTCAATAATAATATCATGCCACATAATCACTGATTCACTCACTGACTCACTCGCACTCACCCACTCAATCAATCAATCATGTGCATGATGTATATTTTAAAAATGGCTCTTTGATCACATCCACAATCTTTGACTCCTCTATGGATGTCATCCTAAAACCTACAATATTGTCAAACCTGACTCAAGTTCATAGTTGCTTGCACCTGATTTCACTCACAGCTTTGCCGAACATTTACAGAGGGAGGGTGTTGAATTCCTAAGGGTGGGGGAGGCTATGGAATGTAAGAGAGTCTTCTGTTGCCGGAGAAACATTATCTACCAAGGCCAAGTCATAAAGAATGTTTGACTGGAGGAGAAGGTTTTTCCCAAAGCAAAATAATTGAACTCAGTTGGTGAACTATGAATTGTGGTAGGCCCAGAGGCGAAGAAGGGAGTTATCTAGGTGTGTTTTTGCATGAAAATCCCAGAACTGACTTTGCTTTTGTCTACATGGATTTTTCAACAAAGCAACACTCTTGGTCGATCTAAAGAGGCAGGAGTTTCTTTTGTTGAAAGTGCCAAATGGGATGGTTGACAAGTATTTGCTGTTACAAAATTTTTTGCACCAAAATATTTCAAACAGTCCATCCTGTTTATGAACAACTGTATAACTATGTTGCTATCCCATAGCTTTCATAGAGTAAGACTTACCTCCAGCTTCTTCTTCTTCAGGTTCTTCTTCTGATTCTTTTTCTTCTATAAACATGAGTTCTGGCATCTAAAAATAAATATTTACATTGTCTGGTGGAATTTATTTAAAAGGTCTGTATGGTAGTTATTAGTTTCTACATCTAATCTGACTTAATATGTTTTAATTTTAAAATGCTTTCTACAGGAACGAGGTTTTCACAGTTTTCAAAATATAAAATAAAATCAACTAGAATTTTCTTATATGAACCTCCAAGGAGTGAAATAGCAGAAATGGCATGCCACCAGCAAAATTTTATCAACAGGAAAGGAAAAAATGGAAAGTAGACCGCACTTCTGTCAGTGCAGTTGAGAGACTGGCACCCTTTATTATCCTTAAATGGTTTTTATCCAGGTTGCTTCTTAGATAAATAGGCACTGGTACGCCAAAGAGGAATACAAAGGAGAATCATTATTTCATCCAGAAGGAAGCTGACAAGAGAAAAAAAATATGATTTTTAACCTCTGCCTTTCCCAACTAAGCAGGCAAAGCCTATATTTCCTTCTAGTGTATTTCTTGAGATCAACCTGGAAAGATGAATCATTCTTGCCTGAGTTCCATATTGAATTTCTGTTGGCTGCTATTGATGAACAATGGAAAATTTCTTCATAGAACAGCCTCTTTAGAGCAGTGTGCCTTTCCATTGACAGACAGTCATTAAGAAAACACATCTCTTTTTTAGCCATTGATTTCAGGCCAGGAATCCATAGCTGAATTTGCTTCATTTTTCCCTTCTTCTCTTCTCTCCTGGTGGTCCATTTGCATTATTATGCTGGACAAGGATTGCCTAGAAAATTGTTGGCAACTTCGACAATTTTAAGATTTGTGGATGTCAGTTCAAGAATTCCTCAGCCTGCTTGAAGTGCATAATTTTAAAGTTCCTAAAGTTGAGAAACAGTATCCTAGAACACTGATAGCTGTCACAGGATCCTTCCTGGCTAAAGCCAATGATTTCAAATAACTCATAAATTATAAGCAACTCATTAACAATTTAAATGTATTGAATTTAGGATCAAAGGATATTTGACATTGGAGGATCAACCAAAAATGTTTTTTTTTTGAAACTGAAAAACAAAAGGAATGAAAATTACATTAGATGGGAGTTTCTGGGGAACTTCCCTCTTTTCACAATTTAGTGAAAGTTCCAGTAAATGCTATCCTGAAGTTGAAACTCAAATACTTTGGCCACCTAATGAGAAGGAAGGACTCACTGGAGAAGGGCCTCATGCTGGGAAAGATTGAGGGCAATAGAAAAAGGGGACGACAGAGAATGAGGTGGCTGGATGGAGTCCCTGAAGCAGTAGGTGTGAGCTTAAATGGACTCCAGAAGATGGTAGAGGACAGGAAGGCCTGGAGGAACGTTGTCCATGGGATCATGATGGGTCGGACACAACTTTGCAACTAACAACAACAACAAATATTGGGGAGAGTGGGGGGTAGAGGTATTAAGTATGAGAGCAATAAATGAGCATAAAAAGCATGACAAATCAAATTTATCATTATACAAAACACTCCATAATTATATTTAAGGTGTTCATTAAAACCAATAGTTTTAATGGGCACCTAGATTATCATTATGGAATGTTGTTGTATTGTGCTAGATTTGATTTGTCATCCTTTTTATGCTCATTTATTGTTCTCACACTTCTTTTAAACTCTTTTTAGATTTTTAAAAAAGTATTTTTAGCTTTTTAAGTAATTTTATTTTTGAATTTTGTATTTTATGCTTTTAAATTCCTTATATGCCATCCTCCTTATGCTGGTCTTTGATCATAATAAAGCTTGATTTGATCTGACTAAGTTTCATTGATATCAGAGCAACTCCATGCAAAATATGCCTATCTTGGTATTACACCTTTCAAAGAATATATTTTATGTTATTAGAATTGTGCTAATTGCAAATTTGCTGCTGATTTCTGTTCATCTTGAAAAAGCTAAAACCTGGTAAGTAACTGGATGAGAAATCAGCAGAGAATCCCAGATTAGTCTCAGAGGCTAAATTGGAAAGTAAAATGAAACTAACAAACATCCTGGAAGAAGTCAATGGCAAATATCTTGCTGTAGATGTTTATATATTATTATCCAGAGAGACATTATCTTTAATTATAAGCTTAGCCTGCTGTTGTTAATTTGTATGGAGCTATGGAGTCCTGGGTGCTCTTTAAGCTTGGTCGGTTGTTTGCAGATGCTTCATGTCTTGATTAGAAATGTCTACAAGGTAACAAACAAGCTCAGAGAGCACCAAGGACTTCACATTTCAACCCTGTGCTATGTGTATTCACTTCTATTATATGGCCCTATACACAAACTGATAGTACATTGGAATGGTCTTCTTTAAATAGCACTAATAGGATTATCTATCTAAATTGGAATCACTAGTACAATGCTAATAGCCTTATTCTATTTTACTGTTCTCAAACAATCTGTAAATTACCTTTATTGCCAATATGATTTATTCAATTAAAAAGTCTGGTTTAATTGTATCTGACATTGGTGCAGAATAGATGGGAAGGGAGGGGTTTCTGCTCATGAAAGTTCCTTTTGTTTCCAAAGTGGTTTGTCACAGAGAAATATGCTAATAGGAAAGCAATAAAAATATAAGATGAGCATAAAATAAACAGATATAAGCATAAGATAAGCATAGAGGATGAGTGCTATCTTTAATGGGAGACCAGGGATTGAAACCTGGCTAGTACCTACTTTACCAGTTGTTGTTCTTGGGCAAAGACCCCTAATACTTCATCTGCTTATCTCATATAACAGTGTCACAAACTAAAAGAATTATGCTGGCTTGGATATTGCCTGGATTAATAAGGTCTGCCAGACAGTCTTACAATATATGGACAAGCAAGAACCAGGAATTGATGAAATGCTGCTATAACAGTAGTCCTAACAAGAGGGGATATATGAGGGAAATGTGGATATGAGGAAAGTGGATCAACAGAAGACCTGCAACCATATTAGCTAAGAAACATCTTGTTATTCAACACTTCAACATATTGAGCAATCATCTGCTCCCATAACTTGAGACAGATCAATTTCTCATTACATCCCAGACTCAAGAAGACCCAGAAAAGAAACTCATTACATCTCAGATTCAAAAAGATACAGAATAAAGCAACACTTGAAGCTGGAACATCACTGCTATCTTCAGAGCATGGCAAGTGATATGAGGCATACATTCCTGGATAAACTAGCTACAGTCAATCCTCAAGACTGGTTATCAAGACTCAGTGGAGAAGTACCATTAGATAGGATGTTAGAATATGCCAATAGCGTCATCATAAATATCACTGTTACCACCATAACTTAAAGGATGAACTTGTTTACACTATAGCATATGTAATCTTGGAGATGCTTGGCTACACAATATAGATCAGCTGTACATACCACCACCACCATCATTGTCACCTGGAAAATAAAATTAAAGGCTAAAATCAAGACAGTTTGGAGAGAAATTACTCAGCTGGGGGAACTATAGATGGGTGTATAGATTAAAGGTAAGACTCAGCTATTGAAGAAATATAAGAATCTGACTCCATCTGAAATCCCATAAGCCACTAAACAATGACTCACAGCAATAGCTACCAGGCTAAGGAGATACACTAGGTAGGCAGAGGTCAAGAAGATAAATGCCTGATTCTCCAAAAACTATCCAAGATGTACTCCCATCAGCAGTGCAACAACATAGTAACAACAGAGCCACCAACACAAAAAACTGAATAGTATTGGAAGAACACATGGGAAAAAGAGAAAACACATAAGACCAGCCAAAGTGACTGTAGGACCTGAGAACAAACCTCCACAATCTCCCAGTCACCATCAGAGTAGCAAATACCCAGCATGAGTGGATGATCAACATGAAAAGCTGGATAGCACCTGGCCTGGACATAGAAAATAGAATAAAAGTATTGGAAAGGACCTTGGAGATCTTTTAGTCCAATCCCCCATCCATGGCAGGAGATCCTATATCATTCTGAACTTTGGGCTTGATGGAATGGATACACAATCATAGAAAAAATAGCAGAATAGAATAGAATAATGGAGTTGTAAAAGACCCTGGAGGTCCTTCATTCCAACCCTCCACCCAAGCAGGTCCCTATACCATTTCAGACAAATGGCTATCCAATCTCTTCTTAAAAACCTCCAGTGATGGAGCACCTATAACTTCTGAAGGCAGGCTATTTCTCTGGTTAATTGTTTCACTGTCAGGAAATTTGTCCTTAGTTGGTTCTCTCCTTGATTAGTTTCCACCCATGCTTCTTGTCCTGCCTTTAGGTGATTTACAGCAGGGGTGTCAAACTGCCAGCCTGCGGGCCGGATGCGTCCCAAGGAAGCTGCACCAACCCCATTGCTGGCAATGGCAAAACTGGCCCGATATGTTGTGTGACGTCATGTGATGTCACAAGTTTGACACGCCTGATTTAGAGAATATGTTGACCCCCTTTTCTTGTAGCAGCTGCTTAGATGTTGGATCACTGCTATTATATCACCCCTAGTCCTTCTTTTCACTAGACTAGACACACCAAGTCATCAAATGCAGCACATACCAAGGTGACCCACTGTCCCTCCTGCTGTTTTGCATAGGTTTAAATCCCCCCGACAAGATAATAACAAAAACTAAATATACATATAAGTTCAAAAGTTGAAATACTATCATCCATGCTTTCTTTATATATGCTATATGCTAAGAGTGAATGAGACATTGACACACTGATCCATCTGTTGCTAATCTACAATAAGGACATTGGAATATCATTCAGTTGGAGATATGTGGCTGAATGATAGTCAATAGAAAGTAGTTAATGCAGATGGGATGGAATTAATAGAAAGCTACATAGCAAATACCAAGATTACCTGCTGAGAGAATACCTGAGGCAGAGCAGACATGGGAGGAAGATCAAGCAGAGGAAGTACTATGTCAAGACAAGTTTCTGCATGGGATGTATTATACCATCAGCAGATAGCTGAATTGGCTGACACTGGAAAATCTTACCAATGGCTGAAAGAGCTGGTCTAAAGAAACACTGAGGTACTAATAAGAATGGGCACTAAGTATCAGATCCATAAAAGCTGGGCTCTACCATGCTAAAGAGACTTAAGGTGCAAATTATGCAGAGAAGCCTCAAAGCCAGCCCAACACATAATGGCAGAGTGTAAGATGCAGGCAGAAATAGCATACATTAAGTAGCTGATGTTATGTACAGAGACATCTGAATAGGCTACACTCCCAAAGCCAGATAAGAGATTCTACAAAAGATCATTGAGAATAACATAGCTGAGATCCTCTGGGTTTCCAGATGCAGATGGACAGGCAGGTATTGGTCAATCAACCTAACATTGTGGTAGTACACAAAAGACAGTTGTGTTTATATATGTAGCAGAGCCAAGGGACAGCCACATCAGGAAGAAGGAGTTTATGAAACTGGAAAAGTATCAGGGTCTGAAGGAGGATCTGGAGAGGATTTGGAAAGTAAAGGCTAAAATTGTCCCAGTCATGGTAGGAGCACTTGGAGCTGTGACTCCTACACTGGGAACACAGGAACAACATCAGAACTCTCTGTCCAGAAGAGTACAGGGCTTGGAACAGCTAAAATACTGCACAGAATCTTTAAACTTGCAGGCTTCTGGTAAAGGACCTAAATTTGAGGAAGACACATACCGCCCATAGAGATGAGAATAATAAACAGCCAAATAAGAAGTTACCTCTGGTCTTTTCACTTCTCCGGCTACAATTTTTCTTTCCAGTTCAATTAGTTCTATTACTTTTCTGTTTAGAAGAGGTCCATTTGCTCCTCTTACAATATCTATTATCTTGCCATCCTAAAAAACAAATATACTCATTATATATTCTACTTTAGACTTAAGGTTGAATCACCTAATTTAAGCCTGTATGTATTCTTATCTGACTGTATCACTATTTATATTACAATCTTGCATTCAGCTACTCTCACATACATTCTTTCATTCATAATTCTATAGAATCAGGGATATGACCTAGAGGGAAACATACAAAAACTGTTATATAAGCAAAGACCGCTGAAACATTCCTTAAGTCCTAGGACAGGGGTAGGCAACCCAAAACACTTAAAGAGCCACTTGGACCCGTTTCCCACCAAAAACAAAACACTGGGAGCCGCAAAACCATTTTGATATCTAAAATGAAGATAACACTGCATATATCCTTTTTTACCTTTATTATAGGTGTGTGTGTGTTTGTGTGTGTGTGTTTGCGTGTGTGTATGTATGTGTGTGTGTATATATATGTATATGTATGTATGTATATATATATATACATACACACACACACACACACACACACGTAAAAAAAGGATATATACAGTGTTATCTTCATTTTAGATGTCAAAAGGGTCTCTCTCTCTCTCTCTCTCCTTCTCTATCTGCCCTTGGTCTGCCACTCCTCTTCCCCCGCTCTCTTTCTTTCTCTCTCTCTCTTTCCTCTCTCTCTCTCTCTCTCCCTCTCTCTCTTTCTCTCTCTCTCTCTCTCCCCCCCTCTCCTATCTGCTGCTCACCTGACAAGCTTCAGGCTGTTGTCCAACAAGATCAGGGGTAGGCAACCTCGTCTCTTTTATGACTCATGGACTTCAACTCCCAGAATTCCTGAGTCAGCCTAGCTGGGCTAGCTAGCTCTCTCCTGCCCTTCCTGCTTCCTGCAGAGATGCAGCAAAGGGAAGAGCTCCGCCCAGTAAGCTTTTCAGCTCCTCGGAGAACACTGTGAGTGCACTCTCTTTTTTTTATATAGACACACACACACACACAAACACACACACACACACACACACACAGAGAGAGAGAGAGAGAGAGAGAGAGAAAAGCAGGGAAGCGCAATTCCTCTCTCTGTCTCTGTCTCTCTCTGCAAAGGCAGAGGAGGCTGGGAGCCGCAGGGGAAGGCTCAAAGAGCCGCATGCGGCTCCGGAGCCGCAGATTGCCGACCTGTGTCCTAGGAAGAAAGATAGTATTAGGGAATTGATTCAAAGCTCTTCCTTAATTAATTGGAATATAACAGGTATGGAAAGTAAAACACAGTCAGACTTGAAAAATTCTATTATTACAGCCTATTTCAATAAAGTATAATTAAATTATTTCAATGTACAGTTAGTCCTGGACTAACTATTGTTAAACAAATGGTGGTAATACGAGTACTACCAATAGCCTATTTCCTGACTTGATCTAACCTGAATAGCTGACATAATTATATCAAGGATGTAATACTCCAGAAAACCATTGGATGTCATTGAAGAGATATAGAAACTCTGGCCAATTGTTATTATCTAGTACTTGTCCAGAATTATACAGTCTTGCACATAAGATATAGTCAGTTCAGCTCTCAGTTAGCTTAATTCTGCAAATAAACTTCAGAAAAACCCATTAAAGTTAATGAAAGACTTCTTCAGTAATTAATTGTAGAAGACATGTATATATATATGAGAACAGAATTTCAGAGAGATCCAGCTGCTGCATGAAGAATTAATTTTTTCCTCCCTACTTGTAAATATCTCTTTCAAACAGGTATCTTTTGGAAAAGGAGAAAGTGGGGAATTATACATAGAGGGCAGGAAATCATATTCATAGGGAAGGGAAAATTAACTCTCCTGAAAATGGCTTGGATATATATATATATATTTCAGTTGAGTAACGAAAGTGGAGAAATCACTTAAATTGTGCAACTCTAGATCCATGCATATAAATGTTCACTTACCTGTTTGGTTTATTTATTTAGAGAATTTATATGGCTGCCCACTTACTCCCCATCATCCAGTTAGAGCTGAAGAAGCTTCTTGGACAAGAAGTGAAATGTCTTCAAAGAAAAACAAGAAAGTCCACTTGCCTTGTGAAAAAGCATCTTTGAGATAACTATGACTTGGATGATGAGAATCTCCATAGACAAGCCACTTGATGGGCTCCATCCCATTCTGGATTTCCCAGGCCCATTGGTAAAACTAGGTGTTCAGGGCCTTGAGAAATAGTATCAAAGTGGGAGCTAGTCTCATCTCTGTGGTGATGAAGTTTCAAAGGGAAGGACCCATCATGGAAAAGATGTACCTCTTTTGGAGTGGAGACCCACAACATTCCCCGACTGTCTGCTTTGGTGGATCAGTAGATGTAACTGAGAAGAGATGGCCCTTTCCAAGCCATGAAGGGCTTTAAAGATGACAACCAGCACTTTGAATTATACCTGGAATCATACTTTGTTGATTATTACAGGATTTTGTTCTCTGAAACCCTTTTCTTATTAGGATTATTGTGCTAAAGGCAGCGGAATAAGGGCTAGAATTGTGAGACACCGGGGTACGACAATAGCAAGAGATTTGCATGCACAAATATTCCCATATACAGTTCTATAAATATGTGATACAGAAGATTCCAGCCATTTTGAATTACTGTTCTCCTTTTGTATATTTCAACATGACTCAAAAAAACATCATATGTTATTACACACACTTAACCCTACGCAAAGCTCTTTTCCCATCCCCATTATGGTGCACTTACCAGACAGAAGACAAAAGCAGGTTCACATTTCTCTTTAAATGGGAGCAGGGTCACCACACTATCAGCCTCTGCCTTAAATGAATAATACACAAATACATCTGCTATATTTTTTCTCCTAAGTCATGTTGTACAGTAACAATTACCATATGAGTCTCTATTGTGGTTTATTATAGCTTTACTAGAACTTGGGCTGCAATATCTAAATCCAGTAGATGGAAGCAAAGAGGTATAAACTCATTCTTTGAACTATGTATTGGTCACCCTGATTTTTTGCAGTCAATATTCGTTAGTCCTATTTATTGAGAGTTTTGGTTTAGTCTATTGTTTCTTTTTCTTGTTTCTATTGCAGAATCCCAATGAAAATTAATCCCATCATTTTAATTATTGTAGTTGCCACTGAAAAAAACAAAGCTAAAGAAATGGATATGATTGACCTACCCAAGGACAAGCGATCTGTTGTTCTGCTATTTAATTTTGCTATCCTACTCATAGTAAAAAAACAAAACAAAACACCTTAATTATGGGTAAATCAGACCCAAATTTCATATAATTCTAAATGCTTTAAATAATTTTAGATTGGATAATATATGTATGATTGTGACACATCCATTGTAAATCTAGGCTAACCTCTAGTATTTATTTTTTTATTCCCCTTCTTACCTACAACAGCTCACCCTTTCACCTTTCGCAAGTTTCAAAATCTATGTATCATCAAGAAGCCCTGTTTTAGCCAATTTCTAGCCCATTTCTTGTTTGCCCAAAATGTGAAAAATATCTTTGAGTGTAATGAAACTCATTAAATGGACTAAATTTATTAAATTGGGATGGTTAGCCAGGTTCTTTGTCACTCAATCACCTCACCTCATCGCTAGGGCATAACAAAGCTATTGTGTGTCTTAAATTCCCTCTTCCCAATTTCAGCTTGTTATGGAATTTTTAATAATAATATTTTCAATAATCTCCCTGTCAAAATGAGACTGTTGGTCAATTGAGGTATTAATATCACAAAGTATTTAGTATGAGAAAGTACTTAACATTGGAGGTATGGAAACTGAAATCCAACTCATAGGGAGGGTGCTAGTTTAGAAAAAGCTGGTTGATTATCCAGATTCTTACCACAGCAAAATGTAGAAGATTATCTTCACCATATTCATTTTTTAGCCTCCTAAACAAGTTTACTACAGCTTTGCAAGGTCCACACCATGCCTGATAAACATCTACCACTGATAAAACATAGAAAGATAACATAAATTCCTATTTTAAAAAAATTAATAATACAGATTCCCTTGCTGAAACTCTTACCCATGGATAAAATGTGGATATGATCACAAATTGAAATAATACGTACATTAAGATTTTCAGAAAATAAAATCATACATCAATATGGACAGAAAGGGTGCATTTGCAATTCTTCAAAGCCCTATTCCAAAGATCAGCAAGTGATTTAGGCTTAATAACTATCAGACTTCTAATGAATGCAATTGTTTATTGCACAATTCCTCCTTAACATAAAGCAATATATATTTTAGTGGAGGTTAAACCTGTTTCCTGCTTTATTGTATCCAGAATACTTTTTAAAATGGATATCTCAGGAAATGGTGAGCTAAATAATCCAACATACCTATAGCAGGGTTTTTAAAACTTTTTCAGTCTGCAGAACCTGATTTTTTTTAAAAAAAAAAAAAAGAAAAAGAAAGAAAACTATTTCCAGAAATACTGATCAAAAGACAAAATTCTAGTGAGAGAAAATTGACTGAGGTTAATTGATTTTAATTTTATCTATTTTTGCCTTTAATGTGGTGTCTTCACAACTTTATGATATATAGACTTCAACTCCCAGAATTTCCTACAATCATTTCACTTAATTTTTCTCCAAGATAAGCAGTGAGAAAGATTTAATAGATCTGATACATCTTTTTTAAATAAAGTTTTATTCAGTTTTATAAGGTTAGGAAAGGGATGGGGTCAGTATGGGAGTTGAGGTTCAGGGTGGGGATCAGGGTTAGGATTGGGACAAAGATAGGAACAACAATGGGGTTACCTCCCATTAACATTAACATTTTCAAGCTTTAGCAAACAGACTATTGTCCAGTATTGGGCAAATGCTATTCTTGCTGCTGTCAATATATGCAATATTAAATACTCATTCTCCTTCTCATACTTGGCTCCTGGTATTCCTAACAAAAACGATTCTGGTTTAAATTCTATCTGTATTTTAGTCATCTTTTCCAACCATTTATGAATCTTAAGCCAATTTTTTTCCGCTTTAATAAGGTGACCAACCGTCCTCCTTTAGGGAGGACAGTCCTCCTTTTGTAAGGTCTGTCCTCACTTGAAAAGTGTCCTCCTACATGTCCTCCTTTTTGATATTTGAAGACTAATCTGCAGGGCTTTTTTTCTCATAGAACGCTCAGAATGGCGTTCCGGCATCTTTTTTGATGTTTTTTTTCAACTTTTGCATGAGCTGTGCTACTCCCCCATTGGCTTTTGAAAGCCAATAGGAATTGCTGCTGAGCACGTCAAAACACCCAGCTGGCAAACTTTGCACATGCAAGTTGTCTGCAGCGAAGGCGAATTGGCAGGAACTTTGCACCCCTCCCTGCTACCCAACTACACTATCTCCTAGTTAGTTCTGAAGATACCTGGAGGAGACTGGAGCAATAAGTTTCTCTTAATCTTTGGCTCTGCTAGGGCAATAATGGATGCGGGCACAAGAGTCAGGGGCGGCGGGGTGCTGCGGGCGGTGATGTGAGGGGCAGCAGCGGCTGGCTTCCCTCCTGTGCTGTGGGAACTGCAGGCTCTCTCTACATGGGGCTGCGCAGGGTGGGCAGTGATGCTGGCGGGGCAGCTGCAGGCAGGGTATGTCGACAGTGGGCTGCCTCCCAGGGCCGGAGCTGGCACGGCTGGTGCTTTGGGAGCCGCGGGGCCTGTTCTACATGGCGTGGCAGCAGTGCTGGAGGGGCAGCTGTGGGCAGGGGCGCGGTGGGCGGTTGACCTTCCATGGGCCAGGCCAGCTTTTATGATATTTTTTTCTTCAATTTATTTGTGTCCTCCTTTTCATTGTAAAAAAATTGGTCACCTTAGCTTTAGGGCATACCCACCAGGTATGGTAGTAGGTACCTGGCTTTTGTTTACATTTTCATCAGTTATTCAAAGTGTTTTTAAACATTTTCACTAGTCTTACTGATGTCATGTGCCATCTATAAAACATTTTATACAAATTTTCTTTATATGAAGCTGCTTTAGTCAGTTTAATGTTTCTATCTCATAACTTTTGCCAATCTTCTAAATCTATAGAATATCCAAAGTTTTTTGCCCATGTTATCATTGTTTCTTTTACTTGTTCTTCTTCCATCTTCAAATTTAGAAGAAATCTGTAAAGTTTCTTAATCAGGTTTTCATCTGTTTTTAAAAGTATTTGATCAAATTCTACCTGTTCTTTATAAAATCCCATTGTCTTTGCATCTTTTTCATATCTTGTTTGAATTTGCAAATAGGGCCACCATGCTAAGTCAATACCTTGTTATTGTAAGTCTTGCCTATCTTTCAATTTTTCTTCGTTGTCCAGAATATGTTTTTAAGTGACGACTTTGTCATAGTTAATTAAATTTGGGTAAGCGAAAGCTTCCATCGTTGAAAGCCATTCAGGTATTTTAATATAGATTTTTTGTTTTATTCTTTCCCATTCTAAACAAAGTACATTCCTTATAGTGTGGTTTTGGAAGTATCTCTGTGTTTTATTTTTTCCGTGCCACAGAAAGGCATGCCAACCAATTTGTAGGTCATGCCTCTCTAGGTACAGTAGTCTTTTGTTTCTCAGCATTATCCATTCTTTAAGGCATGGTAAAATGGCTGCTTGATAATATAATCTCCAATCCGGGAGTCCAAATCCTCCACTGTTTTTAGCTTCTTGTAACATTTTCTCTTTAATTCATGCTTTCTTCCCTTGCCAAATAAATCTCAATATTGTTGCATTTAGGTCATTAAAAAAGACCTTTCCCAATTTTACAGGAATCGTTTGAAATAAGAAGAGTAATTTCGGCAGGTACATCTAATACATCTTGAGGTTGCTCTAGAATAGTATTTTTTCAACTTTGGCAACTTTAAGATTTATAGATTTTAACTCCTAGCATTCCCAGCCAGCATGTTGGTTGGGGAATTCTGTAGTTGGTCCACATATCTTAAAATTGCCAAGATTGATAAGCGCTACCATAGAATCTCACAGAATCGCATCAAGTATTCACTAGGATCTTGGCATTCTGTCTTATGCAATTAACCAACACAATAAATAATAATAATAATAAAGTTGGAAGGGACCTTGAAGGTCATCAAGTCCAACTCCCTGCTCAGGCAGGAAACCCTACACCATTTCGGACAAATGGCTGTCCAGCCTCATCTTAAAAACTTCCGTGTTGGAAAATCCACAGCTTCTGGAGGCAGGCTGTTCCACTGGTTAATTGTTCTCACTGTTAGGAAGTTTCTCCTTAGTTCTTGGTTGATTCTCTCCTTGACTAGTTTCCATCCGTTACTTCTTGCCCTACCTTCAGGTGCTTTGGAGAATAGCTTGACTCCCTCCTCTTTGTGGCAATCCCTGAGATATTGGAATACTGCTATCATGTCACCCCTAGTCCTTCTTTTCAGCAACCGTTCCTTCTATGTTTTAGCCTCCAGTCCCCAATCATCTTTGTTGCTCTTCTCTGTACTCTTTCTAGAGTCTCAACATCTTTTTTACATCATGGTGACCAAAACTGGATGCAGTATTCCAAGTGTGGCCTTACCAAGGCGTTGTAAAATGGTATTAACACTTCACGTGATCTTGATTCTATTCCTCAGTTAATACAGCCCAGCTACATTAACAGTCTAAACTAGATTAGGCACTGGCTGCTGTGTAAGAGGTTTAAGCTCAAATTATATCTTAAATATATATTTGTACCTAATCTGTTTAAAATTAAAATAACCAACTCCTGGAGATTGTAATAATGATGGGGGGAGACCTCTTTTGGACTGGAAGGGCTGGGACTGCAGGGACGGGTTTGGCGATTTGAAATCAGCAGAAGCCTTTCTTAGAAGGTGGATTTCTGAACATATGCAGAATGTGGAGAGAATACCAAGATTGTAAAACAAATCAAATGCTCATAATGTAGTTGTCCTGAATACAGAGCATGGGTTTAGCCCAATTATCAGTGAATGTTGGAAGAATTCATTCTGTTTGAATTAAAATTAGATTTATTAAGAAAAATGTCACTTCTACCTAATCTACGGCTTGAAAAGAGGGAAGCATGAAAAAAGAGAGAGTGGAACAAGATTTTTTCTTTATTTGTTAAGTATAGAGGTGCATTTAACTAACAACAGATCAGGCAAAATCCGGGGGGGGGGGAGAGATCCTTCCCCTCACCTGTTCCTCATCATTTCCCCTAGTTGTCAAAACAGCTCACTGGTGAAAAGAAATGATAAAATCTTCAACAATTGATTTCTGCAGCATCATATTAGTTTGAAAAATTACACAGAAATAGCTTACATGAGTTTCTGAATTTAATTCTAAAAGGAGAAGTCACTCAGTATTAAAGGGATGGAAAACTGAAAATTGACAAAGTTGTAGAGAGAATTAATTAGGAGCATAGAAAGGCTATTTGTTGACGGAATTTAGATTTAAATGTTTAAAAAGTATTTAAATATATTAAAGTTACATGTCCCTTGAGAATTTTATTTTGCTTTATTTTGTCCTGTCCTATACTTTGCTATCTTTTTTCTTCTAGGTCAGTGATGGCGAACCTTTTAGAGACTGAGTGCCAAAAACCACCCCACCCCCACTCTGCCTCCCGCCCTGCCTGCTCCGCCCCCACCCACCCCCTGCCCCACCAGCCCACAGGGCCACGCACTGCCTCCATGTCACACCACAGCAGATGACCCAGGCAGCCCTGAAGCACCATGGCAGCCATGCCCTTCACCCACACCCCACAGCATCATCTGCATGCTATGGGGTGCGAGGGCGGAGTCTTGTCCCTGTTGCCCGGCTATGTCCTTGGCTGTGCTGCTCCATGTGGGCTGCGCCTGGGGGCGACTCTCCTCTAGGGGGGCTGCTGGTGAGGAGGGGGCCATGGAGAGGTGGGGCTGGGGCGATGGCATGTGTGCCCACAGAGAGGGCTCTGAGTGCCCCCTCTAGCATGCGTGCCATAGGTTCGCCACCACTGTTCTAGGTGCACAGTAGATATTAGACATGCAAAGTACATGTGAGCTTTCCTAAATATATATTTGTATCTAATTTGTTTAAAATTAAAATAACCAATTCCAGGAGATTGTAATAATGATACACAGGGGAAAAAAACCTTATGCCTTTCTTTCCTTGTTCTAATTCTGTTGATAATTAGGTTTAGGAAAGTTCCCCTTTGTATCAAGCATAAATTTTTCTTTGGTGCTGAAAGAGCTGGAACTGCAGGGATGGGTTAGGCAATTTGAAATTACCAAAGATGGAGGGGAGGTTCCATTCCAAATTTATAACAAGGATGTACTTGCAAATTGCTTGCATTTGATACACAAAGTGAAACACAAATGTGCCAAAAGTACATCATGTAAGCAATATATAAGAAGTACAGAGACAAAGAAAAAGTACCTGTTAGACCTTTATTTAGCAGCATCTCATCCCATTGTGTTTGATTGAGTATTACTGCCTATAGTATAAACATATAGAAAACATTATTTCCTCAATTTGTTTGCTTATCTAAAGAACGGTTGCCTAATTGAACTAACAGAACAAGATACCTGTAGTTGAATTTCTTTCTTCTTACTTGCCATTGTTTTTTCTGTTATGGTAGAAATAAAGCAAATTAAAATTATTGGGAAATATACTATTACTATGCTTTAATGTTGGGTTCTATCTAAACCACTCTGCTTGTACTATGAATTTGTACCAGGTTAACAAAGATCTTACAATAATAACTTGAAGTGAAGGAGATGGGAACACGTATTCATACAAACACAATATTATCTCTGCCCTATCCATAGAAATTCTCACATTTATGTACTTCACAGCCATATATCATGACACAATCACAGTACAAGTATCTTTTTTTTCATTATACCTCCTTATTAATTAATCCAAGATAGCTCCTTCCAGAAGGCAAAACTGTTGGCAGGAGGGAACATAGCAAGAGTGGGCAGGCTTTTCCTGCTGTTGCTATGGTCACCAAAGAACATCTAGATAGATCCCAACTGTAAAAAATATGTAGGTGAGGATATACACAGGCAGAATGGATCTCAAGCCAGATATCCTGGGTTCAGGGTTTTGGAAATGATGGACTTCTGGCAAGCTAGTGACTGAGAAGGATTAAAACTCAGGAAAAATATAATGGCTGAAAAAACTCAACCTTGAATGCCTCGCCTTCTTTCTGTGAGATTGAAGAAAGGAAAACAAGGCTATTATAATCATTTGCATCTTGAAAGAAAATACAACAGTTGTCAAAGTACAGGTAGTCCTCGACTTGTGACTACAATTGGGACCAGATTTTTTGTTGCTAAACAAAGCAATTGTTAAATGAGTCATGTCCAATTTTATGATAATTTTTGACATGGTTATTAAGCAAATCACTGCAGTTAAATTAATCACATGATCATTAAGTGAATTCAGATTCCCCCATTGAATTTGTGTCAGACACCCGTTGGGATGGTAACAAATGGGGATCATATCATCCTGGGACACCACAACTGTCATAAATATATGCCAGTTGATCATGGGACCAAGGGGATGCTGCAGTAGTCAAAAGTGCAAGTATTGGTTGTAAGTCACTTTTTTTTAGTGTCCTTGTAACTTCAAACAGTCACTAAATGAATGGCTGTTAGTTGAGAACTACCTGTATTAGGAGTTATGGCGCCTGCTGGGCTGTGCGTGTTGCTGGAGGACCACATGAGGGAGATAAATGCATCACCAACAGTAGAGTTGGCTTGCCCATTTGGGTCATAACCCTGCTCACTACTGGCTTACAATCCCAACTGGGATTGTAGGAATTGGGAGATTGTCACCCTAACCCAGTGATGGCAAACCTTTTAGAGACCGAGTGCCCAAACTGCAACCCAAAACCCACTTATTTATCGCCGGGTGCTAGGTAGGCGTGGCCCACTGGATGGGCATGGCTGTGGTGGTCATGGCAGATTGGGTGGGTGTGGCCAAGGTGGGTGTGATCACCTCAATGTTGCTCATGGGGAGGGACACCTGTGGGGGCTGGGCAGGGTTGGGGGAGATCCAGGGGGTCTCTGGCAGGTGGGGCGGTGGGCAGGAGGCTCGACCTGTGGGGAAAGGCAAGGCAAGGCAAGGCAGGGCGGGGGTGCCATTGTCACAGGGCAAGATTAGGCAGGGTCTGGAGCAGCTGCTGCCTGATACCATCAGCCCCTACACACACAGGCCAGCGAGCACATGGGTGCTGGGATGCATCTAGCCACGTGGGACCTTGGCGAGTTAGTGGGTGGCTGGTTGAAGAGGGACTGTTGCCATCTCCGGGGCATGGCGCGCGTGCCCACAGAGAGGGCTCTGAGTGCCACCTCTGGCACACGTGCCATAGGTTTGCCATCGCTGCCCTAAACCATTTGGAAAGCACCAGGTTGGGAAAGTGTACTTTTCCTTTTCTTTGTATTCATAAAAGGAATTATATTTCATTTATATTCATTTATACATTTATGGGCCTCTGTGCCACCCATCTGAGATAGTAAAACTAGTAAGACCACACCTGAAATACTGCAGCCAATTTTGGTCACCATATCACAAAAAAGATGTTGAGAGTTTGGAAAATATTCAGAAAAGAGCAACTAAGATGATCAAAGGACCGGAGACTAAAACATATGAAGAACGGCTGCATGACTTGGGTTTGGCTAGTCTAAAGAAAAGAAGAAATAGGGGAGACATGATAGCAGTATTCCAGTATTTGAGGGGCTGCCACAAAGATTCACCACGTTATTCACCAAAGCACCAGATGGAAGGATGAGAAACAATGGTTGGAAACTGATCAAAGAGAGAAGCAACCTGGAATTAAGGAGAAACTTTATGACAGTGAGGACATTAACCAGTGGAACAGCTTGCTTCCAGAAATCATGGGCACTCCATCACTGTAGTTTTTTAAGAAGAGACTTGTCTGAGATGTTATAGGTTTTCCTGCTTGAGCAGGGGGCTGGACTAGAAAACCTCCAAGGTTCCTTCCAGCTCTATTCTATGGTGTTTCAGATGTGGAGACCACCACAAGCGTTCTGACTGCTGCTTTCACTCTGCTACTTGCCAGGTGTGTGGCCGGCAAGGCCACACAGCCACCTTCTGTTTGGGTTCCAAGAAAGCCAGTCCATCGGAAGAATTGCCTCGGAAAGGTATCAGGGTCCCAGCCAGAATAGGGTGGGTTTTTGCACGTCCCAAAGGAGCGTATTGAGAACAGGGACCCACTGACCATTGAAGAACAAGCTGCGTATTGATGTCAAATTGCAGGGGGTCCCCTTAACGATGGAGCTGGACACAGGATCAGTCTGTCAATCATTTCCCAGAACACCCTCAAGCAGATCTGCTGTAGAAGCGGTCAGAGAATTAAACTCAGGCCGTCGAATCTTATTTTAACGGATTTTCAGAATTCCCAGTTCAGTGTGAAAGGGGAGGCCACGCTCAGAGTGCAGCATAGGAATTATGAAGGGTTTTGGGACATTGTCATGGTTGAGGGTGACCACACGAGTCTAATTGGACTCGATTGGTTCTAGGCACTTGAAATTCAGGTGACTGGGCTACACAGTTTGCAAACCACAGGTCTTGCAGAAGTTTGCAAGGAGTTTGCTGATGTGTTCAGCCCAGAACTAGGGTCGTACAAAGGGCCTCCAGTTGCCTTACGGTTAGACCCCTCCATTGCACCGATTAGGATTAAGCCTCATCGGGTGCCTTTTGCGCTTAAGCAAAAGATTAATGCTGAACTGGATAAACTGCTACAGCAAGGCATTTTGGAACCTGTGGATAGCAGTCCATGAGAAACATCCATAGTCACGCCACTCAAGGTCAATGGGGAAGTTTGCATTTGTGCTGACTATAAATGCACACTAAACAAAGCGTTACAACAGCAATCTTATCCGGTGCCTGTGGTGAGCCACATTTTGGCCTCACTTAAAGGAGGCCGAGTTTTCGCCAAACTCGATTTGGCCCAGGCCTATCAACAGCTACCAATTGATGATGCAACAGCAGAGGCCCAGATGATTGTAATGCTTTGGGGAGCTTTCAAGGTCAGAAGACTGCAGTTCGGAGTTAATGTGGCATTTTCCAAAGCGTGATGGAGTGAACACTCTGTAACATTCTAGGAGTTTGCCCATATTTCGATGATGTCCTCACCACAGAGGCATCAATTGAAAACCTGTCTGAAGGGCTTCAGTCCATTTTGCTGTGTTTCTGCAAAGCGGGGCTGAAGCTTAAGCAGGAAAAATGCAAAATTGGAGTAACTTCCACTGAATTCCTGGGGCTTCATATTGATGCCGAAGGCATCCATCCTGCTGAGTCCAAGCTCAAAGCGATTCAGCAGGCCCCAAGTCCCAAGTTCAAGAGCAAGCTTCAAGCCTTCCTTGGACTTCTAAATTTTTACCATTCCTTCCTTCCCCACAAGGCTGCAGTGGCAGAGCCGTTACACCGGCTCTTGGATAAACAGGCTCCATGGAAGTGGACAAAGGTCCATGAAAGGAGTTTTGCTGAGGTCAAAGCATTGTTGTCTTCAAATGCTGTTCTAGCTCATTTCAATGAGTAGTTGCCAATCTGTATAGCTTGTGATGCATCCCCTTATGAGATTGGGGCTGTCTTAAGACACATCAAGGCTGATGGGACACAAGTTCCTGTAGCCTACTATTTAAGGACTCTGTCTTCTGCTGAGTGTAATTACATGCAGATAGACAGAGAAGCATTGGCCATTGTGGCTGGCATAAAAAAGTTCCATGACTTTTTGTATGGCCGCCACTTCACTGTCTTTACAGATCACAAGCCACTTCTGGGATTGTTCACAACGAACAAACAAACGGCCCAAATCATCACTCCTAGAATGTTGAGATGGTCAATATTCCTTTCTGCTTACAACTACTGCCTGGTTCACAAACTGGGCAAGAAAATGGGTCATGCAGATTGTCTTAGTAGGTTGCCTCTACAGCTCTTAGAATCAGATCCTGCTCCTGCCAATCACATCCTGGCTATCCAGGATTTGCCTGAGCCTCCCCTCAATGCAGGGGATGTGGCTGCAGAAACAGCCACTGATAACACGCTAACACGTGTGTTGAACTGGGTATTGTCAGGATGGCCTGACACATGTCCTGGCACCAATTTCCAGAGTTTCTGGAAAAGCTATCCACCTTTAAGGGTTGTGTCCTGTGGGGTAGCAGGGTAGTGATCCCAACCTCATTGAGGACTAGAGTCTTGCAGTCTCTGCATGAGAGACATCCGGGAATAGTCCAGATGAAGGTGTTTGCGCACAGTTATCTCTGGTGGCCTGGGCTTGATAAAGGGATTGAGACCCAGGTCCATGGGTGCCACATTTGCCAACAGTCCAGGTCTGAAATGCCACAGGCTCCTATGCATAGATGGGAGAACATACATGCTCCTTGGTCGAGAGTTCATATTGACTATGCTGACCCCTTTTAGGGGCAATTCTTCCTCATTGTTATGGACAGTCACTCCAAATGGCTAGAGGTCATTCCAGTGTCCACCACAACTACTGCCAGGACCATCCAGGTGTTGAGAGGAATCTTTGCCTCCCTTGGGGTCCTAGATGTGCTTGTCTCTGACAACGGACTTCAATTCATCTCTTCGGCGTTCCAGTCATTCCTGAAAGCCAACATGATCTGTCATGCTACTTCGGCACCCTTTCATCTGGCTTCCAACAGCCAAGCTGAGTGCCTGGTGTGCACCACCAAAGACGCCTTGAAGAGGCTCACTTATGGGAGCTGGCACCACAGGTTAGATGTTTTTCTCCTTTGCCACCGCATCACACCTTGCACAGCTACAGGCAAGAGCCCAGTTGAACTCTGCTGTGGTCACCGTCTTATTACCAAATTAGACAGATTACACCCAGACTGGGTGGCTTCACAGGTGTCACAGCCACGAGCACCGAGGAGATTGCAAGTTGGTGATCCAGTTTGGGCAAGGAACTATGGATCTGGACATCTTTGGGTGAAAGCAGTC